GAAATATGTTGTGATGATATCATAACATGATTATTGAGATAATGATGCTTAAGATAATAGGATTAATATGCGTTAAGTATGTTGATTTTTAAATTGGTAGTTATGGTATCCCTTAATATATGTAGATTAATGCTTAATGTGGCACATACATACTTGCCTTGTAATCTTAAATAGAACTATAATAATTGAAAATATTGTCTTGTGAATACAAAATTTATTTTTGCACCATAAGTTGAAGTAATATTTACTGCTCTAAGAACATGTCTATCCACATCAATTAAAGACTAATTTATGGAAAGTTCAGTGAAGTATTGTTTGAAGTTGTGACTCTGTCATCAAGGTCCAGTCTGATGTTGATGTATGTTTTACAAAGATAAGAGGAAAGTTAATAGGGCAACAGGGGGTGGAGCAAGTAGCTATGGGTAACTGGATGGTTCGTGAATACTGACTTAGATGCAGACTTTGCCTTTTACATCAGTGGGTAAAGTGACAGTCTCATGCACAATGCCCATTTATACTGTGGGATCTGTCCTGAGCTCTGTTCTAGTTCTGTTGTAATTGAGTTAATGTAATAGAAATAATTGTAAATTTTTCTCTGCTTCTTGCCTTAATTCCATGGCAGAGTAAGGCTGCATGTAGCAGCTGCCTGGCTTTCTGCTGCTATGTTTTAAACATTGCATTTGATGACCAGGTGTTGCAGATGGATTTCTTCTTAGTGGAAGGTACTCCTGTGTTCTCTGTGCTTTGCCATTTATTGAGTGTAGTTGTTGAAATATCTTCTTAATTCTTTATTATTTAACGTTTATTGTTCTCTGCAGAACTAGTTTTAAATTACTTGAATTGTTTAAACATTAACATTATGATATTAACTTCATTTTTGCATTTGTAGGAGACTGAACCTAAGACAAAATTTTAGGATTAAGCCAACCTTGGTGTTTTTGGCTTTTTTCTTGGCCCACTGAGACTGTTGTTTTCAGCATCTTAAATTATTCTCAAAAGTATCAAACAATGGGTGTTATTCAGAAGTCTACAGGAAATGCACACATCCTTTTTTTCAGCCTGCAAACAAAGTCAAAATTGGGGAAAACTTGCACTACTCCAGGAAATAACCCTCCATGTTTGTTAGTAACCTCATTGTTAGCATGTATCAAATGTGCTCCACCCCTACTCCCGCAAGTCCTTTTGTTAAATGTTTAAGTTTCAGCCTTTTTTTTTTTGTTGGTTTGTTTTTAGTTTTTTGGAGGCTGTGATATTGCAAGGCAGAACTTAGAGGAACATGCCAGATTTTATTCAGTATAAAAGAGCATCTAAGCTAGATCTTTGACTGTATTAAATCCATTTACAAACATCTTTGGCTCAGTCAGGGTTATGCCAACTACTTCATGAAATCTAGCATCGTCTTCCTTTAGATGAGTGACATGAAGAAAAATGTGAAAACATTCACATCTAGGCTTTCTAGTTGAACCTGTTCTCTGCATATGCCCTCCATCTGACTTGAGGCAGGAGTGGGAAGAAAGTCTTCCAGTGAAATCTGCTGGATTTTTCATTCTCTCAGCTGTTAGAGCTGAGTTTGGACTATGAATTTTCTGGAATCCTTCTGTTATCGCAGGTGCTGGTTATCTGTGTTACCGGGTTGTTACTGTTGTTTTAAGGTGTTTGTTGCCATATATGTTATCTAACTCAGGGATGACTGGTTATTTAATGAATTCATCATTATTATTGCCACAAAACCAGAACTTTTTGAAACCAAATCTAAACTAACAAGACTTAAAACTTGGTTCTGCTAAATGCAAGTTCATAAAATGGGAAGGAAAAATGAGTTTGATAAGCTGTTTTAGATAAGGCAACTTAAGATCTGATGCATTATCAGTTATGAAATTAAATTCACAGTTCTCTGAAGGGCCATCAGGGATCATGATACGTTCAGGTTGGAAGGAATGTCTGGAGGGCACCTAGTCCACCCTCCTGCTCAGAGTGAGTCCAACTGTGTAATGTTGCTGAGGGTTTTCTCCTGTACAGAAGGATGTAGAGTCTACAGCCTCAGCAGACCCATTCTGATACTTGACAAACCTCATGATTAAAATAGTTTTGCCTTGTGATGGGAATTTCCTGTGTTGCAATGTTTCCTAATGTGCTGTGCATCCGCCAGAAGACTCTGGCTCCCTCTTCTCTGTACCCTCTCATTCAGCAATTGGAGTCAGCAGTAAGATCTCTCAGAACTCTTTATTTCCTTAAGCCTAACCCAATTAATATCATAAGTTAATGGTTGGACTCAGTGATCTTATAGGTCTTTTCAAACCTGAACAATTCTATGATCACTCCAATGTATTTGAACATTTGCATTTATTCAAATATTAGATTCTCCTTTTTTCTTGAAAATTTGTTTTTTAATGAAACTGAACCCTTGTTTTTAGCAAAGAGGTTTTTTTGGTGTTTTTTGTTTTCTTGTTCTGTGCTTTTTCTCTTCAGCAGTTCATGACTGTGTGCAATACCTGTATGAGCATGGAAAAGTTCTCAGAAAGTCTGATACACTATGCATCTTCCTTTGCCCTTCAGTAATTACATTCGTGCAGCAGTAAAGTCACCTTTTACATTCTTTTTGATCATGTCTTGAACAGCTCTTTTTAAATGAATTGTCTGTGCCTTTTAGAAGTCAAATATACAAACCATAGAGGACACTCTCAATAGAATGTGTTGTGGCAAGCTGAGATGTGGGTTTGTATCTTGGTATGTAAGAGGCAGCATTTTGCTGAGGCAATACTAGTCTGCCTTGTCCTTAAAATGAGTGTTCAAGTTCGAAGCATGAAATGATCAGTTCCTGCTTTGTGGAAATGTATAGATTGGATCATAGTGTAGTGATGTGGAGCAAGCTGCTTGCAACCGTAGATCCCCTCTGAAAGGCTTTTTTTTTTTTTTTTTTTTTTTTTTTTTTTTTTTTTTTTTTTTTTTTTTTTTTTTTTTTTTTTTTTTTTTTTTTTTTTTTTTTTTTTTTTTTTTTTTTTTTTTTTTTTTTTTTTTTTTTTTTTTTTTTTTTTTTTTTTTTTTTTTTTTTTTTTTTTTTTTAGCTTGTATTTAAACTAGTTTTGAAAGGAGTAATTTGACAAGTGTTGCATCAGAGTGCTTACTGATGCTTTAGGCTGTAAAAAACCCACTCCCTGCAATATATGTACAAATGAGAGCTGTTGATGCCTAAGTTAGTTTGAGGTGACTGACTTCTATGCAGGTATGACTCATTTTAGCAGAAGGATTAGCTTGTAGGATACCCAAGCCAGCTAGCATGAGTGCTAAGGAAGATGGAGTGTGTTGAGCACAGAACTTCAGTCAGAATTGTGGCCTCATGTTTTGGAGCTCTTTCTTCACTGAAGAACCTGAGTGAGTTTTCTTAATTGGGCTTTCTGAATCCCTTCCCCCTCCCCTAATGTATTTGGGGTGTTTAATGTCTCTGCGAGTCTGTCTCTTCTCTTTTTAAATTGGAGTGGTTATGAATCATGTGATTTCCTGCTGCAAATAAAGCAGAAAAATCCTGAAGTGATTGTGTGACTTGCGTTAACACAACTTTATGTTGAGGAAGTGTGACAACATCAGGAGCCAGAGATTGTATCTTGGAGCCTTACAAATACTGTGAATACACTTAAGTGTTCTTACAAAGAGCAGAAATACTTTCTGCAGCTGTTTAGGTGGATATGGCTTATGCTTTTACCATAGTTGTGTTCAGGTAAAAAGGAACTTGAAATTCTCTCATGGTTCACTAAATACCCTGTTCTTACCCCTCTGTAACTATAGTTTTGATATTAAGGAGGGACTGCAAATGGAGGCAAGTGTGCTGATAGTGTTGCCAAGAAGGGAAGAAATCAGGTGAAAGACCGCAGTTACAGTCTCAGAACTGTGACTGGAAGAAGTCTTGGGAGTATTGCTGCACTCACTCAAAAGCTAGAATAAATCAACTGTGGGCAGAAGGAGGGCACTCAAGGCCTGGAAAGTATTCATCATAATGCTATGTGTCAAATGTGAGTGAGCCTGAAAAGCTTTGTTTTGCTGTTAACAGTAGTGCTTAGACTCCTTTATTTGGGTCCCATTAGATGAGCTTTGTTCTGCAGTGGAGAAAAGCATATTTACCAAAATACACTGAGAATTAGCCTGTAAATTGGCTAAAATAATAGTATATTACCTTTAAGAACATTAAACAGTGTTTTTACTTAGAGCTTATACTGCTTCCTTGTTCTCTATTTAGTGAATGTTGGAGAGATGGAGATGTTTCTGAAGTGTTATCTCCTTACCAAAGAGAATCTGGGCTCCCATCAAGGGGAGTGAAATAAACTGGATTACAGAGGGAACCATTTCTATTTGTTTCAAATTACACTCCTTTCTATACAAATACAGCATGAATCACTTCTCTTTGTCTACACTCTGAAAAATGTTTCTCCATTGGCCCTCCTGTTTGGACACTGTAAGAGTGAATACTCCAATACAGATGTTTGTAAATGTTGTATAGGTCAGCAGCTTAAAATGCAGCAGCTGGAAGTATCTTTGAAGGAAGAAGCCCAAAAGGATGTGATCCAAAGTTAGTGTGGGAGATCCAAAGGCTTCTCTTTGGTTTAAAAGTAGTTTATGAGGCTAGATGAAGTCTATTGTCACAGTAGGCTATGAAGATGTTATATTTGCTGTGAAAATACTGAATGGAGGAGTTCCTGTTCTTCTGTTACATGCATGTCCTGTTCTCAGTACATTGAACTGCTGCTAAATACAGCTCCCTTCTACCAAAAAAAAAACTAAGATAATTTGGCAAGTTATACACAACAATGAGTGTTAATATGGTCTTAATGGACTATCTATAGTAACCTCAGAGATAATTGACACTCCTCTGTGTTAAATGTGTGGGGTGACAATGTTTGTATAGAGACCAAATGATATAGTACTATGGCCTTGAATTCCAGTTTTATTCCTTCTGAAAGTTTGGTTTGTTCCTTCCTCTTGTGATGAATGTTATGTTTGAATTTCAGAGTAATTGGTCTGGAAGCTCCCATGATTCAATCCAATCAAGGAGAGTGGTTATTTCTCACAATATGGATAAAGCACTGAAAGAAGGTGAGTCTTAACTTGCTCAAAGGTGCACTGGAGTCTGAATATCTCCTGTCATCTTAGCAAACCATAACTGCACAGTATTCCAGAATTTTAGAACACGTTGGTTGTCTTACAAAAACCTGGGATGTGTTATGTTTTTAAAGTTATTTTTATGAATAGCTGTTAGCAGGGTAGGTAGCTAAAATATAAAATCAGAACACTTTATCTACCCATGTCATATTTTTGTGGAGGTGAACTATTATAACATGATCTATTTTTAGGAAGCTTTTTCGTCTGGAATCAGACTAGAGGATTCCTGGTCCTGTGAAAAGGATAGTAGAGTCTAAACATTATTACATGTAGAAACAATCATAGACAAGTTATTTGTGGTATTCTTTCATGTGTGTACTTTACATTTTGGATAACCTGCTTCAGAATTTGAAATGAAGCCTTGACATAATCAGAGATTTGGAAATTGTAGGGTTATTTGGAGACAGACAACGGGTGTTGTGGAATATAGAGGGAAAGGTAGTCGTATTACACTTCCCTGCAGTTACTTGCATGTAGGAGTAACTCGTGTCTGTGAAAATATGGGAGCTGTCTTCATCTAAGGTGTTTATTTCGCAGATAAATCAGTTGGTTGTGTGAGGCCATCCCTACCCAGTAAGGCTGAAAGTTACTAATATGTAAGTGATTCACTTTTCAGAGTTGAGTATCTTCTGTTGTGACAGCTCATTTGCCTTTCTGCTATTTTTTTTTTCAAACTAGCTTTTACCCTCCAGTCCCACTCTGAATTTTGGAGAGCAAACTTGTCAGATTTCATTTGGAGAGCAAACTTGTACAGATTTCCTGTATTTCTTCCAGGCCTAAGTGATGAAGCCAACTTCTCTGTTATGCAGTTTGACAAAGATGAGACTGTACTTTTTACTCAACCATACAAAGACTTAAGCAAGCATTTTGGGTTTGGAAGGTGACTGAGTCAACTTAAGTTTGAGATACTGAATGAATCACAAAAGCAGTATTTAATTTTTAATTAGAGTAAAATGATCAGATTCTTGCCCTGTGACAGTTTTGAAATTTGTAGTTGTCTCAAATGTGAATGTTTTTTTGGTGATTTTGTTTGTTTGTTTTTGTTTTTTAAACAAGTTCATGGTTAGATAAAAATTTATTACCGATGGTATTAAAAATACCATCTAGTCTTCTGTATTCAGTCTTGCATAGATCAGGATTAAAGTATTTATAAATCCTAGGAATTTTTAACAATTTTTGCTATTTTGATGTAACATGCTGTTCAACAAACTGCTTTAAAATGCCTCATTTATTTAGCTAGGAGACTTCCAATTCCAGTGAGGTTTTAATCCTGGGGAACAGTCCAGACTCCTACCGCCACTTTAGGTTTAGAGTAGATGTTGTCACATTATCAAGTCAATGAGGTTTTGCTCTTTTTTTTTTTTTTCTTTGAATCAGATTTTACTTCTCTTTACATTAGAGATGCATGGATAACATTTTTGGACGAGCCAGCATCATCTGATTGCTGTTGCTGAGTATGAAGAGAGACAGCCCTTTGGTTAATTCCGACTTCTTTCCCCGTTTTTCACCATTGTATGGGCTTTACCATTTGTTACTAACTATGCTAGATGAGGGAAAGCTGGGGATTAGCCCTGCTACTGTAGTGTAGTGTGTTTTATGAAATCTAAATGCTCAAAATCAGAACAAGTGTAACGTTATGAAGAGATTTTCCTTGTTGAATATGGCAGAAAGAAAAGGCCTTTTAGTTTTCAGCCCTCAGTCCCTTTTTCAACTGGTGATACTTGAGTTGCTAACACTGAAATATGGTTGTCTGGAATTTCATGCTTTCTCATGATAGATTGTTTTGATTCTTGCAAAAAGAAAAGATAACCCATTTCTACAAATACTTTTAGCCATTTAACGCTACCTGTTGCTTGTCTGGTCACTTCCTGTTTTCAGCCCATGTCGTGTGGTAGTGTGGTAATACATCTCCTAAGAGAGACTGTGCTCAGTGAGACTTGTGCTGCTGTTGCACAGCATACTGTTTGGGCGAAGGCTGTAGCTGTCAGTAGATTTGTCTGCCTTGAGTGTAGTTGGTCTCCTGGGAACTGAGCTTCATCTTCCATTTTTATTGCTCCACGTCTTATGGTCTTTGTTATTCTTCCCAGTCAGTCTTTGTCTCTACTGTTTTAGTAGCACCAAGAAAATTGGTCTTCATATCAACTTAGCTGCTTTACTGGGTCATTTATGAGTAAGTAAAACAGTGCAGGTCAAAGCACAAATCCCAGCAGAACTCCACTGGTGAAATTGTTCTGCTGTGAAAATTCCCTTGTGTTTCTTAGCTCTTAAAATATTTCATGCCGCAGAGCCATCTCTCCTTTCATAGTGGATTATCGTCTTTGAACCCTGTCTTGAGGGGACCTCATTGGAAATATTTTGGGAACTTGATTAGATTGTTCTTAAGGATCAGCTCTTGCCTGTCTGTGTTGAACCCCTAGAAGAACTCTGTTAGGGATGTAAAGGCAATACTTCCCTTTACAGAGGAAGATTTTTCCTAGACTATCTCATTTCCCAACTTAAGATCCATATGCTGACATTTAGATAAAAATTTGCAGCAGCTTCTGCTACTCTGGGCTTTTTTTTTCCTCACAGCTTTCAAATAACTATTTTTTTGAGTCCGCAATATCAGCAAGACAATTTGAATTTGTTTTCTCTGCACTGGGATTCAAACACTGAGAGCTAAGAACTTAGCAAAGGGTATATGTGGAAAACTATTTGGACATAAACTTGTTTGATTTTTTTAAATTTTATACATTTCCTAGATCTTTTTAACACTTTTCTCTATATTTTATATATTTGGAAATTTTCTTCTTTTTTTCACCCTTCACATTCATAAAAAATACTAAAGACACAAATGTCAAGAAAATTGTAATAAAAATAAATCAAAGAATGTGGAATGGACTGTCAGGGTGTGGTTGCTTTTGCACAAGGCCTACCCACCTATACACAATGATAATATTTAGACTGTTAACGTGGCATTTTCATAGCGTTTGAATAATGTTGTAAAATACAAGTAAATCACAAAGTATACAAGTAAAACACAAACTTTAAAAAGAGAACTGAAATCTTTAAATTACTATTGCTAGTGACTGGGGCAATGTCCCATATTAACCTTGCATTTCAGTTTTACAGATTGCTTGTTGCTCTAGAATCCAGTTTTGTAGCTATACCCTCTCTTCTGTTGTTCACGCAGTCACAGGAGAGTTTTGGATTTGACTATAAATTAATTGTTCTGGTCTCTCCAGTGCTTTCAGGAAAGGATGTTTACTTCTTATTGAAACTTGGAAGTGTATGTTTGCATTTGCATAGGGAGAATATTTATGCTCCGGTTTTTAATACTGCTTTGAGAAAAAGAGTAAGTATTTAATCCTTGTTCTTCAGATTTTGATGTTATTTTTAATAAAGTTGGGTGATGAATCTTAGCAGCATAAAAACTGTCTAGTGTGAAGTTTTGCAGATTTGAAGACAGTCTGAGCCAGTAACTTTTGTGGTGTCACTGAACCTCCGAATGAATGAATATGGTCGAAGGGATAGCAGTTAATGTGGGAATGAAGAAAGGATCTAGATGGGTGTGCTCACTAAAGCTCCCCACAAGCTTCTGGCTCTCTACTCCCAACACTTTTAGTTTACAGTATTTAAAAAGAGTGTTTGAAGAGGCTCAACTTCAAATTCACATGGGAATGACTTTTAATCACATCGTAACAACTTGGGAACTAGTTTAGAAGACCCAGCAGAAGTTTCTACAGTTTTGCACCAGGCTCATGGTGGTCACTGCATTTGATGGTTATCAGAAGAAATTTGTTTCATGTTTGTAGTGGATGAGTTAGTCATAGTAAGTTGTCCTGCGTGTGTCCTGCTTCTCTTTTTTTATTCCTTCCTTGTCTTCTGACCAGTTGTTTTTGATGTTTTAGAGAACGTGCTGTATAAAAATAATGAGAACAGATGCACGAGCAGATTTCTGCTCTGAAGTACGCAAGGTGCTCTACATTTGTTTTCTATATTTCTTTAGAGTGCTGAAAAAGGCACCAGCTGCATCAGTGGGCATGAAACTAAAGCAGCAACTGTGCACCATGGCCAGGATGATACATAGGGATGAGGCAGTGCCTTACTCAGCCTTAAACAGACTGCTGTTAGTGTCTGTGGCCGGTGTCCCTTTTAAAATTTTATTTGTTTATTTAAACAAATTCCTAAAGTTGTCTCTCTGCTTATTTGGACATGTATTCTGAACCCTGAGTTTTGTAGAGAACAGCACTGTTGTGATGCAGGAAGGGAAACAAGGCTCAGAAGTGACAAGGAAGTTATGGAAAGCCTATAAAGGAAGAGAGATGTAAAAGATAGGTGCAGGGAAATATGGTTTAAAGTGGTGTAATCCTTTTAAGGTGTTGAAAATGTGTAAGTTGCAAAGAGAAACACAAGTGAAGTATTTCGTACTTGCGTGGTTGGTTTTTGGTGATGATTGATGATCTTTTGTTTTTAGTTAGATATTGCCACTGTATTTTGTGGTTCTTTGATGTTGATACACCTAGTTGAAGAACCATACTGTCACCTGGCTTTGTTTGAGCAGGAGTCTTCCCACCATAATAGATCTTGCTTCAGGTATTTCAGTTGGGGGTATAGTAAAGTTGCAGGAGTTGTACTCTGATATAACAATTCTAATCAGCTTGAATGTTGTACTTTCCTAGAGTACAGAGATGTGACATTGAATGTGACAGAAGTCATGAGTGGCTAAAATGAATCAAAAAATATATATTATGTACTGTGCTAGTAACTGAGTTCATTTTGGGGAGGAATAGCTTAAAAATAGTTATAAATTAAGGGTTATTGGGAATACATAATGTGTTCTGAAAGGTAATATAGTCTAAGGGACCAGGACGTGAGTTTTGCTCTTTTATCTTGTACTCTTGCTTTGTACAGTTCTGTTGATTAGACACCTGTAGGAGCCACTACTCCATATGTGACTTCTCTTCTTAGGGAAAAGATGCTGGAGAAATCTGTTGCTTTGCAAGAGGTAGAGAGGGTGTGGGTAAGAAAATCTGAAAAAGTCATTAATTGCCAGTGATGATGATAACAAATCCCACAATGCAGTGTGTCTTGAATGCGCTTCAGAAAGTATTGGTTCTGTTACAGAGTAGGTGAAAAGGAAGAATTTGTGTTGTGGTCAGCTTTCTACGGCATTTCAGATCTTGCAACAGAAGAGAATAACTCAGCTATAAGAAAAAGGTGTCTGCAGAAGGACATGGGGACCACTGTGGAAAAATAGATATCTAAAATGGGTATTGTAATGGGAGACTTGAGATAAATTATAAAACTTAAGTTTTTAAAACGCCATTCCCAGTTGCTCTTTGGTGTATTGATGGATTATTCCTCACCTTGCTTATCAGAAGAACACTACTTTGTATAACTGTTTTTATCACTTTGTAGTATTTGTGGGTGAGAGTTTTCAATGAGTTTTCTTCTATGTTAGAAAAGTAATGCAATTGGATATGTTTCAATATTGAAAGTTCCCATTCTGCAATATGACTCTGCATATTTTTTTTCCTCCTAGATCAGAAAAAAGAATAAATACATCAAACATTTTATTTACTTATTTATTGAGCTGTGGAGGTTTTTTTCTAAATTATTAATTAAAAAGCCTTGAAATGACTTAGCAAAAGGCTTTTAACTATATATTTCAGTGTACTTATTGAAGTGACTTGGCTTCTTTCTTTATAAACCCGAGGAAGCTGATTTATGAAGCATTTGGCTAGAAACTTTTATCAGTTTCAGACATTTCTTTTGAAATCTGTTTAACAAGGTGATATTGGATGAGGTTTGCTAGTTTTGTCTGAAAAGGCAGGTGGAAGTATTCGGTTTAAGTTGTCCTGTTAGTATGTTAATAGTTCACTGTCACAGTGCCAAGGAAATTTTAATAGTTCAATAAACTGCCAAACAAACAACTTCTATCAAAGTGGAAAGTAAGAAATAGTGGAGCCATATGAATACTTTGCGCTGCAGGCTTACACTGACAAATGAGGTGTACTTTTGATATAAAAAGTCATAAAAACATCAAGATATTTGGCTCAGATTGTCAGGTATACGACTTTATTCCCCCCTTTTTATTATCCCTCTGGCAGATGCAAATTGACTCTTGCAAGCCCAGCTTTTTCCTTATCTTGTTGTAACTGCCAAACACAGTTCATGTGTGCTCCCTGAAGGCCTCCTGCTCCCTCTTATATCTCCAGGGACATCTATTAGTGTGAAACATAAGTAAAACTGGCAACACACAAATGTTGTCTAAAAGAGAAGTCATAATGGTAGAAGATGGTGTTGCCATGGGACTTGAAATTACAGTAATCTTGGTTATTGCCTATAGATATGATTTGGAATGCTTCATCATTTTTGAAGTTCATGGTCTCGCTAATCTGCTTGTTCTCTTTTAGCTTTTCTGATCTTATAATGTACTTTTCTGGGGTTGTTATATGTCTTTTGAAATCCAAGAATCTTACCACCTCCCGTTTGAATTGTGACCTTGGAATGGAGTCTGTTGAAGGCTGGTTTCAGTCTGCAACAGCTTAGCCACAGTCAGATTATATGACAGTTCATACAACCACTTATAAAGCCACTGTTGAGAGACAGATATTAGTCTGAGGTTTGTGTGTAGCTGGTAACCTGACTGTCTGAGCAAATCCACTTAGAGGCTTGGCTTTGCAAAGTGACCTCCAGTAACCTGTTAGGTGCAGATTGCTGTAACCTTGCCAACCTTACTTTCTTTGACAAGAATTTAAAACCCAGAAGTAGATGTGAAGCCTATTACCCATCCAGTTTTTGAGGGGAAAGGTGGAAGATTATATTTTTCCTATCTGGGTGTGCCTTCTCCTTTTGCAATTTTTGCTATTAATTGTTTTGTTTCTCCTTTCAGTGTTTGACTACAGCTATAGAGATTACATCCTGTCCTGGTATGGGCAACTCAGCAGAGATGAAGGGCAGCTGTACCAGCTGCTATCTGAAGACTTTTGGGAGATTGCCAAGCAGCTGCGACAGAGGCTGAGTCACATTGATGTAGTTAAAGTTGTCTGCAATGATGTAGTGAAAGCTTTACTCTCGCACTTCTGTGACCTTAAAGGAGCCAATGCCAGGTAAAAACAAAACTCTGCATTTCACTGGAATTTTCTGCTTTTCTCTTTGCTTTCAGATGTGCTATATCAAAGTAGTGAGGAGTGTAACGCTTTTGTAGAGAACTGATAAAGAAAATTGTTCAAACTTATTACCAGTTTTAGAGATCAAGCAGGCTTCAGGTCATCTGTGAGACCTGTGCAAGGAAATGCTTGTCCTCCTTTTTCTCAGAATTTGGATTCACTGCTCTTTCTGTTTCAACCTTGAATCCTTTGCTCACAGTAGGAGGTGGGCTGTGTGAGCAGTTCCCGCAAAGTAGTGTCAACCTGCAAGGGAAAGAAGGGATGCTGTCAGAGCAGTCAACAGACAAGAAGATTGTTATTTGCACCTTTCCCAAAATAGCACCAAGGTTAATTCCATTCAGCTTTCCATTTCTTCTAGCCCCAGGAAGCAAAGTCTTGTGATTTCTCCAAGTGGTGTGTCCTGCAGTAGCAAGATTTTTCTACTGGAAAAATGGTTGGCTGTATTTTCTTTCTCTGCGTAGGTTATCTTGATAGTTTCATGAATTTCCTCTACTTTGTCCACTTGAAAAAATCAGCTCTCCACTGAATACTGGAGTTGCACCCAAACTGTAGCTGCAAATGGGAACTCTTAACCTATGCAGTTCACACATCTGAATGCACAGTTTGGTTAATTGTGCATGGAATTGGGGCTTCTGTCTGTGCTTGCATCATTTTAGTTATCCAAATTGAAATATGCTTTGGTCATTCAGATTTAGACTATATAATTTATTATGTGAAATAGTTTTGCCTACAATTAGGTTAACTTTTTTTTTTTGACACCCCTTCAAAGAAAAAAAGATCAACAGTGCTCTGTTAGTGACCAATCTGCCTGTTACCATTGACACTTCTTTCTGTTCTGCAGCAGAAGATAGGATTAACATATTTGTAGTAGATCTCAGCTCTAAGTCAGCTAATGTGTAGAAAAACTAAAGATGGAAAAAAACCTAAAGGGTGGTTGCATTCAAGAAAAGAAGAAATAAAGGTGTATTTACTTTGCAATAATCTTGCATTGGATTCCAGGTACTACTTTCTTTTAACTCTGGAATGTGGTAGAAATCTCTTGGTCAGGTAAAGCTCCTAAGTGTGCTTCTTGATTTTTAAGTATTACACTTGCACTTGTCCTTTATCACAGTCAAGCACTTGCTTTTGGGAAGAGTTTGGTTTGAACAGTTAAAGAATGAGGATGTTGATTATCATCAGGGTTTTTAGCACAAATCTAAAACATAGCCCCCTGCTAGCCACTGTGAAGAAAATTACTCCAGCCAAAGCCAGTACAGTAGGCAAGTGGGTTGCAATTCTTGCCTCTTCTTGACCCTCCTGACAAGCAGTGCTTTATTAACAAACCTCAGTAAGAAGAGATCACAGTGATGTCGATGTATTATTCTTATTGTCATTGTTAGTGCTGTTATTACTGTGACTATTTTTTTTGTCCTACATTTTTTGATTTTGAGTGTTCTCTGTCTTCAACCTACAGTTGGGGCACCTTTGATCCCAAAGACAGAGGAAGAACATAGAAATATGAATATGTGGTATTGCAGGCTGCTTCTGGCAAGTTGACTGCTACACAACTTCTGATGGGAGTTACTCTTAAGTGTTTTTATGTAAATATGTGCCCAGACTTAGCAATATGAGTGCTTGGTGGCTGCTCCTGGGGTTGATTCAGAACCCATAGTTAAGAGCTCAAAGCTCTTGAAAAGTGTGAGGGGAGGGGGGAAAGTGCTGTGGGGAAATTGCTGTTTGAGTGATCAGTATGTTAAGGAGTTTGGAGATTAAAGTTTGTATCATTCATGTTTTGATAATATTTCTTTTGTTTTCTATGTATTACTGACAGGGTAATACATAGAATTGTGAACTCAGTTCAAAATTTTCTTGGCCCATGTGAATACCTTTGCATGTATAGGATATATAACTTCAACTATTTGTGATTACAGTATGGGTTGTGGTAAGATAGTTAAAATAAAAGGTGCTACCACCACGAACAGATCAAGAGCAGACTGATGCAAAGAGAGTTTAAGCACTTAGATTTAACTTGGTTAATCATATAGGTACATCCCAGTTGTCTGGATAGCAACTAAACTCCTCCCACAAGTCTTGTTTTTGTTTTATAATTCCATTTGCCCCTCACAAACTAGGAATATCCAGAACCGTTTCTTGCAATCAGCCTCTGGAAAGGTATATCAAGGGGATTAATAGGAAACTGTAGATATTTTTTGCAATGGGAGCAGCTGTATGAAGGTGCTGAGAAGAAAAGAGTAATAAAAAAACAAGAGAAGATTATTAAGTCAACTCATGGGTAACACCATGTCTAAAGCTTACCACTGCTCTCAAGCTTCAGTTTTGGAAGTTGGGATTTCCTGTTAATGATTGAGTATAACCTAGACACCACAATAAGCATTAGGATGTCCTGGTGTTGGTATGGTCATTCCACAGCTTGTAAGCCATCCGAACAGTCTTTGTGTCTGTTATTAACAGGACATGTCAAATGCTTTCTCCTGAAAGAGGTAGCTGTGGCACGTATAAATAACAGTTTTTATTCACAGTAAGCATTAGTTGAAGTGATTTATAAAGCTTGCTGATTTATCATGATAAAATGACAGCTATGGGAATTTGGGGTTTGGCTTTTTCCATATTTTTTCATTGTACTTTCTAGGTTTGATGTGGTTTGTTTTCAGAGTTGTGGTTTTGTTTGTTTGGGCTTTTATTTATTTTTTTTTTAAATAGGTACTTTTTTTTCTGGTGTATTTGTTATACTGGCTTGTAAAGGTCTAAATGTGTTTCTTTTCCTTCTTAGAAAGCTCAGATAGATCAAGCAATTTTTACTTTGCTGCACTGTCAAGAAGTTTAGAGCTCTGAGGGTGATACAAGTGAAGAGATGCAAACTGCCTGTGGTTCTGGTAGTTCTCAGAATCAGTTTAATGGAAGTGTGTGGTGAATGTTGAATATACTGATGACAGTCATTTAGAATGAGTTGCATGTGCGCTTCAACTCACAATTGTACTGATTGAGACTTAAATGTGTCTCTGCAAGACTCTCTCTTGAAAGACTAAATCAAGAAATCATAAGGCTGAAGGGAACACTTTGTGATCTATCTATCTACTTATTTATTTAAAGAAAGAAAGAACTTTGAAGTAATTTCCTGTAGAGGAGTTGTTAATGGTTTTTAAGACGCTTTGGGCTTTTTTTTGGTGTGGGTTTTGTTTGTGGTTTTGTTTTTGTTGTTTTTTGTTTGTTTATTGTTTTGTTCAGGGGGAGAGGGATGTGTGTGCATAATTTATTTAGTTGCTTTCTTCTTAATTTTCAAAGCAGACTGACATATCACGTTTGTCAAAGATGCCTTGCATCAGGAACATATGACCTACCACAAACACTAAGAATATTTTAATACTTCTGACTGTAATGAGTCTTTACAATACAGGGAGTTACCAGATGGTCCTGATCAAAAATGTGGGTATGGAGACAAGATCCTAGCGGGGGGGGAAACAACAAAACAACAAAAAAACAAAACCACACACCAACAAAAAAAAAGCCACGAGAGAGAGAAACAGATTTCCATGAGGTCACTGTATTAGGAAACTTGGAAGCCCAAGTGATAGTTCAGTATTATGGAACAGCTGTGGGTTCTGCATTCCTGAGAAATGAAGGATTGTTGTTAAGGAGGTGCTGGTATTAGCGCAGAGTTGGTTAGTTATGGTATGGAAGGGAAATAATGATATTTCTATAACGCTTGTAATGTTTTTAACTGCTTGTCTTCAGGAATACCACAGCAAATCTGCTGTTCTTCTTTCCTTTATAAAGTACTGGATGAACTTGCAGGTTTGCAGCAGTAAGGGGTCAAGTTCTAATATTGATGACATTCAGTGGGATACACAGTCAGTAATTGCACAAAGCAGTCTCAGAGCAGGGATGGTTCCAGTAAGTGTTATTTTGTTCCTAAAGAAAAGTACAGCTTACAACAGACCTGGTACAAAGGGCCTGCTAAAGTGAATTCCTATCTATGCTTCTATATTCATATTCTGCTGCTCTACCTTCCAGTGCTTTGAGGGGCAGCTGAAGGAAATACCTTTGCTTTCTATGAAAAAGTATTGTATAGTCTTAAAAATCCAGAGCAGCTTTTCATGAAATGAAAATTACAGAAAAGAAACTTGGGGAACGTTAAGGCTGGCTTTGTAGCTCATGGGGGAGTGAAGACTGGATGTGACTTGTAAGTATACTGTGTAGAGTTCTGTCTACTGTTTTAAATCACTGAAGTCACCTGCATCTTGATAGACCAATAAATGTCACCATTACTTCAGTCTTGATTGTTCAAGGAGACACAAATGAATTAAGTTGCCACTTGCCATTATTTGAGTATCGCTTAAAGTAGATTAGATGAGCCTGGTTTACAAAGCTTGTATCCTGCCTGTTTTGGAACTGTCTGCTTGAGTGCCACATTTATTTTAGTTCATTGCACATGGTTGTGCTCAGAATTTATGGATAATTGGCTGGGCTTTCAAAGTTTTCTCTAAAAATATCTGCCCACAATTTTGGTTCAGAGTTTTCTATGATTACTAAGTGACCTTTTGTTTGGAAAATCCAACCACACAGTTCTAGTAACAAATGCTCAAAATTAGATAGGAAGAGGAATAATGTCTGTGTTACTGTTTGGATTATTTAATAGTGCTTAATATTTTTATTGACACTGGAGAGACTCTGCTTTGGGTACATGCATGCGACCTGCACTAAAGTTTCTACTTTCCCTGTTGGCCTCTGCACAATAAACAGTGCTGCACTCCCACGGGGTTGAAGATCTGGGTTTTATATCAAGCCTTAAGAATATACCCAATCAGGACATCTTAGCTCCTGCTCCAAAACAGTAAACAGACATGATTTTGTAACTGAGCAGTGGTGTTAATACTTCTGTGCTTGCTCCCTTTTTTATGTGTGTCACTGAAGGGGAAGCCCCAATTAAAAGGGTTGCTGTTTACCAGGCAGACCTTGTGTTGACACACAGTATTCCCCTGCAAGCTGATCAGTAATAATATTGAGACAGATAGAAGTGCAATGCTTCCTGTGTACATGCAAAGGAGGATGTAAGCCTATATGTCTTGTCTTGTCCGCTTTATCACTGGCCTATTGATTTATTCCATAGCTATTAAGTTTCCCCCCAAGCTTCCCCTCCTAATTTCTGTCTTCCTTTTATTTCTCTTGCCCAGCAGCAATGAAAACTGCAGGATTTGTTGACGCAACCATTTAGCACTGATATGCAAGGCTTCTTGTTTAGAGTTAAATGGCCTAAAGATTTTGTTTTTCTATCTTTTCATAAAAATCTTCCCTTTTGCTTTTTAGATCACATTTAGATAGAGTTTGACTAGGAAAACCTTTGAAAGAACCCCTCTTCTAGAGATTCATATCTTCTTAGGTAATGGAGATAACTCCAGGAAAAAAAATTAAATTTTCTTAAAAGGCCTGTAAACTGAAGACTATGCAGCTCTGTCCCTCCCTTGCATTCCTGTAGGCAGGAACACATTAGACAAATTAGAAGGGCAAGAATCAAATATTTGCCTATGTACTTATTTATTCTGTTCTATTTTCCATTTATGTTCTGCTGACTGTGTGTCAGAAAAGTCCTGGCATAGGTCCGACTAGGAGAAGCTGTATGCATTGGCTCTTGACTGGGAATAAATCTGTACAACAGGGAGACAGACTTCCCTTGCATGGGTGATACTGTAGATGCAGTTAATGCTTCAGTGAGCTTGCAGTCCCAAACAGACTGGTGTTCCTCAGGAGACTTGTAGAGAGATGCTGAAGACAAAGAAGACTGATCTCAGTTTAGTGAAATTTTATGTGCGTTATGGGTCTGTTTCATGCTTTGCACGTGCTTTTAGTTCTAGCTCTGGATTGCTGTTAATACCAGGAACCAGTTGAAGTGATAATCCCTGTCCTTGGCACTGGTGAGGCTGCACCTGGACTCCTGTGTTTAGTTTTGGGCCCCTCACTGCAAGAAAGATGTTGAAGTGCTGGAGTGTGTCCAGAGAAGGGCAATGGAGCTGGGGAAGAACAAGTCTTATGAAGAATGGCTGAGGAAGCTGTGGTTGTTTAGCCTGGAGAAGAGAAGGCTCAGAGGAGACCTGATTACTCTCTACAACTGCTGGGAAGGAGGTTGTAGCCAGGTGGGGATTAGGCTCTTCTCCCAGGTAACAAGCGACAGGACAAGAGGAAATGGGCTCAAGTTGTGCCAGGGAAGGTTTAGATTGTTAGGGAAGACTTTTTCACTGAAAGGATGGTCAAGCATTTGAACAGGCTACCTGGGGAAGTGGTGCAATCACTGTCCCTGAAAGCGTTAAAAATCCGTGTAGATGTGGCATTTAAGGACATGCTTTAGTGGTGGACTTGGCAGTCTTGGATTAATGGCTGGACTTGATGATCTAAAAGGTCTTTTAAACCCTAATTATTCTATGTTCCCTGTAAGTCATCCCGTTTGCCAGCATTTTGCAAATGCTTCTGACTATGTTTCTAAGTGGTCTGGGTAGACCAACCTGTCTGGAAAATGAAGGCTTTATTTCCACAATAAGAGGTGGCTGTAGGTAAATGACCCAGACTTTGTCAGTGACCTACCTGGGGCATGTCTGGTTTTGGATAAATAATGAATGCCTTTAGGGGATTTCACGATGGGGAATGTTTGATGTGGTGTAGAGGAGGCTTTAGAATATGTATGGAATATGCAAGAGAAATGGAAGTGCAGTGAAGAAAATAATTGTGTATTTAGCTGCCACAGAGAAAAGATCCTACCAGAACAAGATAAACATCTTTCTGAGTTCAGTCAGCTGCATCACCTGGGCTGGTTGATAGTGAAGATTACACATCATCTTCATAAACCACTGCTCCTCAGAACAGAGTATTTACATCCAAGGTGTTCCAAGAGACTTGTTTTGAAATTTGTCTTACTGGTAACAATTGAAACCCCCTCCATGATCCACCTTTGCGAACAAAACATCTGATTTGTAATTGAATAAGAGACTTCAGTCAAATCAAAACCGAATGTTATCTTTACATTCATATTGTTCTCCAAATTAATTATAAAACTTACTTTTTAGTCTTATTTAATTACTTGTATTATTAGAACAAAGTTAGAATTATTGTTACTACTTCAATGTGTTTTCATCCTCCTGGACTGACAGGCTTAAATCAGTTGTTATATAATGCTGCCTGTCACTAGTGGCCATGTAGCGGTGTCTCGCTGAAAACTTTTGGTTGTACTGTATACAGTTCTTGGTCACTTTTTCACATACAGAGGCAATGGGCTTGGAGCAGCTCTGTAAGAGTCAGTTGACTCTAACCAGGACAGCAACCTCCAGATCTGGGAAGAGAGCAGATGTTATGAAAAATGGGAGGAGGCACGGGTATGAGACATGACAGATCCAAGCCCTTGTAGCAACTTAGAGCCTCCTACTGAACACTGATTCTGGCTGCCTTTGTAGATTACTGGGGCATCTCTCAGGTGACACTGTGTCTGTCTCGCTGTAATCACTGGCTTGGCCACCTTGCTGTTAAAATGAACTGGAACACAGCAGGCATGTAGCCATGAAAGAACTGCTAGGATACCTTGTCTCTGCTTCTACAGCTATTTCTTTATAAAGAAAAGGTGCAGCTGTGACCTGCAGTAAGGCATTCAGTCAGATGTGTTCTGCAAAGTCCAGAAAAACATTGGCACCTGTGAAACAGTATTGGGCACAGAAGGTTTGCTCCTTGTTTCTTTCAGAGCTGTCATCTGAAAACCTGTTTGTGAGGAGTCTGCAAACAACTCACTGTGCTATCATGGGCTTGCCCACCCATCAGCATGTTGCTGTGTGTGTTCAGTGGTGCACAGCACCCACCCAGTGCTTTGTGCTGCAGCGTTTTATCACTTCGTGACTGATCATGATACAAGTGATCTGTAAGTTCTCTCTCTTCTTTTCTTCCTTTTTTTTTTTTTTTTTTTTTTTTTTTTTTTTTTTTTTTTTTTTTTTTTTTTTTTTTTTTTTTTTTTTTTTTTTTTTTTTTTTTTTTTTTTTTTTTTTTTTTTTTTTTTTTTTTTTTTTTTTTTTTTTTTTTTTTTTTTTTTTTTTTTTTTTTTTTTTTTTTTTTTTTTTTTTTTTTTTTTTTATTTTATTTTTTTCCATTTAGGCAGGAAGATCCACCAAGACCTTTTTTGCTGCACTCATGCTTGAGGAGCTCTGATGAAGAAGTAAGATTCCTGCAAAAATGTTCCCAAGTCCTGGTGTATTGTCTCCTACCCTCAAAGGATGTCCAGTCTGTCAGCTTGCGCATAGTCCTTGCAGAAATACTTGCAACAAAAGGTAGATCAAAGATCAGAGATGGTGAACCATTTGCACCTGTACAGTATTAGCAATTACAAACTTCATTATGTATGTCTTGATGCTCTACTTTTAGGTTGTGGAATTAAATTACTGTGATAACCAGTAAGACCCTTTAAATTCTTCAAATCAAGCGTGCACTTACTGATCTGTCCTGACTTGATGCCAGGCTGTTTAGCACATTTTAGGTTAAAACACAGTTTGTCCTTTCCCATTTTGTATTTTTTCATAGAGGAATGCTTTTGCAGTTTTCCTTGGCATTATTTTTAATGCTTATATGAATAATTCTGCCCTTTTATATTCAGATACATAGAATCCGTAGACTTAAGGATGTGTTTATAACTGAATCTTGATATTAAGTTTAATTCATTATTTTAGACTTTGATTTATCCAGTGTGGTTTTTTTTTTAATTGAGGGATTTCTATTTTGCTTTTTATTTTATCAGATACACTTTAATGTGGTTGTAAATACACCGTACATTTTTTATGTCACTAAAGTCAAATTGAGAAATTATGAAGTCTTAAGTCTATTTTGTGATTTGGTTTACTTTAAATTTTCATTTATAGTGGCTATAATGTCATAACCTTCAAAGCACACAGCAGAAAGAACAAAAGCACTTGGAATTTTCTAAATAGAGCTCAGCTTTGCCAATGTGCATCAGTTTGCACAATAGAACAAACAATTTTATCAAGACGGTACATGCAATCTCAAGTGTACTATGTGGTCCAGAAGACTGGTTTTGGATTTTTGGATTTTATCAGCTTGCATAAAAATTTTTGCCTTTTATCTACAATTTTCTCTTGAAAGGCAGCAGTTATTCTTTAGCATAGGGATTTTGTTTTAAAATATTTTTCTTCTCCAGTACTGAAACCAGTGGTGGAACTGCTGAGTGATCCAGATTATATTAACCGAATGCTACTCAGCCAGCTGGAGTACAGAGAACAGATGAATGAGCATCAGAAGAAAGACTACACGTATGCTCCTTCTTATGAGGAGTTTATCAAGCTCATCAACAGCAGCTCTGATGTTGAGTTCCTGAAACAACTGAGGTATTTAATGCTTCACTGTAGCTCATTCAAAACTAAACATGCTTCTTTTCCAGCCAATTACTGAGATTTGAATGAATTGTGATTTTTGTTTTTAATTTTAGATTTCTTTTTGTTTGGTGAAGCAGAGAGATAAGGATGATAAGCCTCAACATTTGTTAGATCTCTTATATAGTCAGCATTTTAGCTCAGTGACAGAAAATGCATAAAAATTCTACTTAGTAGTATAATGGAGATGGCTGTACTTTTGAAAGGTATAAATGCTTGAAAAGTAGGAAAGGCATAATTGACTTTTTTTTTTTTCCCCACAACTTGTTTCTGCAGAGTTAGATGAAATAATATGTTGAATTTCCACTAGCGTGTGTGGTTATCTCCTCATTGTCTGTATGAATTTGCTGTGGTGGTCTGGTGGCTCTGAACTGTTGTGACCCTAGGGACACTGAGCGTTCAAAACAGATTGCTATGATTCTGTGACTTGGAAAGAAGGGTTTCAGTTCCAGCACATTTTTCCACTGGGTAAGATGTTTTCTTGGACTATTGCAGGGAGGTGTTTCCCACTTGCATCCTTCTCAAACACAGTAATGAACTCTGAAGAATTCCTTAAAGATCAAAAAAAGCACCACTGAGCTCCTACATATCATGAGTTTGTTTGATGTTCCTGGTTTTCTAATGCAAATAGAACTTGGTCACTTTCATACAAATTCCAACTCCCAGCTCATAATTTCTCCTTACATCTTTAATCTTAACATGAGATATTACTTGTATGTCAAGCCTGCTAGCCCAAGAACCAGTTGTTTATGCTTGCCTTATCTTTATAGCTGAGCTGATTTCTGACAGGTATGAAAGGATAAGTAACAAGTCACTGGGAAGCAGGGAATAGAGATTCTACTGTTTCAGAACCTCCCTAGATGTCCTTGAGTTGGTTTTGTTGAGCAGAGCAAAGCTTTGGAGGGTTGCTTGAAGCCATTTCCAGAGTGTTTGTCCTAATCTCTTGCCACCAGCCGGAATTGTTATTTCATCCCAACTCCCTTCTGTTGCTGCTGCAGGTCAGCTTTCTGTCTTCTTAAATGGCTGCAGCAACAGCTGAAATACACAGGCATATCGACATTGTTTGGTGCATTCTGTGTCATCTATTGTGACCCTGAACTCCATTAGAGTTGGCTTGGTCAGGCCAATAGATGGGTAACCAAGATGAAGCGTGTGGGCTGCATAAAAACATCGTACTTTCTCTTGTTCTTCTCTTTGATTCTGAAACCACTTGCATTTCTGAGATAGGAAAATACATTTAGGTGATGGTGAAATGATTCTGTTGCTTGGCTACTTATTGTTCATCTGCTGTAAAATTTGCTCTTTACTCTGGGATGGCGTGTCTTTCCTGCGAGCAGAAATTAGTCTCTATTAGACTCTTCCTAAAACCTAATTGACATATTTATTAGCATAATCACACTAATGGATCTGCTTGTTTCAAAAGAAACCCAACTCTTCTGTTGTTGTTGTTCAAGCACATTAATGTTCAATGTGTTCTCTTTTTAGCTGATAGGTCACTTGAAATTGTGTTCTGCAATACCAGAGAGCAGATTTGCTTTATAAAATAGTGTGGTTTTGGCTGCACTTATATTTTAACTTTCTAGCCTGTGGAGTCCAACTATCATCATTTTGAAATGTGTTCCTCTATACACTACTCAGAGAGAGATGGGCCAACCTGTAGTCGTCTCAAATTTGTATAGTATATTTGGCAAAGATTTCATGATTAACCAGTGAAACTTTACAGATTTGCATGAAGAAAACCAAACAGTGGCCCTATATGGTGTATGGATTTAAAAAAAAAAACAAAACAAAACAGTTGCAGTTCTTCATGAACCACGGGGAAAATCTATCAAGAAGGAGTTAGAGGAAGAAATAAATAAGCAGCTGTGCAATTATCACTGAGAAGCACAGAAAACGTCTATTGGAGTGGTGGGAGTGGGGGAAATGCTTCCATTTCTCTTCTTACAACAAATAAATTACTGACATGTTGTATGTAAACAGGTTTCCCAGTTAGATGCTATTCTGGGTAATAATATTCTGTTCACCAAGAATTCTTTTCCTTGCTTTTATTTGGAAATAATATTTCAATGCCTATTCTAAGCTGTGCCTGGCACTCATGAACTGTAAACCTCCTGTTACTGCTAATGCTGTCACGTAACATCTTGGTAAAGAGCAGAGATAAGTAGTAGCAATTTTCTGTGTAGGCTTAGCTTTGAGGAAAATTTATCCCAAGGCACTACAGCTGCTAGGAAACTCATTCTTTTCATAGGAGACTTTCTTGCCATGCTTGACTTTGCAGATTGATTACTATCTATTTAATAAAATAAACATAAAATACCTTACTCTATTCAAGAGGCCATGAGACACTGATAAACGTTTCCTAAGACTCTTGACTGACCACAGTCGAGAAGGCATGGACTCCTGGTTGCTCCTTGATGTATGCATGTGACAGTACTTGAGAGAAGTCCCATAAGGCACGTTTCCAGACTGATTTCATTAACAAAGTTTCGCTAGGCTTTCTTGTGATTAAAACCAGGTATTTGTGGTAGGGAAAACAGGGAAAATCCCTGGCTGGATCAGTGCAAACCTCTGGCTGAAGGGTATGTGTTGTTCTTGGCCAGGAAATCACAAAAGAGAGGGAGGCTTTGTAGATCTCCTTGCAAGCAAGTGTAAAGCTCTCTGCCATGCAAATAGGTCTCCCTGAAAGGATAATAATGGTACGAGGATTTTCTAAATCTTGTTTCTCTCCTAGCTTGGAAGCATTACTGTAAGAGGTATTGATTTTCTGCATTTCTTTTACGAATTTTATTTTTAGAACTTATTTAAATAGTGCAGGAATGATTTGCTATTGATTTTGGAGATACTTTTGAATTTATAGTTTGTTTTTTTTTTTGTCATAACTTTGCCTTCTAAAACCTTGAATTTGTTTGGGAAAAGACACAAACGAACGAGTGAAGCTTTTGCAGAAGGGCCATTCTATGCTTATCTATGACTGTCCTTCACACTCAGTCTTTGTAATGTTTCATTTCTTTATTGCTTGTCATGAAGGGAGGCAGACTTTTATTCCTGTATTATCAAGTTTTCACAAAGTGTGTTATCCCTGTGTCTTTGAAGGAGAAAGTAAACAGTGAAATTTCACCTTCATTTCCCCTTAAATTAAGTTAGCATGGATTAATTGGAATTCTGCTGCAAATAAGGAAGAAAAGATGAATTCTTCCACATCAGCTGTGAAACGAATTTACTTCCTCTGCCAGAAAAAGACTAAAGACACACTGAATTAAAAACATAGCTGAGAGCAAGTAGTGATAAGGAAATAAACTGATGGATAGTTTTTATTCTGCTTCCAAGATCAGCATTCTATTTATTTTGTTATTTATTGTTATAACAGCAAAAGGTATTCATGGTAAGAATTCATTGTAAGAAAGACCATTATTACTGGCTCTATATCATCTTTCACTTAAAAAATGAGGGAATGGCATGAATATGATAACGAATAGGTAAGAGGTAAAAGTGGAAAAGTAGAAGTAATGTGGATGTGAGGCCAGGAATTGTCCAGTTTATCAAGTACGGTCACTTTGTCAAAGTTAAATTAACACATCACATTTAAAAATTCCACAGATGTTTGCTGAACAACACCACAGGATGTCTAGCAGCTAGAATATTTGGAATAGACTTTCAAGGAGAAAGGGTCATGGTCTGGCAATGTAGCTAGGCTAGTGTTTCTGTGATGTGGTGTTATACTGCAGGCCCATCGAGTAGTTACAGACAGAGCCCAGCACTTAGGAGGAACAGACTAAATAGTATCTTTGAGGATGTAACTCAGAGCATCTCCCATATTTAAGCTGATACAATAAGAAACAGAAAAAAAAAGAGATGCTGTGTTACAGTATTGGTATTGAAAACATGTAAATCCATGAATGTGAACAAATGGGGGTAAATTTGGAAGGAAAAAGGTTGCAAGATAAAAATGGAAACTACCTTCCATGTGCAGTATTGACTTGGTTGTCTGTACCTGGTTTGATAAATTTATAATATTCACAGTTACCCTACAACACCTTAGAGAGGTGAATGAGTGTCGTTGCAGTGCATTTACAGATCACATAACCAAGACATCAGAAGTCTAAGTGAGCTGCCCTGAATAATTTGGGAAGTCTGTCTGAATAGAGAAATAGCTGTGGGACTTCTACACACTAGAATACCACCATTACCATGGGGTTGTTCTTCCTCTGGACGGGGCAAGAACTGTGGTGGTGGATGGAAACAACCAAGATATAGTAGTGGCAAATGGAAATAGCGTTAGAAAAATTAAAGGTTTGCAAACAGATTTTCAGGTTTCGCCTTGATAATTGAAGGATTTGGGTAGACTATAGATTGCTGCAGAAAAAAAAATAAAATTCTGGAAGTGTAGTTGTGAGTGTATGCTATGTGTATGAAACTGTGTGTCTATAGAAAGAGCTGGAGACAATCAAAATCCTAAAAGAGTTGTAGGAGGCAAGAGACATGGAGGGAACTGAGTGATGTTGGTGAAATAAAGGTTCATGTGGAAGAAGGAAAATGTATTTTAAGGATCATAGGCTCTTACTTAAATGGAGAATAAGTAGTCACAGAAATAGCAGTTTTTCCAGGAGGCTTCAGCTTTCATCTAGGAGTTAACTCGATAGCTACCAAAGTAAGTGCACTGAGAAGAATTTGAATGTTTGTTATGACCATATCTTTGACATTTATGAAAGGTTTAACTGACAGTCATTTTCTTTGCTGAGTGCGTACCATCTGTTTGTTGAAAAATCAGTTTTTCTTAAAATTCAGTTCGTTAGCTGCATTAATGGTCTACTATTATGTGTAGTATAGTTTTAGGTAATAAACATGTTATAATTATTCCTGGAGCATAGTACTTTAATGTTTTACAAATTTAGGTGTAATTTTTTGCTTCTCTGAAGCTACAAATGCTCATTATATGTATTGAGTGCATTAGCTGGAAAAACCTTACAGACAGCTCTTTACTTTTGAACTGAACTCCATCCTAGTTTCCTACAGAAAACTGACATTTAATGTTTAGAGTGTAACTTTACATTATGTTTAATGAATATGAACTGTCTGTTCAGTGCCAGTACTTGAGAGAAGAGGGCAATATTATTGTTAGTGGGATGTTTTCTTTTTGTTTCAGGATAATGTTTTTTTCTCCATTCTGTGTGCACATTGCTCCTTGGGTTGCAGATATACTGAGAAATTAATCTGTTTCTAGGTGAGAAGGAGCTGGAAGTGTTTTGATTTTTATTAATTCTGAAGTGTGCTGTATGAGGAACACATTGTAAAAAATTAATACCGTCTTTTTTTTCTCTTCTCCCTCTTCACCCTTATTCCCTACTGTTTTTAAAACTAGGTATCAAATTGTAGTGGAAATAGTTCAGGCAACAACAATCAGCAATATTCCCCAAGTGAAGAAGCAGAAAGGTAAGATTCAATTTTGCAAAATCACATCTGTTGTTTTCATTTTGAAAAGCTGTTTGAACTCCCGACATACATATGCAATCAGTGTGTGTGGGTTTTTTAGACAGATTTTAGGAATGCTATGCCTTTAGTATTTCACATCTGTTTCATTTGTCTGAATCTTCCAGAAACTCCCATGGTGTGATTATCCCCCTACCCTGTCTTCATCTAAGCTGATGGATCATGAGAAAGGTCATATCTATGATGCTTTTCTTTCTTTTTTGCAACTTGCTGCAGTTAGGATTTCTGGCATTGCAAATTCATATGCTGAGAATCTTATTTCCTCTTTCTTTTTCATACAATCCATTCTTCATGATTTCACTCTGTTCTCCTTTCAAAACACAGAAGAAGAAATGATACAGCACAATTCAGTTGGACTTTATTTTGATTCTTCATTTTTCTGTTACAATAAAGAGCGCTCTTAAATCTTTCTGCAATGTTTTGGGAGTATCTGCCTTTTTAAAAGCACATGCATCTTATATTTGTATTTACGTTTATTATATATGCTGCTTTTATGGTTCTCAAAATGTAGCAAAACTGTGGTATATCTTCAGGAGATGGTACTAATGGCAAAATTACAGACTAAATTTTTGCTTAGGCAAATTTACTTAAGTTGTATCAATGCAAAATAAAATGGCAACAGGCAGTAAAAATTAATTTCTTTGTAAATAAATCTAAAATATTTTAGGTTCTTATTTAATCTCTATCTCTCAGGTTAAAAAAACCCCAAATCCTTTTTTATCTCCTTGTATCAGAAGGGAAGACTTTAAAAAGTAATTCAAGTGTAGTAAAAAATGTGGAAACAGAAAATGAGCACACTATAGGATGGGGAACCTTTGGGCAATCGGAAGAGTTTGGGGTTCATATTCAGGTTTCTGAAAGTTTAAGGTGGTCAACACCGATAATGCATTTTGTTTGCGTTCTAAAATAGAGTTAGATGTGCATTCCAGTAGGATATATTACTTGTGTCAAACCAAGATAAAAGGAAAAGTAGGTGCTGGTTTTAATTCAAGTGTACATTGTAGATACTGGTATTAGTATTTCTCAGATGAAAGTTAATGGAAAGTCTGTTTCATAAAGTAATAAAATGAAAACAGGGAAGTTAACTCTGAGTACATTATGAAAAATCAATCTCGCTAAGCCTGTGTTTCTATTTGTGCTGCCATTGGTCTTTTTGAGACAAGAATTGATTTGGGGAATATTTTTATACAGTTTAGTTTCCTACAATTAATTACTGTCTCACTCTTCTCTGTCTGACTTGATTTCATCTATTTAATTATCCTGTGTTCTAAACCTTGAACAGAAGATGTTTTTTCTGAAGCTACAAGTGTCTGGTACTGCAGAATAGATACAAAAAGATTTTAGGTCTGTTTCCACTTATTCTGTGGTGAAGTTGGTTCTGCAATTTTATGGGTTACTGACTTCTATCTGTATTTAAAAAAAATCCAACAGAAATTGCACTAGCCAGTCCATTGAAGTTTTGTGTAATGGTATGGACTTTGATTGTTAGTTCAGCCCTATGGCAACCTTGTATGTCATTTAAGGGTTGATTACCTCTGTTGGCTATGTTAGCCAGCGGGACTATTGTGGCTAAACCTTAAAGAGCCAATGGTTATTCACATTGTGTCTCAAGAAAAAGGTGACATTTTTTTGCTTGACATGTGTGGAACAGTATGTCCAATAGAGGCATGCAATACAATCTTTTTATAGTTCACACAAATTTAGGGCAGATTTCTAAGCCATTTCTTATTCCACTAAGGTTTTCACCTGTCAAAAGTTTTCAGGTTTTATGTATGTACAGTAAACTTTAGGAGGGCTATCAAAACTGTAGGGGGTTAAAATCTGGTTCTGAAGGCTGTTCTGCAACTTGTTTTTCTTGAAGTAGGTAGAGACATTTTGCCTAATATGTTAATGAATCTAATATGTTCCTGAATATTAAGAAAAAAAGATTAAAGCAAAAAGCTGTGCTACCTGCCTTAAAACAAACCAAAGCCAACAAAAAAACCACCTAGCACAGCTCACTGCTAATATGAAGATTGTTGAAATCTTTGTAGAACAGACTCTATTTAAATGTCACCTTCTGATATTTCCTTTTCTGGATGCTAGAGCATAATGCTGCCCCTGGATTTAATGGTGAATAACTAAATGTAAGCTTTATGCAAAATGGAATTGTGTTTCCACAGTCTTATTCTAACTTACTTTTTTAATCTGTTCCCCAGTACCTAGTGCATGCCTGCAATGATGTGTGAGCATGGGTGTTGGACGTATATGAAAGTCTCTCCTTTCCTGCTAATAACTGAGTTCTTGCTTTTAGTGTCATGGGTATCTCTTAGCTCTGATTCCAGCGTGGTGAGAGGTAGTCTTACTGGCAGATATTTCCTTTTTCCTGTGGCAAAGTAGTGTCCTGAAAATGTTTACTGCTTCTTTAGTGCCTGAATATTCAGCTAGAGCAGATGAACTTTGGGTGGCCAGCATTCTGTTGAGTCCTGATGCCCGCTCTCAAGCTGAAAGAGTAGAGCAAGCATAGAATAGTATGTACTTGGAGATAGAATTATAGAATGGTTTGAATTGGAAGAGACCTTTAAGGGTCATTTGCTCCATCCCCCCTGCAATTAGCAGATGCATCTTCAACTAGATCACATTACTCAGAGCCCCATCCATCTGAGTTTGAATGTTTCCAGGGGTGGGGCATCTACTATCTCTCTGGGCAACCTGTTCCAGTGTTTTACCATCTTCATTGTAAAAGACTTACTCCTTTTATCTTAACTAAAGTGACCCCCTTTTGGTTTAAAACCATTACCCCTTGTCCTATAGCAACAAACCCTGCTAGAAAGTCTGTCCCCATCTTTCTTACAGGCCTCTGTTAAGTACTGAAGTGCTGCAATCAGCTCTCCCCAAAGCCTTCTCTTCTCCAAGCTAAACAACCTCAGTTCTCTCAGCCTTTCCTCTTGGGAGAGGTGTTCCATCCCTCTGATCATCTTCATGGTGCTCCTTTGGATCTGCTCCAACAGGCCCATGTCTTCCCTGTGCTGGAATCCCCAGAGCTGAATGCAGGTGGGGTCCCCCACATGAGAGCCGCTATCAGTTTGAGCCATGGGAACGTTCACAGGCAGTGCTTTCAATAGAAAAAGGTACTACAAAAAACTTGGGGAGCGGTTAGCGCAGCTTGAGTGGCCATTACTCTGCAGCATTAAGTGCTTAGCCACTGTTTATACTACTTATGCTTTCCTTAGCCAAGGGAACGTTGTGCAACTGCATGACTAGCAATATATATGCCTGAACAGGATTGTGTACCTTTGCTATGGGTTGAGGAGACATAATTAAATCTCTAAAACTGACCAAAAATATTTCTTTTTATAAAAGGATTAGGTGTGTATTGTTAAAGGATGAGTAGACTGAGGACCAGGTTTCAGACTGATGATTTCTCGTAGGAGCTACATAGATGTCTGACCTCTTTACTATTTTTATCTGGTGATACCAAACTATGTGTTTATTGTTGGTGCCCTGCAGTATTAGAGACTTATTGGAAGGCTTGTTCCTCAGTAAGGACTGTTCTTTACACTTGATTTAACTAGTGCTGGTGCCACCTATTGGCAAAATATTTAACTGTTAATCAGAAAGTATTTTAAAGTACTTCTAAACATCATTGTATTAAACCCTTTGTAATTAAAAAATGGCATGTTATAGGTTTTTTGGAGCAGTGCAGGCCGCTGTAAATGGAAGCTGTTACCTTACATGCTGACATTGCACTGCTTTCCTCATTTACCCTGGCACAAAAGCGCAGAATCTGGCGTGTCCGTGTATTTGCCTTACTTCTCCAGAAGACTGTGTCTTCCTATGTATCTTCTTCCAAAATGGTGACAATCACTAAAGCAGTGACTGTAGGAGAAGGCTAGAAGATTGTTTTAATCTGTGTTTGTTTTTTCTTCCTATTGATATTTTCAGAGAGTACCCTTCCTATACAGTCACATGTGCTATGGAAGAATCACATCTTTCTACATCTTCAACTGTAAAACTCTCTCCTCTTCTTATGTTTGATAAGGATTTCTTCTTGAAACAGATTTTAGATATTTTAGTTTTGGTTGTGGTTTGTTTGTTTGGGATTTTTGTTTTGTTTGGTTTTGTTTTTTTATAAAATCTATCTGTGAGATATTTTGAAGGGCTAGAAATGCTTATCTGAAAATGTTTACTGCATTTTCATCTATTAAAGTGGTTTATAAGAAGACAAATACATGGATTAGGCATTGTAATATGAATGACAGAGGATATGAGTTTCTCGAAGCAAGAGTAAATCTGAATTTTTGTAAAGAAAGTGTTCCAAAAATAACAATCATGAAATAGCAACAAAATTAACTTGCTACAACAACTTGATATTTGCTATAGTATGAATCAGAAGCTGTTTAAATGCACTAGTTTTAATTTTAAAACACCTTTTTTGTTTCTTCTCATATTGATATTGTATTATAGGATTCTACAAGAATTTTAGTAAGGATTTCTTTTTACTAGTTGCTATTTAAAACAAAGCCAAAATCCCATGAAGGCATGTACCTTGTCTTAGGGCAACACAGAGCAAATCTCTCAACATATTTTCTTTTTTTTTTTTTAAGGCATTTTCATAAAGGGATTTATTCAATTTGCCTTTTAATTTTCTGTGCTCTCTACCTTACATGTGACTTCACAGCATGACTGGAAAACACCCTTGAATGACTGAATGACACCACAGTGTATTAAACCGCAGGGCATCCCTGTTGAGAAAACTGCTCCTTTTCAAGCAGGGGTTGTGAAACAGATCAAATAAGCAGCCATTTCTCTATGGAGAGATCTGCGTTGCAGTAGATTTCTCCTGCTAAGCCTTCCCACTGTGTGTCTGGATATTTGCTTTTATAAACGAATCTGACAAGTGGCACAGAAACAGAACTGTCTGTGGTCAGGCCTCTCAGATGCTGTGGTTCTGAAAGAGGCTTGAATGCTCAGCTGTAAAAAGGGACTTCTTTTTTTTAAAGAAACTGGGGCTCCAGGCTAACTTGGATGTGTGGGTTGTGATGTGTGGTTTTTGTCAAGATGATAATTTAGAGTGAAATGAAATGGATACTTGTGTGTTCCAGTGGATTACAGATGCCATCTAACTTAGTTATGACAAAACTGTATTATGATTCGTCCCCCCCAGCTGCATCCTCCGCACAGGGTTCAACATGCATATGCAATTATTTTTGTATAGCTTTCTGGAAAGGCCTAAAAAGCTCATGCTCAAGCAGTAAGTCTGGAGGGAGCCCATGTGGATGAGGGTAAAGGTTACAGATTCTAATTGTGGTAGATTTGTTTGTTTTGATTTGTGACTTTCAAATGAATTTTGTGGTGGAAATTTTTCTTTCTGCTCCTGAGATTCTTTGTGTGTGCTACTGAGGGTAGTGCATCTTGTCCACAGTTGGTTTGGAGAGGTGCTCATCAGTGGAAGAGGATGGGAAGAGGCTGACTGCTGAGATACATGTGACCAGAGGGGCTAAAAGGACTTACAGACAGAGCCTATATGTGGTGGATGTTATTTTACTGTATAGTATGTACTGACTCCCCTGCTCAGAGTTACATTACTGCCACCTCAAAATCTCAAAAGCAGACTAGGGTTAGAAGAAAACTAGTGATCCACCTAGCCTTCCTCAGTTGAGCTAAAAATGCTCTTCCAGGTTTCTGCTAGATTGTTTTTCATAATTTGGAAGAGGGAAGTAATGCGCAGTGTTTGTGCACACTTCTACTCTGTCTTTCCTGCACTGTAACATGTTAGCCACATTCCATGATGGGCTGCTCCTCATCAGGCTCTTGTCTATTTGTGGAAGATGTCGCTGCCAGACTTCACAGTGAGTAGCCCTGTTTATCCATGGAGCAGGAACAGGCTGGCAGTGTGATATTCATCCCTGCCCTGAGTGTTTCTTAGGTGGAGTGGCTCCTTATGGATATGAAGAGCTGAGGTAAATGTTTTTGAAGGATCTTTGTTAATACAGTAATTAATCACCGGAAGCAGGTGAGATGTAGGGATCATTAATCTCTCCTGGATGCCTGCTGCAATCACAGGATGGTAAGAGTTCAGGTAAAGTAGACATGCTTACTTTGAGAACCCTCCAAGAATGCCTTGTTTTCACCAGGAAGGGTACTTTTTGTTTTAAGAAGGCTGAATGGTCATTGCATAGTACTGTTTGTGGGTTTTCAAAAGTGTAGGATTTCCAGTATGCATTTTGAGCCCAAAGCATTTAAACTGTTGAAAGAATTGAGAACTTCTAAAAATCATCTTAGTGTCAAGTGCAGGAGGGAAGTGTTGGGGTTCAATCTTCACTTTAAACTACTGATGATGTATTTGTAATAGCTGTAAATGTTTTTATTGAGGGAGAGCACTCTTTTGTCCTAACATCTTTTCCTTTCCTTTTCTCTCATTAATATTGGTACCTCTGGTCAGGGAACTGAAACGCTAAATTAAACGCTCTGTTGACTTCTCTGTGGAGATAACATGCCAGGAAAACAGATGGCTTTTTTTTTTCATAGTAAAGTAATTTTATCATTTGCTTCAGTGAGTATTATATCTGTTGTTCATTATTATATGGCAGCTCGTGTGCAAATTATGCTTATCCATTAAAACACTAATGGTATTTGAATTGGGAAGGATCCTTACCAACATAGATAGATACATGCAGCACATAAAGTGAGATTAAAAGTATGGGAAAAAATAATGGGAGAATATCTGGACTTATATTACATGTAGAACTTCAGGGAGCTCCATGTACCTTGAGTTGAACTTAAGTATGCAAATGACAAAACTTACAGTCGCATGCAGTGGTTACATTTGGCTTTGAGGGGGAAATAGAAGAATGAAAACAGGAGAAGGTACTCTAATGTATTAGAAATGTGTTTAAAATATGTATTTTAAGTAATTTCTGAGAGACTTCCTTTTTGCTGTGTATGCATTCACAAACCTATGTAGTTTCTTAACAGCAATGGTTTTGAGAATTGAATGCTGATTTCATTTAAGTGATTTTACTAGCACTTGATATTTTGAAAACATAGTAGAATAGCTCTTTACTGTTTATCCCTGAGCAATCAATTAATCTAGAGGCGAGTACAAGTCATGTACTTTGCTGCTGAGCAATAGTTGCAGCCCGAAAAAGCAGGAGTGTTTTCATTGAACAAGAGGAAAATAAAATCAGTGTATAAATGTGAATCAGTTGTATCCTGATTTCAACACAATAGGGTTTTATATCTGCTTTATCTGCTGCTGCTTTTTTTAGACCCTGGTCATTAGCTGAAGAAGCTGGAATGTAGAGTACACAAATGTTACACCAGTTATTACTAAGTCTTATGCAGCTGTTGTCTTCATGTTACTTCACTTTTTAACAGTACTGTGCAGTCTTGGCATTATGACATAATAAGATTTTTTCTTAGTCATCTGAGCATTTGAGTGAACTTTGGTCGGTGTTGTCTGGAGGAGTTACTGCATGATATGCTGTTCACATCAGGCTTAAGAAATTTGGATTTGCAAGTAAGATGTGTGGAAATGTGTCATGCTGGGCTGGAGGGGATAGAGCTCAGTCCCTCATGTGTCTAGGCAGTCAGTGCTATGTTCAGTAAGGTACATAAGCCATCACCTCCATGTGTTATCATATGCCATGGCTTTAGGTAAGTTCCTAACACCATCTGATAAATGTACATTCTGGAGTAGAAGTCTTGTGCCCGTGTCTTCCTACAAGCTATAGAAAGAGAGCTGGAAGGGTCCGGTTTCGCTATGTGCTGGAATAAGGACTTTTTCTGAACAATTTTGTATAAACCCTTGAGTGATCATGTTTCAAAATCATCATTCTGTTTCAAATACAAACTTGCTATTATGTGGGCTCATGTGCATAGCTGATTCCTGAAAGACAGATGCTTTGATCAGAAAGGCCGCAGAGGCAATGGTACAATGATGTTTTCAAGTTGTAAAATACTGACTCTGTTTTGCTTTATTCTTAGATTCAAAGGGAAAAGAAACTGCAGCAATGAAAGCTGACCTACTAAGGGCTCGCAATGTGAAGAGGTATATTAATCAGCTGACAGTGGCAAAGAAGCAATGCGAGAAGAGAATAAGGCTCCTGGGAGGGCCTGCTTATGATCAGCAGGAAGATGGCACTTCTGATGAAGGTGATGGCCCACAGAGTCAGAAGGTATAAATATCATGGTCTGAAGGTTATTCTAAATGTGTTAGCACTGGATCATATTATCTCACTGTCTTTAATCCCACCCTTCCCCCAGGAGTCAAGCACAAATTAATTGCTGCATAGTTTATTTAACTTGGCAAAAGATTACTGAAGTACCCAAAAGACTTACTGATCTCGCAGCTTGGAATGTAGCTAACTGTGAAACTTCATAAAGGATTGTGTGGATTGTAAACATCTCTGATTTTTCAGATATACTGCATGGTAGCAAGGACATGTTAACAGCCTTCCTAAAAGTAGAAACTTGTTTTCAAATATAAGATTGCCAACATATGTGCAGTATTTCTTTGACCCTCATTATATTCACTTTAGGAAATATGTGTGGTTTTTGGAAATAATTATTCAAAAGCCAACAATTACAGAAGGCAATTGACAAAATTCAGGGTACTTGTTGTAGAAAAACTCTGGTAAAGCTGGTGGCTGAATTGTGGTTTTCAATATCACTGTAGTCTGGAATAGAAAAAACTATTGTTGTACTAGTCAGCATCTACAAAAATAAAATCATGACTACTTAGCCTTGCAAAACTTTAATAATTTTAGTGACTTTTAAGTATAATCTTCTCTGTCCCCTTTGGGCAAAGCACAGTAGCTGGTGTGTTCAAATGCGAAAGAAGATTTGATGTTTTACATGTATGTTGTCATTTACGTTTTCATGTATGTTTTTCAATAACTTATCTTTTTGTGCAGGGATCTTTAACTTTAGTTATGTCCTTATAATAATTGTGACTTAGTAGTACATAAGAAAAAGTAGCATGATGAAGAAATAGTTCTTACTATTTGTATTTTGTTTTTCTTGAGTAAGATTCTGAAACAGAACAATTCCCTACTCCTCACTTGTCCTTAAAGCATGATTTCAGATGGTGTGCCATAGATTGTGCCAAGGCAGTCCTGATCTCTTTCCTGAAGTTGGGTGTAGCAAGAGGTGCCAAGGAGAAAAGGAAAGAGGGGACCATGTGGCAGCACTGCATGAGCCACTGATGCCACTTTTGGTGCCTGCTGAGATATTACGAACTTTGTTCAGGAATGGAGTGAAATAGTGAACCTGCACTGGATAGGGGCTGGGATTGGCCAGAAATATAATAAAATATATTATTTTAATTTAAATCAAAGGAATTAGTAAAGTTCATGTTGTGTGTTTTATAAAACCAATGTTTTTTTGGTGGCAGTTGCTGACATGGGATTGTATCTTGCAAATATACCAGTGAGCAGCTCCATGCTGAAGTGTTCTTAATGGTACTATTAATAGGAATAAAGACTCCTTGCACAGGCATTTATTGTAGTGATAGTGGAAACAACAGGATCTGAGGCAGCTCTGCTTTGAAGCTTTTAATGTGTTTCTGTGATGAAGGCCTAGAACTCACTCCCTCCATAGCCATCTCAGTTTAGAAAATAGGAAAACTGCTTCTCTCTTCTGTTGTCCCCACCTCTCAGTTGCCAAGAAAGAAGATGAGGGAGGTTGGATGAGAGATGAAGGCCGCATGAGAGAGAGTCTGTTCTGCCCCTTCTGAGCACAGATAAGTGCCCAAGGCTTAGCTGAGGAAGCAGTCTTTCTTCACTCTTGCTTCTGCCCATCCTCTTTTAGCACTGAGGCAGCTGCAGTCTGGGTTATTTTAGGGCAGCCAGTGTTATTTTGGATGCTGGCCCCTCTTATATGGGCAATATTGACTGAATATTCAAGCTTTTTTCTAGGCAAAAGGGAATGGTGGTGTTTGGGATTTAGTAGATAAGATAATGTTGGTATGTTTCTGCTGGCGGCCCGTAATTTCTCCTTAGAGTTTGGTTGTGTCCGCTTTTCCGTTAAGGTGGCATCTAACTTGTAGAATAACTAGTTTGTGCAGAAGAAACTGTAAGTTTGCCTTAATTTCTTCAACTTACATGAAAAAGGTCAGAAATGGTCATTTACTGGTGGTGTTTGGAATTAATATTTTATGTAAGTGTGGTACAGAAGCTTGAATACGTTATTAACTTTGTGGAATTTTTGATACTAGTTGAACAAAGAAATGACTAGTGAACTAAACTTGTATTTTGATTTCAGTTATGCATCCTACAGAAAGCTTTGTCTTTACCGCAGTAGTAAGAGAGTAATAGCATTGCTGGTAAAAATGCATGGAGATGGATTATTTGGAGCTATCAACGTTCTCCTCTTACAGATATAAGAAACAGAAATTATGTGTTTTGAAATACGTTTTTTTTTTCTTTCACAGCAGAAGATAATTATAAAATGGCGTCAGTTTCTGGTTTGATTATGCAGTGTTGTGATTTTTATTCATTTGACTTAGTACACGTTTCACTCATGTCATCTTCCTGAATCCAGGTTCTCTAGGGAAATCCTGAATATGTGATTTATAATCAAATGCTTATAAGCAAACAGACAAACCACAGCTACTCTCTGAATATGAATTCTATCATTAGCTGTTATACTGATTTGTACCCTGCCCATGCTGTTAGATTTGTTTTCAGAGAAAATGCAGTTTGAATTAGTGTAATATATGAAGCATCTCTTCTACTTAATTGTCAGTGCAGTTTCAGTCCATTTTCTTAGAAATTGTGCCTGCAGAGTACTGCAGTAATCGAGTTCTTGTTGTCTGTGTTCATTCAGCAAGAGATTTTTTTTTCCCCTCTGTGTTCAGCACAACAGCCACACCACCTTGTCTGTGAAATTTGACATATGGAGTCACAACACCTTTTTAGTGGAGCTGTTTTGTGAATCATGAGTTGTAGGAGGAGATTTGGGGATCTGATCCTTAATTGGTTGCGAAATAGCAAGGAAACCATCTGAGTGTATTGAGGTGGAACCAGTTCATGTCCATAATCTAGTGATGAGGACTAAGATGAAACTCCTGCAGAAGACCTTGTTTCCATTCATCACTGTGGATGAACACCTATCTGTGGATAGGTGTTGATTTGGTGACTTAACAGATTTTCACTATGATTTCTGAGCTTCAGGTTGTAAGATCATGTTACATCAGGATATATCATGTTACAGAATTTGGGAATATTAAGAAAACAAGCTTCAGTTGTTGTTCCCCTATTGCCTGAAGATGGGGTTTCTTATGACAGAAGCATGTTTGTGAACATGTGAGTCTCAAGGCAGGGATTTTTACATTTGTGTATGTGCAGTAAAATAGCAAGGTACCTTATGTAGTTAGTATGTGCTTGCTGATACGTAACTAATCATTGCATTTAGTTCAGCTACTGCTTGTGACAGTCGTCTGATGACTTACCTCTTTTTAAAACATAAGCATAAGACAAAGCATTAGTTAATGCAACTTGGAAAGACAGACGTATTTTTATAGAATTATTTTTTACATTCCACTTGTTCTTGTCTTCTACCAAAAAAATAAAAAATCCAAAGCAGCAACCAGAAGTCCTGCAGTCTGACTGTGTGCCATCGTCCCAGCAGAAAACCTCCCCTAGTGACCCAAATTCTGTTCACCCCAACCATCTGCAGTGCTGTTACCAGATTTATGTTTATTCATTATAGGCCAGTGTGGTTGTAGTGAATTGGAAGCTGGTGTGTTGCGAAGAAATATAGTACAGTGCATCTATTCCATGTCTGATGCCCATGCAGACCCTTCCAAATTAACTAGTTGTTCTATGTTCCTCTCCAGAGAGAGGCTGTGTCTATCTTTAGGGGCCTTCCAGGACCAAGTCTCTGCTTTGTAGGGCCAGGAACAAGGCTCTTCTGTGTGCATATGCTAGGGATGCTGATTAAAGCAGCCTGCTTGGGGGGAAAAAATAAAGAAACTAAACACTTCCTAGTCTTAGGCAGAGCCTGTGACCAGCTGTGGTATATTGGTTACTTTCCTGTTGGAGCAGGGAATTGATGTGGCAGCAGTAAAGCAGCTGGTTTTTCCAAACCCAGAAGCTGCTCTCGAGTTAAAAGGATTTGAAGGGTTGCCGTTGAGGCTAATAATTCTAAGATTATATCTGCTAGCTGGATATTAGATTTGAGGGTGTACACATGCCCTAATGCCTGCGGATGTGCCAGCATAGCTTAGAGCTTTGTACTGTAATCTGTGGTGATACTCAGCTATAAAATGATCTTTTGCTCAGGATTACAAATTACTGCAGAACCTCTTTCTTTAAATGGGAAAAGGAAAGATCCTTCACAGAATGGTTGGGTACCAAAAAGGACTGTCATGATTTAACCTCCAGCCATTGACAAAGCCCCACATAGCCATTTGCTCACTCCCCCACCAGCAGGATCGGGGAGAGAATCAGAAGGGTAAGAGCTGGAAAAGTCATGGTTTGAGATAAAGACAGTTTAATAGAGAAAGCAAAAGCCACACACACAAGCAAAGCAAAACAAGGAATTAATTCACTCCTTCCCGTGGTGTTCAGCCATCTCCAGGAGAGCAGGGCCCCATCACATGTAATGGTTACTTGGGAAGATAAACGTCATCATTCCAAACGTCTTCTCCTTCGTCCTCCCACTTTATGTACTGAGCATGATGTCCTATGGTCTGAAGTATCCCTTTGGTCAGTTTGGTTCAGCTGTCCCAGCTGTGTCTCCTCCCAATGACCCATGCACCCCCAACCTCCTTGCCGGCATGGCTGTACAAAAAGCAGAAAAGGCCTTGACTCTGTGTAAGCCCTGCTCAGCAATAACAAAAACATCTCTATATTGTCAACCCTGTGTTCAGCACAAATCCAAAACGCAGCCCCATGTCATCCACTGGGAAGAAAATTAACTCCTCCTAGCCAAAATCAGCACACATGCATTTTATGATAACTTTCCACCTCAAAACTAAAAATCTCTTGTGTCTACCATTGTTGTCATTGAAGCTTTCATATAATGTTTTTAGTACAGCATTTGAAACGTATTAAATAATTCCAAGCTGGTCTAGCCTTAAGCAAAGAAAAATCAAGATAGCATTTGTGAGGTCTTATTTCTGCGAGAGAAGTTTAAATAGGCTTTTCTGCCCATTAATTTAGCTTTTAAAGTGTTTTAGTTTCCTAGGTAACTATGAGGAGATTTGTGTAAAACTGTTATGAGGCACCACCACTTTGATTATCGTGGGGCACCGGTGCAATGGGCCCATTTTAGGTGAGATAGACGTTTGCACTTGCCTTGCGTCCCTGCAGCAGCACTTAACCCCAGTTATCTTTGAGAGGGTTAGTTACCCTCCTTGCTGGCAATCTGAGTGAGGATACCTTGGATAATAGAGGTGAAGAGACCAAAGGTGACCTCCCACTCAAGAAGTGACACCACTTTTTGACAACCTGATCATCATTTCTGTATTAAGCCCAGCTTAAGCAAGGCACTGTCATTCAGTGAGGATTACAGAGTGAGCTCTGAAAGGCAGATATTTATGTACCTGAATGGCTCTAAAGCTAAGAGCAAGTCATGTCCAGGAGATACTGGTATGGTAAAGGATGAAAAGCAGAATGGCACATGGAATTTGTAGATGAAAATGGGCATTTCAGCTGAGACAAATATAATTGACCTAAACACTGCCCAAAATGTGGGGGGAGCTATTTCAGACAAAACATAGGTGGCTGTAGTTGTTGAAGAACCACCTTTACCTTGGTTCATTAAGGAAGTAACTTGTGCTAGTAACTGAGTGTGTGCCCATGTACGTAGTTTCCACCTGTATAGCTTAAGACCAGGAAGCTGTTTCTCCTACATGGAGGTAGAGTCTCGCAGGTATTAGATTTAGAAAAATGAGTTGTCTTCCCAAAAATAGATGCTGATACATGACCTGAATTGTAGTATTATTAAGGTATCGGAAGACCCATATTAGAGAAATCATCAATGCCTTAGTCTCAGAGTTCATGTCCTGCTCCATACCAATGAACTTTCCTATAAAATGCAAAATCATAGGAAGGTAAGATTCATGGGCCCTAGTGCTTAAGGACCTGCTTTTCTTTTCAAAGGAAAAGGTGTGAGTTGGTTGGTGCCTGTGAGTAACAAAGCAAGAGACCAAAACCACTCTTGGTAGTGTATTTGGATTCCTGGCAATATAAGTAATGGCACTGAATGAGAGAAGTGAAAACTGGTTCAGCTGCAAAACTGAAAAGCTTGAGAGGAAGGGTTTTTTTCGTTTTTATCAGTTGTTTTGAATATAGGTCCTAATTTTCAAAGAAAGACAAGGTTGTTCATTTTGTTCAGCATGGGATCTTCTGTTCATTTTGTCAGGGAGGTGTTCTGAATGTTTGTCTTAAAGAAAAGGCTTGGATTCACAAAAATAATAGAGGATAAGGAAGTGATAGTGGCTTTTTTATTGCAGCATCTGCTTGGGTATGAGAAGTGTTTAATTTCCTATTCTGCCTGATGTACACCCTCGTCTCTTTTCTCAGGAGAAGTCCTGAGCATTATATCACAGAACATACTCTTTCCTGGCTACATTTCTGATAGATGTTTTTCAATAACAGTTAGTGGGAACTGGCCACCAAATGCCCTGGCTGCCAAGGTATTCCATCTTTCTCTGTGTCCCTGGTAATAATTGAGATACATCTCAGAATTCTGTGGCCTGTGGTGTGGAAACTGCTGGTGTTCGTCTTTGCTTGAAACAAGTAAAGAACAGATCAGTTTGCTTCCAGCTTGGCTCCTCTGCTTTGCAGGAACAATGGAAGTCAAATTTTTGTCAACAGCATTTCATGAGTGACTTGAAATACCATCTTAGTCCTTTGTAATGTAGTCTTGTCTCCTGATCAGAAAGATGTGGAGATATTTACTATCTGATAGGAGCATAGATACGTTTATCTTCAAAGTATTTTTTTTTTTTAATGAAGCAAAGCTATTACTGTAGAAGGTCTTTGTAGTTGAATCTAGTACATATTTGTAGAATGCTGTTGTGGGTTTGTTCTGGGCCAATTTCTTTTCACCCCCCACACAATTGCTATAAGTTGAGAGAAGGTTTATGCAGACAAAGGAGATGTGATGTGGGGAGAAATAATATTAGGATTTATTACTAGCAAGATAAAAACTAAAGAACTATATATACAACAATTCTAACTAGGTAAAAGTGTTATGTATTTACAGAAATACCCCTCCCTCCTTGTATCAGTTCAGGAGGAGAAGCAGTTTCTTTTCCACTTCCAGAGCTACAGATCTTCTAAATAATTTTGCAGCACTTGAAAGTTCTTCTTCTGTTATCTTTAAGAAAACAGCTCCGATTTGTTGCAGCTGGAACTGTCTCTTTCTCTCTCTCTCTCTCTCTCTTCTATGTCGACCTCAGGGCTGGGCCTACCCCCTCCTGGGCTAAGACCAGAGGCTGGGGGTTATCCGAGCCCTGTGGGGTCTTCCATGGACTGCAAGGGGACAATTGCCTTACCATGGTCTTCCCAAAGAGTCACAGGGGATAATGGCTTTGGAGTCCACCCCTGTTTCTTGTGGGGTCCCTCCTCATGAGAGGCAGTTCTTGATAGACCTCTCTAATGTGAGTCTACACCTTCGGGCAACAGTTCTTCCATTCTCTGCTGTCCCTCAGGGTCACAAATTCAGCTGCACCAGCATGGATCCCTCACTGGGTCAGAAATCCTACCTGGGCTGACTCGCTCCAGCGTAGGTCTCTCTCTCCATGAGCCACAGGTCTCCAGCAGGACTCTGCTTTATTTTAGGCCTCCCACGGAGTCACATCATCTTCATGCACTCCTCTGCTTCGGCGTGGGCTCCTTCACGAGCTGCAGAGGAGGGTCTCTACTCCCCAACAGTTTTCGACAGATGGCAGGGGTTTTTTTTTAGTTTTCAGTCTTCCCAGCTGAAGGGAGAGAAAGAGAGAGAGGGGATGGAAAAGGAGCCCCCTTTTCGGGCTGCTCTTCTCTCTTCTCTGGCTACCAGCTTTGACCTTGGAGGCTTTGCTATCTCTGCCTGGAATTCCTTTTGCAGCATGTCTTGTCCAGGTTCTTCTCTAAAGTGTTTTTTTTTTTCCCTACTCTGTCACAGGAGAGAAGGGGCCTGGCCCCCTCTCGCCCAGACCAGACTTGGCCTGGGATGGGGGATGCATGCCCAGGCTCAACAGGGCTGGCTGCTACGCTGGCTCTTCCATTTTTCTTCTGTGCCACAACCTTCTCTTCCATTTTCTTAAATATGTCATTGGCAGAGGTGTTACCAAAACTTTTCATTGGCTTTGCTCCGGAAATCCACCTGGAAAAAGCTATTTTTAGCCCCGGGGGCTCGTCGGCAAATCCACGACAAATTCATAGTGCTCCATGGCCATGTTAAGTGAAAAGATTTTCCCCATAAGGGATGGAGAGAAGCTAAAGTTAGGCATTTTCTCAGTTTTTATTCTTTGTTTTTCCTTCTTCAGATTCTTCAATTTGAAGAAATTTTGGCCAACCCTTCATACCGAGAGCACTTCCGAATCTACATGGAAAGGATGGACAAGATGGCTTTGATTGGTCTATGGGAGTCTGTGGAGAATTTGAAGAGTGCTAACAAGGTAGAAGAAATTGCAAGCATGTATGGCTTTGTACAGTGAAAGCAATCTCTGCTGGTTGTAATCTTGATGTTAGGAAATTTCTTTATCTTCTTAAAATATAACATAGGATGGGTGCTAAGCAATTTGGGGTTTTTTTAATACTTCTTGTCAATATTTGAAGATAATACTGCAATTAAAATATATGGGCTGTTGTGACGATGATTTACTGTTGTTTGGTGTAGCAACATCCCATTAAAAGTATACTTTAGATGTAAAAGTAGTAGAATTATTTCCCCCTCCACCAGAGATTAAACTTGCAGTAATATATTGGCTTTAGTTGTATCAGCTCACGTGAAACCTTAGAAGTGCATTTCCATTGGATAGTCTGTACATAAGCTTCTCATCTTGCTAATTACAGGTAGCCCATTCAGTCCAAAACAGTGTAAACACATGCATATATGCTTTTAAAATCTTTCTGGAAGAGAGGTTTGGATTTAAAAGACCTCTCCATATTCTGTTGCTGTATAAGCAGGCAAGTTTCTCCAGGAATGCCACACTACTCTTAGAGAGAAGAAACAATGCTATATTGTAATTTGTGCTAAAATAAAGTAGGAATAAGAACCATGAAACAAGGATAGGAAATACAGGTTAAAGTTGCAAAAAGTATCCTGAACCAATGCTGTATAGCAAGAGTAGAGGACAAATTTGCTGTTTGTGAGCAGTGAGGTGGATTTTTGGGGAGACTATTAAACCTCCAGGATTCACACTAGCATGAAATACAAATTTCATTATCGATATCAATTACCTTTTTATTCACTGTAATTTTACTGCTCTCTTATGTATAAGGGTTCTAGTCAATTGGAAAATAATATCCTGTAAACAAAGTGGCAAACTGTTGAGTGTGAGGAGTGACCCATTGATACAACCTGAAGAAATGACTAACAACCACCTCAAGCTAGAGTGTTTTTAAAAAAAAAGTTTGTCAGGCTCTGTGAAGAAAGTTCTATGAATCAGTTTTGATTCACAAACTGCTTGTGATTGCAAAAGGTGCTATAAATCATTAAATCTAACCATAAAGTGGTGATCACACTGTTGCTCTAGCACTTTTCTTCCTTTTAATACCAGCTTTTGGAGCATACTTTCAAAAGCAGTGGGTGGGGAAGCTATGACAGTTTTAGAGCACAGCTGTTTCTTGTCCTGACAAATATAAATACTCAGCTTGTAGAATTGACTGCTTAGCATAGGTGCACAGGCAGACAGCATGCTTGTTCTCAGTAAGAGGTTCACAGATGTGTCCTCATACATCTGGATAGGAAATTAGCTTGATTATCCTTCAAATTATGCACCTGGGTTCTGAGTCATCCTGATATTTTTAACATTTTTTCATTATTCTTTTCTCTGTCCCTCTCCCTCCTTGCTTCCTAGCCTGAAATACCTCAGCTGGTGAGTGAAATTTATCAGAATTTTTTTGTGGAAAGCAGAGAAATACCTGTGGAAAAATCCCTTTATAAAGAAATACAGCAAAGTCTTGTGGGAAATAAAGGCATTGAAGTATTCTACAGAATTCAGGCAGATGTTTACGAAACCCTAAAAGACAGATACTACCCTTCATTCGTTGTCAGTGATTTATATGAGAGATCAGTCAAGAAGGAAGAAGAAAGAAGTTCTGCTCAGCTAACTCCCGAGGACAAAGATGAAGTGGTGAGTCACACAAACAATTCCTTTCACTGTTATTTAAACTGATTTGAGGGATGATCTTGAGAAAAGCATATAGTAGCCTCTTCTGTCCTTGAGTGTTGGACTACTCTTCTTTTGTTCTAAGTGTCATCACTCTTATAGTTTCATCTGTTAACACCTGTATATTGACAAGTTCTTTGAAACAAAATGGTACAAAATAACTGACTACTTAAACTTGAAATTAGTTAAGGTAGATAGTTCAGATTTCTAAGTCTTCAGTATTTCATGTCTTTCATTATGCTCCTTAGTAACAGAGAATGCAAAACATACCTCACAGAAGCTCAGCTGGTCTGCTTTTCAGTGATGAAAACTTCACTGAAATATCAGTAGATTTCTACCCAGATGTTGTCTGTGCTGGTCTCTCATGCATTTCCTAGATACTAAGTAGGTATTAAAGTTGCAATTAATTAAGAGAAGAAAAAGTAATGAAAACTATAATCTGAGTGTGGTTTTTATTAATTCATTGAATAAATTCATAGGCCATTTTAGAAGATAAATCTAGCACAAGAACTCTTGAGTGCTAAACCAGAGCATTCAAAATGTCACAAGCAATAATCCAATGGCAACTCTTCTTGGGGTGGGATTTTTCCGTGGGTTGTCTAAATCAGTCATGTCACGGGAACTTGTGTTGTGATTATCTAAGAACGTTTTGACAAGAGCAAGTTTCAGACTACTGAGTGCATCTTTTAGCCAGGCTATTGCTTCAGATCAGCATGGATATCTTCATTTTACATTTGAACTTGCTCAGAACACAATGAAATGTAACAGTGCATCTAAAACTGGATCTAAATAAACAAATAAACAGAATCCAGAAGTGCTGATCTACATTCTCCCCTTTAGAAACAATTTTTCCAGAACACAAAACTTACATATTTACTGCTTAAATATGGCTTTCATTTCTGTAGGTGAGTCTCTGTATTCTGCATATCAGCAAATCTGCAGAGATGACCTGTTATAAGTAAATTATTTCCAATATGCAAGCTTTTAGAGCTTGCTGAATCTTTTCATTGTTTGTTTTTTTCCCTGTATTCTTTCCCTTCAAGACATGTTTTCTAGTTTTCTCCCTGCTAACTCAGCTATGTGCTGAGAGTTGTAGGTACTTCAAAGACTGTGTGTCTTTACCAGTTTTGTCCAGTACTTTCTAAAGCATTAAATGTGCTTTTTAATCTCTTCATATGCTTTATTCAGACTCTGACACAGATAACCATTTCTCTAAGAAAACTGACAACCCTTTAGGGCTAGCTGTTCTCTGTCAGATAACATCTACTGTAGCTGCCAAAAAATTAGATTTTTGACATCAGCATCATCTGTCCTTTCTCTGAGTCCTTGGATATGTATATGCCAGATTTGAAGTCTGGGTCTGCCCTCAAATCTTAAGGAGTAATATGTTGCCAAGTCTCCTTATAGGATTAAAGCTGGGGTATTTTTTTTTAATTTTAAAAACAAATTAAGTATGAAGTTGTATATACTGTTAGAGTATCTCTTGAATAGAGCAGTTCTAATAGCACTGTGCTGTACTTCATGGTCTTTGAGGTGAAAACAAACCATAAGAAGTTCTTTCTGAAGCTTCCATTGGTCTTTCAAATGTTGGTGAAAATGCAGTACCGTATAATATATTTGTGGGATTTTTTTTCCCTCCCCATGTATAGGAAACAACAGCTCAGACATCAGATCTTTCTGGAGGGATACGTATTGTTTGCAAGTAGTGATTGGTTTTGGTTTAGTTTGGATTTTGGGTCTACATCCTTACTTCCTGGGCCACTAGGGGAGTTACCTTTCTTAATCTTCTATATATTTCACTGCTAAAGCTGGATAGGTAAAAAGTCATCTAGTGCATTCATGAAGGCAAGGACAAAAGGATGAGCCTTGATTAAATGTGGGAAAATCAAGTCACAAGACAGGAATCAGGACAAGGCCAGGCTCTTTCTTCTTCTTTCCAGTCTGTTACCACTTTCTGTTTCCTGGACAAACGTCCTTTAGAAGGTCACAAGTAGAAATACAGAAGCAAACAGTGCTTACGTATGGCGTTTTGAGGAAAGAAGGTCTGGTGACTGCATTGGTGCTGCATTGCTAAAATAAGACTGAAGTCTGTGTTCTGCATCACTCATAGAAGTGAAAGCCGTAATCCGTTTAGCAATCATGAAAACAGCACAATCCACTATGATCTCAGCTTTGAGTGCATTGGTTGCTTATTTGCTGAATTTGATAACTTGAATACAGGTAACTTGTTCTTGTAATTCTAGCATTTCTGTGATAAACCTAGTGATTCAGTAGTGGTTTTTGCTTTAAGTGCCTAAGAAGTTAATGACAGAGAAATCGTGTAGCCTACCTCTGGGAGCAGAGCCTCACTGATTTGTAATTAATTGCAATTCTCTGATTACTGATACTGAATTTCATATGAAAAGTCCTTCAGTTCTTCTGTGTTGAAAATAGCGTTTTTGACTCCTTTTTTACCTCCATGCTTCCCAACCAGTATAAGGTTTCTTTATTTACTTTATGATTCTGTTGAATAGCATTTTGAATAACAGCCAATATTGTTAATTATTATTATTTGTATTACTGTAGTTCCAGGAGATGACAACAGGTTTCCATGAGCTGTACATGTGCTTGGAGGCAGTCTCTGACCTGAGGAGTTTACAGTCCATGCGGAATAGACAGAAGAATAGACAGGGCATAGAGCTAATGTTTATTACTCAGCCACATCGCAGGCAAATGCAGAGCTGGGAAAGGGCATGGATTTCTTAGCATAGAACTCCTTACTTCTGCATTATGTTACCCTTTCCTGTGAGGATCGAACTAAAGCAATTATTATTGTTGCTACTGTATCTTTTCTCAGACTATTTTAATAAGATACAGTGGAAATTACAGTAGAATGGTCTCCTCTAAAACTCACTAATTTAGTAGAGATGAGACTTCCTTCTGTTAGCTTTTTGTTAATTATATAAAGATACAGCTTACTTCGTGGGAATATCATTAAAGAACATGGAGCTCCTGTTCATGAGATTAAACTCAGCTTCCCACAGATAAATTTAGATATATCCAGTCACAAACAGACCTCAATGATCTTTGAATGTGGCTGAGAATAAAAGCTGAGTGCTGTGTTTGCTGATCTCAAGGTCTTCATTGCCTATTTGGGGATGTACAGTAAGAAAGGCGAGGCTGAGGTAAATGCCAAAAGATGTTAAAGAGAATGTCACATAAAGATGTGAAGTTTTCTATTTTTGGTATGCCTGTAGTACACAAGACAGAGAAAGCTATTGGTTTGTCTGAATGAATATATGATAATGATTTATGAGTTTAGGGTAAGGCATATGTGCTTTTAACACATTTTTATTAGCACGTCTAAAAATAGCAGTAAAATCTGTTTATGAAGTAAAAGGACTTGGTTTAAATTGTTCTGCAGGATGACAAATCTGTTTTGTGAAGATTTGTGGGAGGACTGTTGTTAGAAATGTGGGGTTTTTTTGGTTTTGTTCCTCACTGCCCCATCTCATCATCCTGCAGCTCAGAGCCAAGTATTTGCTTTTTTATCTGGCTCTGACTATTGATCATGACTATTAAACTGTTGTTGCTTTTTACACTAAAACCTCAACTTGAAGGTCATTTTACACAGTTGGCAAGAGTTGCCAAAGAACTGTAGTAGAAATGGTAATGAGACTTCGTTGGGATTTTGGGATTTGGTTTGTTTTTTTATAACAGACTGATGTTTCATGTTGGATCTGGTGGTTGGAATATCTGTTATACATACATTTTTGTCTATATCAAGAAGTGTTCTTACACATAAAATGCTTAACAAGCAAACAGTGACCCATCCCTCCCCCATCCATGGAAGTGTTCAAGGCCAGGCTGGATGGACCTCTGAGCAACCTGGTCCAGTGAAAGGTGTCCATGCCCATGGGGAATCGGAGCTAGGTGACCTTTAAGGTCCCTTCTAACCCATGCTTTCTATCATTCTATGAATAACTGTCTCTTTTTTTGTAATAATGTTGCAATTAACCCCATTCTCATTTCCTAGAGCCAAGGTTGTGAAGAAACTACTGAGGAATGCAGCACAAGAATTAATGAACAGGCCAGTTATGCTGTAAATAAACTTCGTCAGCTAAATGACAAGCTTGAGTATAAGAAACAGGCTCTAAATTCCATATGTAATTCACCAAAACCCGACAAAAAGGTAAGTACCTTTACTGTCTTCAGTTTTGGTATGTTTGGGTTTTTTAAAAATGTTATGTGCGTGTGTAGTATCCGGTTGTCACACTTTGCACAGGTCAGATTGCTATTTCAATCAACTTGTTCAATAGGAGGCGAAATCAGAGCTTAGTTTTAATTGTTTATTTTTCAATTTTTTTAAAGCTATTGTAACTAAAATTGCAAATGTGATTTATATTGCTTTGTTTGCCATGGAAAAACGACCACTCCCTCAGTGGTCTTGCTGCTTTGTCGGTGGGAAATAGTGCTGCTTCCTTCCCTCCCTGCCCTGCCGACTTGGTGTAATTCCTATTGAGCGCTGCCGCGGAGGGATGTGCTGGTCCACTCCCGCGCCCTCTGCTGGCTGTGAAGAGCACAGCACAACTCCGTAATCCAGCTGGGACGGATTTGGTCGAATAAAGGGATAAAAAAAGCCCCAAACCTATCAAAGTGACTGATTTCCTTTATTAGGAACTAGGAGAAAGCACACTATCATCAGATGAAAAATTCTGAGGGATATGATACTTCAGCACTCTGGACTTGGGCTAAAAACAAACAAAAAATCTCCTTTTCTCTTTCAAAGTGAAACAGTTAAGCATTCTGAAACAATATTCTGGAGAAGCAAGTGATTTGCATATGGCTTAGGCCAACTCATTTGCGTTGCTACCGAGGGTGATATTACAGGACTGTTGTTCAGACACAGGTGGGCCAAGCTTGTTAGGCGTACTGAGACTGCTTGGTTGCAAGTGGTAGACAGTGGGTGAGACCAACAAGTAGCCAAGGCCATCTCCCTCAAATGACCTGCTACAGGTGACAAAAATGTACCTGGGCATTAGTCATTGCTCAGAAGCTGGATTTTTTGTACGTTTGTTCCTTCACTCAGGACGAATGGTAAGATGCTGCTCTGAATAGAAGCTGACTTGCTCTCTGGCACCCCAGCTCTGGGGAGATAGCTAGCTACCTCTAAGAGAAAGATGTGAACACTAGCATTTGAGGCTACCCTGGCTAGCTTTATTCCCTCTGTCCCTTCCACATCTCCCTTCTGCTAGAGGTTACTGCAGACAGCTGAAAATGTGTTTGCAGCTCTTCTGGGGTGTCTGCCTTCCAGCCCAAGCCATTCTATGATTCTGTATGACTAAACCTTTATATATTGTTCCATTCACCTGGATGTATCACTTCTAGGTTCCCTTTGCATTCTTGAAACATAATAGCTGTGTTCTTTTTATACTTAAGCTCTTGGGGAGGCAGGGATTGTAGCCCTACTAAAGTAGTGGGGTTTTCCCTGTTTTTGTTTCTAAAATATTTGTTTTTGGAAATATATACATCTCTGAAACAGAATAGTAAAATGGATCCAGTGTCATTGTAAAGTCTATGTTTTGGTTTGTAAATGTAGCAGCTGTTTACTTATGATGAAACCTTACTAGTTCTTCTATATTCTTGCATGTTCCTGGATGCCAGTGGAGTCAATGCAATGTGACTGTAGAGCAGCCTCTGTACTGGTAGTAAATAAATTAAAATAAAAAATTATTCTGAAGGTTAGGTATCTGCTAGAATGTTGTTATATAGCTGTAATGTAACTAACATTTCATATTTAGCATGAGACAAAAATTCTGAACAAGACAGAATTACTGTAGCTCTGTAGAAGGCACCACTTGTGGTACATGTGATAGAACTGATAAACTTAACTGTGTGGTGTATCATATTTAAAAATAAAAAAGTGTCAGGTGCTTTTGCCATGTTTCTAATGTTACATCTTATGTGTACTTCCACTTTTTCATGTCATGCTGTCTCCTGACAGAATGTTTGTTTACTTACTATTTTTGCTGATGTGATGAGATACACTATTTCTCCTTTATTAGATTATGATGGTGAGTTATGTCTTGACAAGAACATATTTTTAAATTTGTGCTTTCCACAATAATAAATCCTTGCCTTTTCAAAACTGAAATTAAATCAGTGGTAACTTCCTGAATGATTGTTAACACAGCAAAATTCCTAGAAATGAAATCTATTGCCAGGTTTGCATAGTGTATACCTGAAAGTGATAAGGAGGATGTCTTCAGTAATGCCTATTTCAGTGATGGCAATTTCAACTTTGTATAAAGCATTCAGTGTGTAATATACCATCCAGTCTCAAGTGCCTTTTATGCTGATAGTGTGATAGTAGTGTGTACTTCTAACTTGATTTTTATTTTAGTATCAGAGTTGACTGTTAAGATTGCTGTATATTCTAGCAGATTATAAGAGGCATCATTGATTCTCTCACTTTTGATTTTTTTTTTTTAATCCAAGTGAATTGTTCTCCCCCTGCTTTTGTACCTTTTCTTTATGAACAGTGTCCCCAAGGACACAACTAGGCATGCTGCACGAACTTTTTCTTACCAGTTGTAATCAATAAACTTCCCTCTACAGATTGTTTCTAAGCTGAAAGATGAAATTACTCTGATGGAGAGAGAGCACAGTGACCTTCAGCTGCACATTGCAAGAACAGACTGGTGGTGTGAGAATCTTGGCATGTGGAAAGCCTTTATTGTCTCAGGAGAGGTATGGGATTTTTTTATGGCTTTTTGTCTTCTGGGTCAGTTCAAACTTGCATGAAAAGTGGAAGAAAAACGTGTAGATACTTTCGTTGTACCTTTGTGTACACTGTATATACTTATTATTGACTTGTGGGGGTGGAACCCTCTTCTGAGGGTTCCTCTTGTTTCCCAGTGGCTACTGTGATGCATATACAAAATTTCTGTTCCTCAGACACTATTGTAACAGAGTTATAAAAATTACCTGCATGAACATAAACTGGTTTTGACACATTGCTCTCTTAGAGGCATTGTTTTTATGAGAACTGTCTCTTGTTATATTAACATGCTATCGCACTTGGGTGCAGTTGTATCTCTGCTGTGTCTCAAAGATGCAGTACTTACACTCATTATTTTGTAGTATTATATTTAATAGCAGTACAGTTTCAGGGGACTAGAATACCCAGAAAGAAAGTGCTTTATGAAGTAAAATGAAGTAAGATGAAGTTACTTTTTTTTTTTTTTTCTGCTTTTCCATTTGGGCCTAGGCAGGCAATTGTAAAATAAATGTAAAAAAATTTGTAATGAAAACAGGAAGTGTTACCATCTCTTAGCTCTCTAACACTTGCCATGAAAGGAACTGAGTGAATGCTTGTTATGTAGTACATAACATGTACATAAGCAATCTTCTTGACAATATCCCAACAGAGAATTAAAGATTAATTGGGTCTCTATTGGCTTACCTTCCTATACCATTAAGAAAATGTTCCTGGAATGAATATAAGCAGTTATCTTGAGGTAACTTTTCATTGAAGGAAAAGTATGTACTGTTGAGTTTATTTGGCTGTCTTAAGCTCTTGCAAGCTAGTGATAGGTTGTGTCAACAATTAAATTCACTGTCTGTGAAAGAAGAAATAAATCCAACCGGTTAAAAACTTAAGGTGACATTTTTAAAACCCAATTCTCCATGTGCAGACATCTGGGTTTGAATTTGTTTTAATGCTGTTTGCAGGTGACACATTTGAGAATTGAAAAGGTCTTAAGTTGTCTTTTAAGAGTTGTCTGTAGCTTTTGAGGCCTGGTTTTAAAATCTGGCAATGCTGTGTGCAGCAAACCTGCAGAAGGGCAACTTTGTGGTAGGGGCCACCATACACAACTGCCCAGTGTCTCCCATAGTACCAGAGGAGAAAGTAGTTTGGCTAAATAAGATGGATGTTGGAAGAGGCTTCTAATTACTTGCTGCCTTAACTATAACTTATAAGTAGTACTGGAATAGGTAGACTTGCATTAGTTGTCTCGTTTGTGGCTCTGTGCTTCAAAGGGTAGGCTGGGGGGCATGATTAGATGACACTGTCTTCCTATCTGCAAAATATGCTCTTGCTAATCCCAGCATGTAGCTCTGTGATTTTAGAGAGAGAAAAACTTGGTAGCCCTATTGTTTTGCAGTAAAACTTAGTAAAAGTAAATTTTTATATAGAAATTAGGCTGAAAGTGTAATAGCCTGTCATTGACCTCTTAAACTGATTTACTAAATCAGTTAATAGATAGCACATAAAAAAACTAAGAGTTACTTAAGACTTGGAAAAAACTCCATGTCTCCCTTGTCCAAAGAATGACTGTTTCAGAACATAACATCTTTTAAAAAATCTATTGCTTTCATAAGAGTGGAGCTTGTAGATCTGAATAAGGGGAAAAAAACTGCATGTTTCTTACTGTTACCACACCCCACACACCTGGGTAAGAGGTGACTAGAAAGCCACCCAGCAGAAAAAGGCCTGGGGGCCTCGAATGAGGAACTTCCATGTGAAGTGATTCTGAAAGCACCTTCATTTGCTTAACTTAGCTGAAGGGAGAGAATCAGAGGAATAGGGCTCTCTAGTTTGAATTCTTTCATGATAGCAGTTTTATGAAATGTTGCCTATTAACAGCAGAGGACTAGTTCTCCTGGTTTAGACAACCTCCTAACATCCCATTTTTCTGTTTTCCAGTTGGCTCATTAATTCGGAAAAACAAATGCACAAGTACATGAGTTGATCAAGAATTTTGCATTCTTAAGAATATTCTTAAGACTTCCAGTATTTTTATATGAGAGTGTTTGAGGGCACTTGAAGAAAGTTGTAATGTGTCTCCATCTAGTAATCAGAATTTAAGTAATTTTGCACGTGGATCCTAACCTGAAGCAGGAGTACTAAGTCCTCTCATTCTGAGAATGTACTTCCAGAGTGATGACTCTCTCCTGACAATTACAGTTCAGATGACCCTACACCCATGCAAATCCCTGCCCTGGGAACAAATGGACAATGATAGGCATGGCTCAAATCAGCAATTTCAGCACTGATGCCCCAGTATTTAAAAGCTGCAGCCAGGAGGTGTTGGTGAGTCACCTACAAGCACAGATCCAATCTAGCTCAAGGGTACACAGGGCAGAGACTGTCCCAGACAATTCCAGTTCTTCGGAGCCATGTTTCTCTGACCTGTATTTCGAAGGCAGTTCAAGCATCTGCCTGCAGTACTCTAGCAGGAGATAGGCAGTTCCCCAAATAGCTGCACTGAGAAACAATCATATCTTCAGGTGTTCAAGCTGGTGCTTTGTATTCTGTCCAGCTTCTGCTGCAGCTTTTTTACAGAGATATGTGAAATCTGGGCCTCAGATTTGGCTTCCAGTTGTCCTTGTGCAGCTTTAGGAATCACAGGGAATATTCTCCATGTACAGCTCATAATAGCTTAAATATATGAAAGTACATTTTAGCTGCATGTCTTTTACAATGGTTGTCTAGTCATTTGTCAGATTGTCCATCAATATCATTAAGTGTTGTCAGACCTTTACAGCCTTTACAGGCTTCTCAGAAAATGTGTCATAATTATATAAATTTTAAAGTTTATTCTTATCTTAATTTGATAAGTTAAATATTCTTTAAAAAAAGCTTGAAAATGATAACTTCCTCAAAAAGATTGTGTAAGTGGTATTTTATAATTACCTTTCTGTTATTTGCATGTACATAAAGACAAGCATTCCTAGAGTTTAGTATTTTATGCATTTACCTTATTTGTCTTTCATAATCAATTGAGCTGTTATGAATAGGACAAAAGGATGAAATTCTTATGTCAACTCTTACATTAAATGAAGAAATAATGTGGTCACGCTGCTGTGGTCTCAAGAAAAATTGTTTAACTTCTTTGCTGTAGTTTTCCCATTTGCACAGTTTGGTTAAATGGTTCTCATTCCTCTGACTGAGGATTGTAGAGTTGGAATCATTAGTATTTTTGTGAAGTTGTGAGTCCCTCAGAAATAAACACTGCATGGATACCACATCCTCTGTGCATGCAGAATGGCTCGAGTGAGTAGAGGAATCACTGAGACAGCACCAGCGGTCACAGGGCCCAGCTGCAGAGCTGCTGTGCCTGGTGTGTGGATGAGCCTCAACAGGGGCACTGGGAAGGAAGGGTGGGAATAAAGGGAGAACACTCAGGTAAATGCAGGTAGGAGAGATGGAGTACTGATAAGCAATCAGAAAGCTACATGGTAGGGACCTTAAAAACTGAATTAATACACTCAGCTGTTTGAAGAAGACATGTCAGGGAGATTTGATTGCTGGTGGACAGTATTGCAAAGCTTTATGTGAGGTGCAATAGTGATTAGCTAGAGAACTGGTTCAGGACTGGCATAGCATTTTGGGTGAAGTTTAGTTCATTAAGGGTATTGCTCAATATGTAGCTTTCAAATCTCAAGAGAAGCATGGCACTGATGACGACTGAGTTTGCAAGCCAGTCATCTGGCAGCTCAAATGTTCCACTGTTTACTTTCAATGTAATATGACTTATCTGCTGGTTTCTTCCTCACAAGGTTTTAGAAGAGAATGGAGAACAAGTGCCCTGTTACTCTGTCATGGTGAGTTTACAAGAAGTTGGTGGAGCTGAAACTAAGAACTGGACTGTTCCCAGGAAGCTCAATGAGTTTCAGAACCTACACCGCAAACTCAGTGAGGTATGAAAGGGAAAGAAGAAGATACAAATTTCTGTAATTTGTCAGAATGATTAAAATTTAATTCTGCCAGTTTTAATGCAGCCTCTTGGCTTTTAGCCTTTGAGAAATAGTTTTCTGTCTGAATATTTCTGGTCTCTTACAGAGAGAGATGCTTATAAAACTTGTTTATATTTTTTTTCCCCTCTTAAATGTTTTACTGGACCAACCCAATGTCAGAATGCTGTATGCTCTGCACTGTCATGGAAGAGCAGACTGTAAAAACTAGATTTTGTCTCTGACTTCCAGGGAAGTATTAGAAATGACAGCTTTTGGGGACAGAGAATGTTTCTTTTTATAGTGCTTTAACCTTTCTGTGTGGTAAGAGATAGATGATGGTGGTGTGAAGGGAAGCCCCTAGTGGGTAAGGGAGGTGCTTTTCAGGGTGCTGAGAGGGCTGTGGAAGGGAGATGAGAGTACAAAAGAGTCTCTTCATTTCCATTCTGAACCAGTTGTCTTTTCCTCTACATACATGTTAAGTGAGCTCTCCTTTCTCCTACACAGTGTTTTCCATCATTAAAAAAAGTTCAGTTGCCTTCTCTCAGCAAGCTGCCCTTCAAATCCATAGACCAGAAATTCATGGAGAAATCCAAGAACCAGCTTAATAACTTTCTGCAGGTAAGAAAAAAACCCCAAAGCAACAGATATCTAAACAGAAGAATTGAGAGAATGTTGTCTCTCTATTGCCTAAAGAGAGAGCCTAGGAGAATAGGTCAGATGTAAGGCTATAAATGTCAAAGTTGTCTAAAATACCTGAAGTTTAGATGAGTTTGATTGATAGTAACCATTCCTCCAGTGGTAAGTTAATTTAAACTTCAATTAATTAAGAAATCATAAGTAATGAATCCTGTAATCGCCGCCTTTAGCTACAACACCTCACAACAAATTCCTTACAAATGAGAACTTTTATTAAAAAAAGAAAGTTGTAAGATTAAAAACTTTAATCTTACTAATTCCAATACTTCAGAACTAGTTTATTAACGTATCTTCGTGAAACATAGATTTTTTTCCTCACACTACCTAGAAGCCATGACTTACTCGCTTTTAGTGGATGGCTTGACACATCTTATTCCTTAATAAGAAATCTTTAATTGACATGTTGTTTCAGTAATTATTTTTCTTTCATAGAAATTACTCTCTGATGAAAGACTCTGCCAGAGTGAAGCACTTTATGCCTTCTTGAGCCCTTCCCCAGAGCACCTCAAAGTTATTGATGTCCAAGGGAAGAAGTCATCTTTTTCACTCTCCTCATTTCTTGAACGACTTCCTGGTGATTTGTTTTCTCATCAGGAGGTAAGTAGTAGAAAAGTAATCTTCCCAAATTTAATTACTTATACAAAGTGAGCAGGAAAAGTCATTAGTGTTTGAATGGTAGTAATATTGGAAGGCATTTCAAAAGGTGATTTGTAATTTACTGGTGATTTTGTAATTTGCAAAGAGTCATAAATAAGAGCTATCTATGAATTTAAGAGGTGTTTATTAACAAAATAAGTTTCCTGCCCTTTGATAAATGCATATAGGCAAATGCATAAGCTATCACAAATAAAGAAATTGTAGTCCATGAGGGATTGTTTAGTTTTTTATAGCAGAACTTGCCTCTTTTTTGAGGTCTTAATGTGTATATTTCAGAGGAGCTTTGGCAGGTAAAAATAATTCTCTCTTGGGAAGATTCTCTTGCCAGGAACTGTGTGTCCTTAATAATTTTAGGACAACTTCTGAAGTAAAGCTAGTTTTGACCACAAACGTTGGCAAATAGTGCAGGCTTACTGAAGGAATTTGCAAATGCAGGGAGGAATCTATCTGGGCAAACCAGTTGGAGAATTTGATATTAAGCTGTAAAAAACCATGTCTGTCAATAATAGATTAGTGACTGAAATAGCTTATTGACTGGAATCAGCCATAATTCCATGGCACTCAATTCTGTGTTGCTCCTGTTGCAGATATGCAAACTTCAAGTTGTTTCTCTTCCCGTTTTTAGTTATATGTTATACAAAATTTGTATGAAATAATTCATTGCTTATGTGCTGTATTTTTGTGCAGTGGATGGGTCTTCTGTGCGATAATTGGAATTTGGGGAACATATACAGTTCTAACCTCTCAATAGGCAGAGAGGTGGTCTTGCACTTCTCAGAAATAAGAACATTCTTTATATATTTTTCAAAATGGCATTCTGTTTGCATCTAGATGCTGAATGCGTGTGCCTCATTCCAGAGTATAAATACAAAGAAAGTTGGAGAAACTAGATTTGCATTTCAATAGAAGTACTGCAGTTCTAAAACCAAAAGTGCATTCACTAAAATAACTGTTAAGGAATAGCATAAAAGCATAGAAGTGTGCAGCTATTTGTATTTTGCTATTTAATTGAAAAACATCCTCAAGACAAAAGCCAGGCTGTTTGTATATTGTATTATGTGAACGCGTGGGAGGAAATAGATAGGAAATATAGGAGAGGAAAGAGAGAATAAATAAACAAAGCAGGGAATTAGTAAGTAAGATCCCCTGGAAAATGTTTTTGCAGATGCTAGGGTCCATCAGTGCTGGTCACTTTTCAAACATCACCTCCTAAGGGCATAGGAGCAGAGAATTCCTAAATGTCAGAAGTCAAGCAAGTGAGGCAGAAGGCTGGTTTGGCTGAGCAGGGATCTTCTATTGGAAATAAGGCAGAAAAGGAAGGTGTGTGCCTGGTGGAAGCAAGGTCAAGTGACATGGGAAGAATTCAGAGATTCTGTTTGCCGCTATAGGGAGATAATTCATGCAGCCAAAGCTCAGCTGGAGTTGAAGCTGGACAGAAATGTGGGGGACAATAAAAAGAGGTTTTTTTTCAAATACATTAATGGCAATAGGCAGTATAGAAATATCATCAGCTTGTTACAGGATGGGGATGGTCACCTCACAAACAGGGACAGAGACAAGGCAGGGGTGTTTAACACTTTTTTTGCCTCTGTCTTCATCTCACATTATGAACCAAGGGGGTTTCAGTGCCCTGAGCTGGAGGACCATGACTGTGAGAATGATCAACTCCCTGAAATTGCGCAGGATCTGCTGCTCCAGCTGGTTCCTTACAAATCTATGGGGCCTGATGGGATTCATCCAAAGATCCTCAATAAGCTGGCTGATGTCATTGCAAAACCTGTCTTGATGATTTTGGAGTGGTCTTGGGAATCCAGAGAGGTCCAGTTCGATAAACACATCATGAGTTGGGTGAGCAATTGGCTCACGGGTGGAGCACAGAGGATAACAGTGAATGGGGGAACGTCAGACTGGTGACCTGTCACAGTGGTGTTCCACAGGACTCCATCTTGGGGCCTGTGCTCTTCAACATCTCCATAAATGACTTGGACACGGAACTAGAAGGGTTACTAAGCAAGTTTGCACATGACACAAAACTGGGAGAAGCTGTTAAGTCCCTGGAAGGCAGGGAGGCCCTGCAGAGAGACCTTGACAGATTAGAGGACTGGGCGATCACAAATCATATCAAGTTCATCAAGGGAAGTGCCAGATTCTGCACCTGGGATGGTGCAACCCCAGATGTTTGTACAGACTGGGGAATGAGATGCTGGAAAGCAGTGCTGGGAAAGGGACCTGGGGGTCCTGCTCACTGGCAAGTTGGATATGAGTCAGCAGTGCCCTGGCAGCCAGGAGGGCTAACCGTGTCCTGGGGGGCATCAAGCAAAGCATCACCAGCCGGTCAAGGGAGGGGATTGTCCCGCTCTGCTCTGCACTGGGGTGGCCTCACCGTGAATATTGTGTGCAGTTTTGGGCACCACAATATAAGAAAAATATTCAGCTATTAGAGAGTGTCCAAAGGAGGACAGTAAAGATGATGAAGAACCTTGAGAGGAAGCCATATCAGGAGCAGCTGAGGTCACTTGGTCTGTTCAGCCTGGAGAAGAGATGACTGAGGGGAGACCTCATTGCTTGTGGGGGGAAGAGGAAGGGCAGACACTGATCTCTTTTCTTGGTAGCTAGTGACAGGATCTGAGGGAATGGCCTGAAGCTGTGTCAGGAAAAGTTTAGGTTGGATATTGGAAAGAGGTGCTTCACCCAGAGAGGGTGGTTGGGCACTGGAACAGGCTCCCCAGGGAAGTGGTCACAGCACCAAGCCTGAGAGTTCGAGAAGTGTTTGGACAATACTCTGAGGCAGCTGGTGTGACTGTTGGGGGTGGTCCTGTGCAGGCCTAAGGGTTGGACTCAATGATCCTTGTGGGTCCCTTCAAACCCAGCATATTCTGTGATTCTGTGATAACTTCTTACTGAGGTAAAATTTAATATTATTTCTTATTACTTGTTGGACTAGGAGCTTAATTTCAGCTACACTGTATTATGCCAGGCACTGTGCAAGTGCAAAGACCATCCCACTTCACATCTGCCTTCCCTGTCTTCTCATTTTTTTCCCTAAGCTTAAATGTAAGAGGAGACAACAGATTGCAGATGGTGGGAATATAAGAAAATATAGACCCTCTGATATAGTATGTCAAATGTTTGTCCTGGTGTAAAAATAATGATAAAATTAAATGGAGGGAGAGGTATTGTGAAGCAATCTGGGATCAGCTATGCTGTTTTTTGGACACCCATGTGTTGCAGTGTCATATCCAGTTGATACCATTTTGGATACTTTGCCAAAGCAGTTAAACTAGGGTTAAATAACTTGGTACATGGTCGCAAATTAAGTTAGTTGTGTTAAACCACACATAAAGCTGTTACAATTGTATTCTTTTTTGTAACTGAGGTCTCCTGGTTTAGTTTGCACTTTGGACAATGTAGTAGAGAATGCTCTCAGTCATCCCTCTCTTTGCCTTCTACATCTCATCTCACATTTTTCAAATATATGTTAGACCAATAGAATTACCTATTGAGTGTTGTTTTTAGGATTAAATACTGCAGCAATTCCATATCTCTTTCTATATTCAATTCCTTGGACAGGACTAGCTTTAGAATGTATTTCTTAGCTCTCAAAACCAAAACCAAATCAGAGTTAAAAGTTGATATCGTCTAGAAGAAAGGCTTTTATGTTTATAAGCTTTTAATGGATAGAAATTGCATCATGATGTAAGAATTTATATTTCTTGTTGCATTTTCTAAAAGATAGGGGATTTACTGAAAAGCAGAAAAATAGACCAGTATTGGATGATAGAATGATAAGGATGAAAGGAAGGCAAAGAAAATCTCTGAAAATCAGGCTGAAGAAGAAAACTTGCACGGCATTCTGAGCACTCCTGATCCAGAGATCGGAACATTGCACCAGCCTCAGTGGAGGTCAGGTCTGCCTTTCTGCAGCTTTGCTCTAAGAATAGGCAGGCAGGTGAGAATCCAGGAAGGCAGAGGGATGTAGCAGCTACCAAGAGCAATGATAGGTGGTATAGTGGTATAGTGTCATGAAGCAGATCTTCATGACGCTGAGGAACAACCTGCTGTCTGCCCTTCTTTCTTGAATAAATGGTACTACCAGAACTGAGGTTATTCAATCCCTTCATCTCTTCTGAGTGTATTCTGAATAACTCTGCTCCCTTTGGTGCTCTGAGCTTGGGTATCCTCAGGCTCAGGTCACGAAATATCACCATATTGTCTTTCTGCCTGGGACTGGCTGTCATTAATAGTGCTTGTCTCTGCAGTGGCCGCTTCCCTTTCTACTGCTGGGTTTTGTTTCCGGCTTACTGCAAGGACAGCTGGCTAGTGCCTGATCCCACTGAGTGGCTCCAGCTGTGAAAGCACTGTCTGTTAACCAGGGGGGCCAGCTACTTGCTTCTCCCTGTGCAATAACCGCATTTTCCCCTTTTCTTCCTAGCTGCTTGTGTTGCAAACAGCTCCAGCTGGCTAGCTCCCCATCCTGGGTGTCATTCCTGGGTGCTGCATCAGAGGAGGCTTTGCAGTCCCCAACGCCTCTGAGTGCCATTTCCTCCTTACAGCTCTCGCCTGCTTCCTAGCAGTATGTGACTCCCACATCACCTGCTTTCTTTTATACAGCTAGTACTGGGGGGGCAGTATAGGTAGTGTAGACCCTGAAAATCTGGGCAGCATTGAGTTGCTTACTTAGGCAAGGCTGCAAGCAGATATAGCAGTGATGATGACTCAAACTGTGCTGAGTGTCCTCATCCCTCTTGTCCAATGGGAAGTGCAATCCCTTTTCAAAATCCCTAGCGAGGTTCCTGTTTGGCAGATCCCTCCAGCAGCAGTTGTTGGCCCTAATACTCTTTTGTGAGATGACTGGCTGTGCTCCTTCTCCAGAGCATGGCAGTAAAAAAATCCATTCAGGATGAAGGATGGGGAACTGCAGTGCATACCCATGTTGTGCCTCTCCTCCTAGGAAGAAACAGAAGAGGACAGTGACCTGTCGGACTATGGAGAGGAGGTGGATGGGAAAAAGGACTCCCTTGCTGAACCGTGTTTCATGCTGATTGGAGAGATTTTTGAACTGCGAGGAAGTAAGCTGTGAACCTGCCTTATTGCTACTGGAATCTGTTGGCTCAGAAATCTGGGGCTCTTTGTAATTCGGATTCTTCTACTGTTTTAATAAGTAGAAATGTTCTTGCAATCTCTATAGCTGGTTTGTTTGGAACCAAGCTGTTCCTCAGTAGTTCATAACTTTGGAGCTTTCATTCAAAAGTGAAATTCCAATGTGGTAATAAAAATTTAACTGGTAGGGGAGAGCATTTGCATTTAGAATTACGTTCTTAATGAAAAAAAAAATGTGGAAAAAACCAGAAAAACACTAGCATGTTTTTTGTAAATAGATTTTTAGAATATATAAATTCTGAGGAAGGAAAAATGGCTTTATTATAGAACATGTCTTGGGCAAAGAAATAAATTTTTAATATCTGTTTTAAGTGAATTATGTATGCACTTTAGTTCTACAATTTGTATAATGGAAAATATGCTAGAATTGTGGCATCTTTAAATACTGGATTTTTTTTTCTCCTTTATGTAACTGAATGATGGTAATAAAGAAAACTATTTTTGTTTCTATTTGAATTTGCAGCCACACATGGTGCTCTATAAAATGATTTACAGGGTAATTATTACAAAGTACAGCACCTTCCAAAAATGGCAGATGTATCTTCCAAATATAGGTTTTATTGTGCTGATAATGAACAGCATGAAAGAAAGATTAACCAGTAATTACTAGGAAGCACTCACATTTGTCTCCTTTATTTGTGGAAAGCTGACTGCTTGCTTTATTTGAGTGAAAATGTTTTCAGAATTTTAATGGTGCTGCTGTGTGTACATTGTACTAGTAGGTACAAAAAAGGTGAGAATTTTGAAGACATTTGGTTTTTTGTAGGAGAAAAGGGGGTTTGTGTAGTTGTATGGCTCCATAAACTTGAAATATTCTTAAACATAAAAGTTTACAGTATAACCTAAAATGCACATTATATATATTATGTAATCTGCAAGATTTTAAAATCATATAGCAAACAATACAGGGAAAGTGATTGAGAAGAATGAGACCCCTGTACAAATAATGAAATCTTAGAAAGGGTTATCATGATTTGTTTACTGTAGGGGTGGGTTGTTTGGATTTGGTTTGAGGGAGACAGGGGGAAGGTTTTGGACATGATCATGGGTTCTGCAATGTTATTAACTTCTTGGTCATTATTTTCCATAATTTTTTCATTGTTCTAGTGTTCAAATGGGTCAGAAAAACATTAATTGCACTAGTACAAGTCACTTTTGGAAGAACTATCAACAAGTAAGTAGTTGTTGCTTTAAATGAACCTTCATTGTTTTTCTATGAAAAAAAGGCTGAGAGTAGAATTGTTAAAAAAATAATGGGGACATTCTGTTGTATATGACAATCTGCATTTGTTTTACACAACTCAGTGTACAGGTATGTTGATCAGAGAAAACACAGATATGTAAATTATCTTTGTCAAGTGAGGCCTGCATGAGGCTATGAAGTCAGTGTGCCGGTCTATACACACCTTCATGTGGAATGCTGTATTTTTCCTTCAGAAATTTTAATTTCAGAAAAAACTTGAAAAAGTATTCTACCAGCAGAACAAGCTATTCTTTGTCGAGTCAGTGGCTAAATGTGCACATGCCAGTGTGGTTTTTAAAGCCTTTTATGTATGTTATGTAGCAGTAATTGGACTGGTCTCTGACAGTATACACTCAGTGAGTTTTAAATTGATTGGTTCATTTGTTCATACAGTGCTGATAACTAAGATGGAAAGATGTCTGAGAGAGGACAGAGAGGGACAGAGTGTGTGAGCACAGCATGTGTGTAAAGTTGCTATATAGCTCTTTACATGTAGGCTGAATTTTTACATTTATTGATTTTAAGGGTTTTGGCTGTAGTGTGGCACAGTTCAGCAGTACTGCCAGGGGCCTGCTCTCTACCTCAGACTCTTGGTGCTGAAGACTACAGTGAGGGTTGCAGGCCCAGGAGGAGGCTATCTCCATTTGTAATCCCTTCAGTAATGTGCTTTTTGCTATCTGTGAGGGAACCTACTGTGCTTCTGTCAAAACTTTGTCTTTATCCTAGCAGGCACGTCTATGCATGCAACTAGTTTGGAGTTTGCTACGATTAGTTACCTGATTTTTACATCTTTTCCCCGTGGAGCCTTTGTAGTGTCCATCGTTGAAATGTAATTCCAATGTACAATTTAAAAGTAAAAAGAATAAATCTGTATAAAACATGAAAGACTAGCTCTGATGGGCTCCCTTCGACACTTCTTTACAGGCAGATCCGTGACACTGTACACTGGATGTTCAGTGAGCCAATGCTTGTTTACTACATTGGTGTGTTTCGAGATGCGTTTTGGCCGAATGGAAAGTTAGCACCACCACCGAGAGCCAAGAGCGATGAACAAAAGCAAGAGACAAAACAGAGAGCACAGCAAAAACTACTTGAAAACATTCCAGGTGAGATCACTTTTGCTCTGAGTAGTCACAGATTGAGTACCTATAAGGAAACTGGCTAATCAAATTATTTTTCCTGTAGAGTTCTAAATCATGGTTATTTGCATAAATAAGGATAATTTTGGCCTTACTGTTTGCCTCTCCTGCCTGTCTGGTAAAGGGCATGAATAGATATTGGTGGATGCAAAATCCAATATTGCTGTACTTCTGTGTGTAATATTCATCAAGGAACCTCAGTCGAGACTTTCTCTCTGCTGGTTCTCTGTCAGCGAATACCAGGTGGTTCTGCTACCTGGAACTACTTGACAAGTAGAAGAGTGGCACCACCCCAATTACTTCTTCCTCTTTTATTTTGAAGTTGGAGAGGTCTACCCACAATGTCATGTTGTGTGCCACTGTCTGTTTCTGAGAAGAGATTTCAGAGCACTGAATGTTAGAGTGACCTGCAGCCTAGACAGAAAAAGATCCTAGACTGAGTGGGTTTTCCAGTATTTTCCTTTCCCACCCTTATCTCCCAAGCTTAAGCAGCTTCCTCCTGAGCCAGCACATTTCTGGGATGCTCCATCCTGTCCCATTCACAGGACCAGAAGTCCAGTTATGTATTTTTGACTCCTCAGAGATCATGCAAACCAAAGGCTCCTAACTGGGAAGAAACAATAGCATTACTTTTAGCACTTGGAAGTGCACTTAAACATAGCTTGAATGCTTTTTATCTCCTCTTCATCTGAAGAGAATGAGCTCTTTTATGACTTCACTGAGATATCCTGTGCATTAGGTTGTTTAATCAAATTTTACTGCAAAAAAGCAGCAGGTATGCATGCAAAATATTTATTTCATGTGTAAACAACTCTCCATTTACTCCCTGTGTTATATACTGACCTTCTTATCTGGATGGCCTTCCATAGTTTGTGGTTTTGTTTGGTTTTTCTGTGTTTTTATTTGTTTCTGAGTTTGGAGCCGTACGACAAGACATAGCTGAATGCATCTTAGATTAATGGTGGAGCATTGGATCACTATTTATTCTCTAATTTAATCCAAAATGTAAATAATTGACTAAGAATTCTCTGAACTGCTTACTTGTGGGAAGTATTCTCTGCGAAGATTGAGAGGCAATTAAAGTGCTAAATCTTTTTTAACTGTTGTAGGAATTCTGTCTGTGTTGGTGTAGGTAATTTAAGTGAATGGTTTAATGATGTATGAGATGATGTATGAGATTAGACTTGACTGTGAGGTGAACTACCAAAAAAGCATACTATGTATCATGTTAAAACACGTAAAGTGTTGTCACTGAGATTTACACGCTATTATCTAACTTGGGTAATTTGAGAATAAGGGTATCTTTTCAAACTGCGACCTAAATTACCTATATTTTTAAAAGGTTGTTGAGAAGGCACTGTGTATCTTGTAACCAAGGGCCACTGAAGTGCAGTGGCTTTGTGTCCTCTCCTTTATGGGTCCTTATGGTTGAACTAGATGATCTTGAAGGTCTTTTCCAACCCTGATGGGGTCGATCGTGTGATTCTGGGTAGTAGTATAGGCTGGAGGTTTGCCTAGCAGGAGTGAAGCAATATAAGCTGAAGTAACGTTTGTTGCAGATACTCTGCAGAATCTTGTTGGACAACAAAATGCCCGTCACGGTGTAGTGAAAGTGTTCAATGCATTGCAAGAAAGGAAGGCTAACAAGCATCTACTTTATGTAAGTAACCAGAAAAGTAGCTTTTTAACTTCATGATCTTGTTAATTGCTGAGCTCTATTCATTCAGTGTTAAAACCAGTGATTTAATTTGAACTATTGGTCTGTGTGCAAATAACTTTTTTTTTTTTTAATTACAATAAGTGAGAAAAATGTACTTGGTTTGATCACCTAAGTTTAAAAATAAAAGGCTTTACTTTTGTCTAAAAGAGATCCTCAGTCACATCCATCTTTCTTGACTTAGTAAGGTGCAAACTAATTTCTTCATACAGCTTAGAAAAATAAATATGTCTTGGAGAATCCTAGGAAAGGAGGGATCCAGGACTGGCTTATAGTTAGGACATCACAGAACTCCAAAAGTCCCACTCCTCAACTGCTGGGACTATGTTGGAGTATGCAGCTGGATCTAAGTATACTACCTTCATGCTCAGTGAGTCTCTTCTGGCTCATTTTGGGCACCAGCCCATCACACAGTGCAGCCTTAGCACTGGAGAGGATGCAGCCTGCTCAGGAGATGCATGAGATGCGTGCTCTGGTGTTTGCTTATTGTGCTGCAGAGCCTTTGTATCCAGCGACAGTTTATACTGGGTGGGAAATCCCCATCTGAAAGCAGCTGCCCTTTGCACTTGCCTCCTTTCAGCCTTAAGACATTTCCCATGTTATCTGCAGGGCGTGTGCTAACTTCAGGATGAAAGAATAGTTGCGTGAATGATTAACAGAATTGAACGCACATGCTTCTGTTGTCTGTGATGCTCTAAACATGACAGAAGGGAATAAGAAATTCTCATTTGTTTGGCACCTGCATCATCTTAACTCGGTTTCTCTTTTTCAGGTTTTGCTGGAACTGCTGCTAACTGAACTGTGTCCTGAGCTGAGAGCTCATTTAGAGCAGCTTAATTCCACTTAGGTTTGAATCTGCACAACTGGACCACTAGAGAAATGTCTATGTTCAATAATAGACATGAAACTTATTTTCCTCTTTTCCATAGAGGGCTGAGGACTATGATTATTTTTAGCATTTTTCTTTCCTCTTGAGTTTTTTGTGAAGTAAACAGACTTGAAAAGATCTGATGCTGTAGTAGGGTAGACAAAACAATGCTGTATAGCTGCCAATTTTTATTTAAATGGTTCTATTTGACTACTCTTCTGTTTCAAATATAGACTGAAAAATAAATGTTCATATATGCCGAAAGAAACCAGAAAATATTTTAAACATTTATGAAAAGAAATTTTGCTTATAGTGGAAAACTAATGAATGTTGTACAGTTCTAATCTCCTCACTGAGGATCTGAGCATTCCTCTTTTTTTCTTGTGTATTGAAAAAGCCTTGTTGTGCAATACTACATGTAAAGCTATTGTGAAAATTTTATCAATTTTGTTTTTACCAAAGATTTCCTGTAGTTTGAAGCATTTGTAAGCAATAACTATCACAACTGGATTGCAGTATTTGATAGTGAGGCTGTACTGACAACTAATGAATGAGTTTGACAGCACTAGTTTCATAAGAAATATCTACATTGCTTTGAAGTCTGTGTCAAAATTATGTATTGTAAACTGGTATGTCCTAACAGAATGCCTGTGTTAAATGTTAGTTCAGAGATTAGTGCTTATGAATTGCTTCTATGAATGATCAAGCAGACATTTAATTAAACCATTCTAACAACTTCCCTGATATTACTCAGGGCTGTTTTATTCAAATATCCCATTTTCAAAAAACCTTCAAATATTTCCCTTATTTTATACCAGGAAAGGAAACTGTCTTCAGTGGTTTTTTGCTTTTGGTTATTTTTTTTTAATTTATGTAAAAATATGTAAATATGGTCTCAATGCACATCTAAATAATTAAACATCATCACAAATCCCAAGGTGACACTCATTACTGTCTTTTCAATTCAGTATGGCTGTGCTCTTAGAAAAACTACTTGCAGATAAAACTGGCTGTATTGTAAGGTACACACTATCTGTATTCTCTATTTAATCAACATTTTTAGTAACATCCAGCCTTTTGTTCCAACACATTCAGGAAAGTTTTCATGTCATGGTACAGTCCTAAGAAGCAAGCCAAATTCAGCACTTAAGAAGTTCTGTAAGTAAGTGGGTATTGAGAAATGTGCAAGCTTACCATAGCAATTAAGTTTTACTAATGGTTAATCAAAGTATCTTTCGATAAAAGATTGAGCATGACATTGCTCAGACATACTCCTAGCCAAAAGGTTTTCAACAATTTCTAATACAAGCAGAGGCAATGGAAATGCAATACGAATGATTAAGGAAAACAGTGTTCATGCTGAGAATGTATATTGAATATTTCCATACTCGTGTTTGGAGGATTTTTTTCCATAGTTCTGTAAGTATTTTTTTCTAGTTTTACGAGCTGGCATGGCTTGAACTGTAAAGCTGAGTGTCTTACTGGCCAGTTCCCAACTTCGAATCTCTGCAATCCAAGAGTAAAATGTGTAAAGACACTTAAGTAGATCTAGATGCATTAGAAAGCATGTATGTGAAAGAAAGTATACGCACCACTGACAAGGTTTAAAAATGGCCATAGCCTGGGAGTGGACTGTGTGTGAAAGCTTGACAAATCTGGGTTCATACTTTTCAGAATATTAAAAGAAGCGCTACATATGCAGAAAAGAAACAACCATTTTTATTTGGTTTTGTTTTGATTCATGTGCTATATAGCAGTATGACATAAAGAAAATATATCTGTTCCCAGTTAAATGTCCTTAATAAAACTTTGAGTCTTTAATACTACTTTTAAAAGTCTGCCTTGGCTTCATCTCAGTTAAAGAAAGAGTGTGAGCTTTTTTCTTCAATTTAGATAAAATGAATCAAGAAATTGCTTTAAATTAGAATTTAGAGAAAGTTGAAAAGCAAGCAGTAAGTAAGGCACAGTCTGTAATTGCTGGAGATTAATGATGATTTACTGTAGGAAATACATTTATGTAACAGTCATAGTTAAAGGAAATGCTAAATTCTACCAAGATTAGCTGCTACTTCAAGGTCAGAGGCAACGGCAGGATCCAGGTGGCATGCCTTTGAAAACAAAGAATACCAGAGTTGTGGTTTATAGCTACAATAAAATTAGATATTGTCAATATAACATTAATAAGGTCTTTTAGTGACAAAAAATCTTTTTAAAATATTGAGGAGTTCATATATTTGGGTTTAAATTCCTATTTTCTGATGCCACGTAAGAAAAAAATCTGTATTTAAAATTAGCATACTTGACTATAGTGTTAATCTTGGGGTTATATTTTTAAATTCTGATGGCATGGCCTGTGGTGGCTTCAGTCAGAACATAAATCTGCTTACAGACTTGATCAGTTCCATTCACTGCCATCATCTATTTCAGTACCCTTAGGGGGTGCCCATCTTCTGTTCCTCACCTCTTTCAAAACTGACTGGGTCTATGAAGGGTATGCCAAAACCACAGCAGGAAAATTAATTTAAAAAACAAATATGATTTTAACTTTTAAGTAGGTGTAATTGTACAGTTAACATGAGAATTTTCTAGGCCAAAAGAAACTGGACACCCCCACAACTCTTACTTGTTCTAAAGTTACTGCTTGAGGGAGCTTCCTTGTTTATATTACATTCCTTTTCTTTTACTGTTGATTTAGAGATGCATGGCACCAGTCAATAGGAATTTATCTCTCTTTATCCTGAGAAGCCACTGCCATTCCTACACCCATCTCAGATGTACAGCCAGTGAATAAGGAATAAAAGTTGTAATCTTCTTTTAGTAGTGGTGGTTTTGCTAGACTTTAGGCGACAGTGGCTCCCACAAAGCCATGCAGCAATTTAATTCTGATGGACCTCTACGATGCCTTAAGATTTAACTAGGAATACTGGCTACAGTGTTCCTAACACCTCAGCTTAGATTCCTTTCCTGATCTCCTCCTCACCCTATCCTCTATACACTTTTCACAGCAGGAGAACAAAAATGTTTAAAATGTCTGTATTCAGAAAATCACCTGCTCTGCTAAGACCCCCATATCAGTGGCTTCCCTGAGTCAGGAGCCACAAAAATTATTTGATAATTTGTCATTTACATAACTCCCCATTTGTTTAGATTGCATCAAGCTGGACATTAATGTATTCTACTTGCAGAAACAAATAGTCACTACAGAAATCATAGTCTCTCTAAAGCACAGATGCAAACTCTCTTCAGTTGGTATAATCACCTAGCCCTTCAGGCATCACAGATTCATCTTCTAGAGGCAATTATTGATATTTTTCCCTCAAGCAATAAATCTTACTCCAAGATTAAACTTCAAAAAAATGTTACTGGTTTTTTCCCTGTGTATAGGGAACAGGTAAAGCAGTAGATCCTAGGCTACTGCTAAAAATGTAATTGTAAAAATAAGCATGAGAACCAGTTATGGCTTATTTAAGTATCATTAATGAAAGTTATAATTGTTAGAGAATCTAAAGCAGAGGAAAAGTAATGATTTTTCAGTTTTAGACAATGACAGCAAATTAATTTGGGATAGAATTATTCAAATTGTTGTAGCTAATTTATTTTTCAAGTTACCAAGCTCTTTGTTATGGCAATTACCATGGATTTTTTTTTTTTAGGTTTTGTAGAATGTGTTATTTGCTTAAGCAAGTGGCCAGATAGCATCCTTTCAAGACAATTTTGAGTAGTTGTCAATATACTTTTATCACTATACCTTTTCTTGCACAGATTTTTTTTTAATACAAACAATGCCGGAGTTTTTAACCGAACAGCAAGTTAAAAGACTCAAATCCAAGGTATTGCTCAATTTCATGAGATATAAATTAGTCTGTTAGACTTTCTTAACTTACCTTAGAATAGTATATTTTAGCAGCATCTTGATCTTGCTTTATGCCTCGGCCAAGCTGGAGGCATCTAGCCAAGTAGAAAGCAGCCATAGCAACCCCCTTGGCTACATATGTTGGATGGCAATCAGCTTTCTTGGCTAGCATATTGATGTCATTGTTTTCTGTGGTCCTATTGTGGAATGTAGAGCATGAGGTTAGATAGTGCTAGTTCAAGCTATAATTAAAGTTGACCATATATGACCTTGACAACGCTTCCTTTCCATTTCTGGTATTATCCAAAAATAAGCTGAAATTTACATGTATTCAGCATCTTATGAGGATTTTTCTATTTGGTATTTGACTTAAAGTTAGTCTTATTTGAATATTGTGATATTAAACAGCAAACAAATACATAACTTTTGAAGTCACATTCATTATATTTATACTGGTTATAAAAGGCAACGTATTTTACGCTAATTGTTCCTATTACTTCATGGAAATTACATGTCAAAAAAAGGCAGTTGTAATTGAGCCATCTCATGAGGTGGAAGATGTCCCAGCCCACAGCAAGGGGGCTGGCACTAGATGATCTATAAAGGGTCAACCCAAATCATTCCATGATTCTACAATTCTAAAATTCCAAGTTCTTACTAGGATATTGGCAAATCATCATAATGTGAAAATCTTGGACGTACTTGAGAGCCTCTGGTTATAAAACTCACTTAGGACAACCACTTATTATTTTTTCGCTTATGATTGTTTCAGCTCAGTTATTTCCTTTCTTCTGCATGCTTGCTGTCATCTTATTTTCTGCATGTTGTTTTTACTAAGAACCATTTTAAGAATCAGACGGATGAAGCAAATGTAGTTTTAACTCTCAGGCTATCATTACATAGTATTGTCACTATAATATTAGGTACAACATTTTCTAAGTGGGAAGTGATTTTTTTTTCTGTTGTCTTAAAACAGAAATCCCCAAGCCCCATATGCTTTCCAGATACCAAACAGTAACTGTATGCTTTTTCACACATCATTTTAGCTGTATCAAATAGTCACAGATTTGACAGAAAAAAAAAAAAAAGGAAAAGTGCAAGTCATTTCAGTTTATAGCTACTACCTATAAATCAATGTTTATGAAAGATTGTTCCCAGTTAGTTCTCTTCAAGCCAGTGCCTGCTAAATCACTTGAATGTGTTGAGAGCAATGTTCTCCCACCTAATTTGGTCCTATTAACAAATGCAGTAACACAACTGTTCTTAGCAGCCAGAACATTGAAATATGACAACAGCAACCAATTCTCTCATCTTTCCTGATGCACAGCATTTTTGCCTCCTTTCCAAAAGATACACCCCAGGATGCTGATGCAAATAACAATATCCAGTCAAGTCAGGCGAAGACTCTATTTCATCTCAGCTGCCTTCAAGAACATACCACAGAAATAGGTAAGTAGAACCATATGGGATAACTAAATTATTTGAAGTGAAGTATCAGTAGCTAATCCAGACTTCAAATATTAGGCAAGGTTATGCTGTACATAATCACATAATATTTGTATGTTTGTACAAATTTGTATGTATGTTGTGCAGTTGATATGAATGCAGAAGGACAAATTTTAGCAGAAAAGATATTGGTACTTGAAACTACTGGTTGAACTCCTGAAATTTTTGCCTCAAGGTCAACTGCAGTTCTAATGGTGGCAGTATCTTTTGGGTCAGAAATTGTCACTTCTGACTGTACTGTGGAATTTCATTGCTATTTTGTGCAATCACAGTTGCAGCTGATGAAGTGCACAGTTTACTTGTCTGAATAATCTACCGTGCAGTGTTGACTGGAGGGGATTCATTCCAAGCAAGACAGGCTAGACTAGACTGAATAGCTATCAGTCTACTTACAGTGCAAAAGAAAGAAAAGCAGCAGTTCAGAGAGAAACAATCCCTTCCAGCAAAGAGTATAGCAAATAGCATTCATAGCTGAACTACTGAATTACCAGAGCTTCTGCTATGCAGTGGCATATACAGGGTGCAGCTTCTGTAAGATGATGAGTTGTGATTTGTTTATTGCCAGGCAGCAGCAGTTTTGTAAACTTACCCCAAGAAGCATGAATGCTATTGTGTGCAGCTTGTGTAAGTAGTCCATCTATCTGCAGCTTATTTCCAGCAAATCAATAATCTGATTGACAGATTGAATTTAAATTATACGCTGAGCTCTGGAAGTTTGTCACAGAAATGTGTTGTTTATCAGCTGTAGAACTGGCACCAACATTGCTCTTGTTCTCCAAAACTAGTTCAGCATACAGAAACTTGATACAGACTATTTTAAAAAGTGCAGCCTATAACAGAAGCTGCTATTTCTTCAATACACAAGCCACTCCAGAATGCGTAGGCAGAGCAGTGAGTCCCACAGTGACTGTCTGTGAAAAGGCCAGTCAGTGCTACCTAACTGGGACTCAGACCAGTACCTCTAAGCAAGAAGATAATCACCAGAAACCATTTGCATGCAGATGCCTATTTTGTGGTCCAGGCTTAAAAGCGTCTGTACAGTATTCGTCCTTGTAAGCAGCAACTGATGAAAAGCTCAAGGGTGATAACTTGGCATTGTGTGCAGCAGCTGCTTCTAAGTCCCAGGCAGTGCTGCTCAGAGTGCTTACTGCAGGATCCCACTAGCATCAATGCTTGCGTTTCCTGAACCAGACCAAAGCACACTGAGCCACAGAGCAAGGAAATGATGGATGGGAGGCAGTGAATAGAAATCATATTGAGATGGGGTAGGTGGAGAGTGGAAGAATATTTGTGTTCTTTGTATTAGAGATGCTGAGACAGTGATAGATAAGTAGTTTTGGAATCATAACACCACAGAGAATGAGACACCTTGAACCCTGGTGATCCACCTGGTGATCCACAAAAGGACTCTACTTCCCTCCCCACCCTCTGGCATTGCAACCAAAATCAGGCTGTCCAGGAGCTGAGGCCTGAGGTGTTGCTGGAAGGGTGCCACAGCACAGATCCTTTGCTACTCTCTCACGTGGGCACGAGTGACATCACAGAATCAAGGAAAACTACGAAGTCCTGGGGGTGTACACGAAAAGTATTTGTGCCAGGTAACCTTTTCTTCCATTTTACCAGTTAGGTGGAAGGATGCAGCCAAAACCAGACATACAAAACAAATAAACTTCTGGCTTTCTGGCTGGTGCTGTCATGACTGTTTTGGCTTTTATGGCAACAGGGCATTCTTTGACTACAGCCCGTTAGAGAGGGATGGGATCCACTTGGCTAAAGAGGCAAGGGAATCTTTAGCTAACCTGGTGAGGCAAGCTTTAAAGTGAAGGACTTGGGGGGCACTTTGGACGCAAAGTGGTAGCACCTGTGCCATTGCAACCAAATGGGGAATAAGTCAAGCTAACCAGAGCAGCAACAAATGTTCTTTAGCTGCCTCCCCAGATGTGAACCAGAAGACCAGCCACCTCAAGTGCATGTATACAGTGCACACAGCCCGGGGAACAAACAGGGGGAGCTGGAGCTCTGCACCCAGTCAGAAAGCTACGCAATCAGGGATAGCTGAAGCGTAGTGGAACAACTTATGTGGCAGGAGCATCACGATGGGTGGCTTTAAGCTGCTTTGTAAAGACAGGAAGGGAAGAAGAGGAGGAGGAAGCATGCTCTCTGTTAAGAACTTGAATGTATAGAAGTCAGCTGTGGCAATTTTAGAAGCCTTATCGAATGCTTCTGGGTCAAGATCAGAGGGGTCATTTCCAAGAGGCATCTTGCATTAGGCATCTGCTACTGACCTCCAAACCAAGACAATGAGACCAACAAGGCAATATTTGGGTCACTTAATAAGTTTTGGTTAACAGAACCTGATTGTTATGGGTGTCTTTAACTACCCAGACATTAGATGGAAGAATAGAGCAACTCACAAGACGTTCATCCAGTTCCTGGCATGGAGCAGTAGAGAACTGCTTCCTCATACAAATGTCAGATGTGCCAACTAGGAATGAGGCATTGCTGGATATGTTCCTCACAAACCAAGAAAATCTGCTTTGTAATATCTCAGTTAGTGATAGTTTTGGCTGCAGTGATGACAATATTGTGGATCTGGGATCCCGCTGAGCTCACTGAGAGTTAGTACTAAGACAAGGTCTTCAAGAATGCTCTCCTGGAAGCACAAAAAATGTTTATTCCCTTTAAGGGTAAGGAAAGCATGTGGGGCAAGAGACCTCCTTAGCTTAACTGCAAGCTTCTGAGCCTGCTAAAAGCCAAGAGAGAGCATAGCAGAAATGGAAAAGCAGATAAAGGGAAGTGGTAGATTCCCCAACAGTGGACACTTTTAAGATTCAGCTGAACAGGGCGCTGGGCCATCTTACCTAGACTGTGCTTTTGCCAAGAAATGTTGGACCAGGTGATCTGTGAGGTGCCTTCCAACCTGAGGATTGTGAGATTGTAGGGGTTTAAAGGGAATGGTGAAGGCAGGAGCCTAAAGGAAATTGTGGACTGAAGAGACAAGAAAGGCAGGCTTGCATGAGGACATCTACTTTGGATTCTAGTTCAATGTTGTTTTGCTTTACAGGATCAGAAAGAAAAATTTAACTATACTGAGTAATTGAAAACCTTATAGTATTAGTTTTGTGTTTAGCTATTCTATCTTTAAAGATGAGGTTTTGCAATTCATTATCTCAAAGATCTCTTGAGTTTGAAAGACAAGAGCATTAACTTATTAATACTTTTAATCTCGGTAATGTGGTCTTGCATGAACCATAATAAAAAATAAAGCAAAATTAACTTCACCTTTTGGCTAGTGTAGCAGCTTTTGAGTAAAATTTTTTAGTGTAATAATATTCTACAAGATGGCCTTGAGCATAGATGTTTCCACGTTCTGCTGCTTCTCTCAAGCACTTCAAAGCAGCTTTAGTGTTTTGACGTATACCTTGTCCATAGAGATACATAATGCCAAGTGCTCCCTGTGATTCCAGATTTCCATTGTTACATGCTTCTGAATGCCAGAAAAAGGCCTAAATGAGACACAACGTTGGAGTATATATTTACTTTAGCTGCTTTCCTTGTCTACTGTTTCCATAAAAGCTTTTATACCAAACATCCTGTAAGAAGTGCTTATACATAAAAGAAACCAGAATCCTTGTAAGGCTTTTAAACCTGCTCCATTTACTCTCAGAGCTGTCAGTCAGTGACACCTGCTTGATTTCTGAAGGTTACCAAAGCTGACAAAACTTTAATCCATTCTATCATTCTTACCTGATACTCTCACTAAAAAAAATATAAATAAATCTTCACCAGCAGTGTCAAGTGAGTCAAAATGAGGGATTCTGGCCATCTGTTCATACAGACTTAAATGGATAATGTTAAATGTTGCCTAACTACTTAAAATACATCTTTCAGAATCAAATATATCACTGTAATATTTCCATAAAATTAAAAATTAATTGGGACTCATTTTCATTTCAAAAGGTACAAGCGGACTTTACCTTCTTCAGATCTTTTAGAACTGGCATAGAATAAAGCATTCCTAAAGTACTCATGGCCTTTACACTTGCTTTTGGATTTCTGTAGTCTGCAGCAATAAGCCACAACCTAAGAAAATGGGGACAACAAAGTTTAAGTTAACACAGAATCTTACAATTCGTCAGGAAAATCACTGACTACCCTTACCTTTCAGCCTCTTTGGTTGAACGCTTAACACCACGTCCTTCGTAATATGCCCTGCCAAGATTGTATGCAGCTGCAGCCTTCAGGTGTCTTGCTTTTGGGGAATCAGAGTTGAATATTTTATTCATGTATTCCACTCCCCTTTCCTAAAATTGAGCCATTTAAGTTATTATGTTCAGACTGTGAAGAGGATGAAATAAAGAATCTGAGAACACACCAACTTCTGCAAGAAAGGTAATTCTTCCACTCTGAAGAAAGGCTGAGGCATACTGGTGGCAAAATAGTTCATACCAAAGCAGAACTGATCTTTAGGTAATGGATAGCCCCTAGATCTTTGACCCCAACATATTTTTAATGTGAAACATTTCCTTGTAAATGTTCACTGGATATTATATTACTCTTCTTCACTGATAAAATTTTTCTAAAAAATATTATTTTGCTTACATAAATGCATGTTGCATCCTAAACTTGTAACACTTCCAATTTCAGAATTCTGTGAACTTTTTCATACTGCATAATGTATCTGAAATCATAGAACAGTCTCAACAGAAGACAAAGTGATATGTAGTACACTTCCAAGTCCCTTCATTTAAAATACCTTAGATTCATAAAGGACAAAAACTGATAACGTTAAATAAACAAATGGAGAACATTGCATATGAGCAACTGCACCTCAAAAGTATTTTAGAAACAAGATTGGCACTGCTAGGATTTAGCATGGAGACCTTGTTTAAATACACTAGAAACAGTGCTTTATATAAGGTTTCTCATTTATTCAGCTTCCATATTGTAATACACAAAAAAGGAAGAAACTCTACTAAAATGTTTATTTGCAAGTAAATAAATGTGGTAATTATGCAGGCATAGAGAACGAATGAACCAACCCTAAACCCCAGCAGAATATTTTTCATTCTTTTGACCATCCTATAAGATCATCTTTACTGATAAATTAACTCTTAATGTAGCAAAGCATTCCTTTGTCTTCCTTTTCTGTAATATAATTATTCAGTTTGTATTCCTCAACTTCTTGCAAATGTAAGTTTTCATTTGTCTAATTTAAAAATATTACTGTCAACCACTGACAGAAGCACAATCATCTGTGCTAAAAGAATAGAAAGTATTTTAAAAAAGTCTTTGTGGAACAGATGTTTTACACTTTGAAATATAATTGATTTCCGTTTTTACACACTTTATTTTCATTTATATGAACTGCTTATTAAAAAGTAACAAATTATTAGCAATCTTTAAATGTAGCTTCCACACAAAGTACCATCAAGCCCTTAGAAGTTACATTTTAAAATACAAATTACCATATTTTTCAAATATACTATTTTATTATAGCCATTTTTGAGAACTTCCTCAGCCCAGAACCCTCTCTCTCTAATGATGCTTTGTAAACATGCATACTTTATGAAACTAATTCTAAATCAAAAAGCTGTTTATTTTAAACTAAGCAATCACGCTTACAAAGAAACTCCTCGTAATTATCAGCTAATATTAGAAGAAAAGTAAAAACTGTGCAGCTGGATTACTCACGGGGTCTTCTTCAGTGCCTAGTCCATCATAATACATCACACCAAGCTGATACATTGCTTGAAAATCTGTATCCTCAATTTTTTTAAATTGCTTTAATGCTTCTTCATACAACCCCTGGGAAAGACAAATCAAACAATGAACTACACAGAACGAGGACTAATACAGCAGCTTAACTCTCCAGTATATACACCCTTACAATTTTTCAACCTGTAGCATTTCTCTCATGAACAAAGAACAAAAAAACTGAACCACAGAACTGGCAGAAAACAGAAACAGAGTAAGTCAATAGCCACAAGAAAGTTGGATAACCAAAAGACGTTCTGACAAACTTTCTTGCCCTCTCCCAAAACACCATCATTTTAGTTTAAGGAGATATCTAATTCAGAGTCCCTGCCTTGTCTATCTGACATCCCTTGACTTAGGTCTGCTTTTACATCTCAGCTAAGGGTTGGTTTCACAAAGACTAATAAACTCAGATGTCTAAGACTTTTAAGGACCCAGCAGTCTGCCCCACATTTCTTATGAAGGCATCAACTGCAGCAGCAGAGATACTTTCATTTCTGAGAAAGAATCTTAGGGAGTTTTTGCTCCTGCATTAAGTTGAAGCTATATTTAAAAGTACTGTTAAACAACTGCGGGGTAACAGTTAACTGAGCCTGGTGTCCTTACTAAAATATTTTTATGCATGCACACTAAGTAAAAACAATATTGAAATTAAAATCTTCTTCTCTATATTTTTCCTTCAAATTTCTGTATGTTTTGATAAAACAGTGTTAGACTGCAAAAGCTTAAAACCAAGCAATAGTTCTACAGTAAGTCAAATGTCATCACAATGACAAGTTGTCCCTTGTTAATATTGTCCAAGCTATTGTCTAAACCACTAATTGTCTTGGGACCTTACCCATTATGACTGTGTGGGCTTTGTTTTTTTAAAGAACTCAGGGGGAAAAAAAAAAACAAATTCATTTTCACAACTACCTGTTTGAATATCAGATAAAGAAGTACTGGAGGCACACCTAATCTTACATTTCCTGAGAATTTGGTGCTAAAAGAAGGAGACATATGGCTCTGATTAGGGAGTGTTTTTTTCTAACATCTAAAAGTGCAGTACTATGAGCACGTGCATTTTTAGGCCAAGCCAGCTTTTCAAGAAACAGACAGGTCTTATGCTCCATGCAGTTAATCTTGATCATTCCAAAATCAGGTAATTCATTAATGAAAACAATAAGGACAGGGCCCAGAAAGTAGAAACCCTGAGTTAATTCTCTTCCTGCTGCAAACCCTGAGACAAAACCCTGAGACAAACCCTGATTTACACTGTGCCACTGCTGCACTGTAAACAGTACTGAATCCATGCACGTCACACTGAAAATACCTGAATCAGTACTTGTACTACATTCTTTTCCATGTTCTGAACTAAGTTCTAATTTTCAGAAAAAGCTGAGGTTTAAGTTCACCTGCCAGCCAGTCTTAGAGTGTTCCCTGAGCATTTGCTTTCAAAGATATGGACAACCAATTTTAGTTGAAGCAGGCAGGGACAGGAATCTCAAACGTTTCAACAAGTTTCATCAAAACTGGTGGCGAACAAAGATCAAAAGCTCTGTCTTGGGGTCAGGGATCAGTACCCCTGGTAACTGAAAACACAGTACATTGTGTTTGGCCAGTCAGCTGGCCAAAAAAAAACAACTTGGCTTGGAAGTTAGCTGTAGGGATAGGCTTTTTCATCTGGTCCTAAGGAGACCTGAGAGGGAACTGCAAGACATCATTCATCATCATCATGGCTAGGCTTCGCGAACGAAGATTTGAGAGGGGAAGACATCATTAGATGCTTGGGGAAAGTGCACGAAAAGCTTTAGGGGATTTATTGGTGATTTTAATGGAATACAAACAGACATAGGAACTTCTTGTAGGTTTGTTTTGGTTTTGTTTTTTTTTTTAAGATGTATCTTTTCCCACTGAAATGGTATTGAAAATGGCCAGCTTTGTAAGATTTACTTAAAGATGGGAAGCACAACCTGTTCATAGTACCGTTGTCCATCCAGAAAAGGTGCTGGAGGATCTCCATCTGATGCTCTCCTCACCAGCAACTCCTTCAGTTTTGCAAACAGTGCTGCATGGATGCGCTCGTCTCCTTAAAAATAGACACGCATTTGGTTTTGTCCCCAAAGAGGTGGAACAGCATCAGTGAGCACACTGAAGGTCTGAAGATGGCCGAGTCCCCTTTTTAATACATTCTTTAAGAGACTAAGATTAGAGGACAGGGATGTGTTATAAAAAGGAAAAAGTCAGCAAAAGCCTGAGGGAAACATTCAGTGAATACAGCCTGTTCACAAACTTGTGAACGTGAAGTTCATCTTGGAAGAGTTTAAAGGCGAACCTGAACAGGTGGAAGCGGCGAGCGCGAAGCAGTACCTGGTATCCCGGGGGCGAGCAGGGAGCAGTGGGAGCAGTAGGTGGCATGCCAGGGGTGGGGGCTGGGAGCAGTGGGAGCAGTACCTGGTGTCCCGGGGGCGGGCTGGGAGCAGTACCTGGAGTGCCAGAGGCGGGCTGGGCGCTGCAGTCCGGCGGCAGCCGCTCGCAGTGCAGCGCCATCCAGCAGCGGCGGTCGAAGCCCCCCGGGAGCCCCGCGCCCGAAGGGGGCTCGGGCCGAGCCCGCCGAGCGGGGGGAGCCCGGTCCCGCCGGGCCGGGGTGCGGTGTCTCGGGGGCGCCGCCGCGGCCCGAGCCGGGTCCGAGTCCCCCGCGCCGTCAGAGGGTCCCCCGCTCCGGTGCCGGTGCCCCCCAGGGCCCAGCCCGGCCTGCGGCGGCACCCGGCGGCGCTCCATGGCTGGGGCTGGGGCCCCACGGTCTTGGAGGCAGAAAGAGCAAAGCAGGGACCGTAACGATGGCACTTTCCGTTTGGTCTTCGCTCCACCTCCGGCCGTTGTCCAGTGCCAAACTGCGGGAATAAGTGACGGGACAGGTTGCCATTTGGGCACACACCGGACCTTTCCTGCTTCCTGCCGGTCCTGTCCGAATTTAAAAGCAGAAGCCCAAACTGCTCTACAGAATGGGGTTATAGGCAAAAGGAGCAGAAACTCTGAATTCAATTTAGTGAAAAAGGCACCAGGACATGAAACTTCAGTCTAGCAAATGGGACTTCAGCACCTTCAGGGATCAGAAACTGTTTGTTGTAATGTATTTTGTTTTCCCTATATAGATACTACAAAATGTAAAAGGATAATTGAGGGAAAATGCTGTTTGACGCCGTTTCTCCTGAAATGTAAGGCATTGCTTCCACTTCTGTTGATCGCTTCTGGCTGTCTCTCTTATAAAAAGGGAAATAATACCAAAATGTTGCAAGAGTGCTTTCAAAATAATCTTTAGCTGCTTTCCCATCTTTTTTTTTTTTCCTCCTCTTTTTTTTCTAGATGATTATCACTCCATTTTTGGCAGTGCGATCTGTTTCTATAGCAACAGGGACAGACGCAACAGTCAAAAATAGAGGAGTGATGCTTGCAGATTTGTGTGGTTAAACCTGTGGGAAAACATCATGTTTTCCAACAGTTTCCACTGATTTTAACTACCAAAAAACTCCTAAAAATCATCCTGATTAATTTTGCATATATGACACAGCCTAAGAAACCTACAGAAAATAACCTTTTTCTTTTAAAGCATCAACAAATTACTTGATTTAACAGGCAGAGTGAAGAACAGTCTGTGAAAGCAACAGCGCCCTTCAGCAAAGATAATTAACACTGGGCTGCGTGGCTGCTTATAATGCTGAAGGGTTTGAGATTCACCAGCACACCTTGGTTTATCCAATGCTTACATACATTTATTAGAACCATTTTCTCTTCAATTTCATTTACTTGATACATGAGTAAGATGTGTGGTTTGAGATATAAAGCGCAGAGGAATTTTTAGCAAGTTTTGATCCAGAGCAACTGTAACCAGGAAGCCTTGTTCTTAAGTGGCACTTGGATTGGGTTATACAAAATAGATGAGAACTGTTGCTTCTGTGTTTACAACCAATACACATACCAGTTATTCAGAGGCAGAAGAGCTCTGTAGGTACTAATGCAGTGTGCAAAATGTGACCTGAAGCTCAAGAACTAATTAATAGCAGCAATTTGAAGAGAGTTGTGCCTGACCGGATGCAAAAGTTTGTGTAGGTGGTTGGGCTGGAAGGATAGGATTCCTTGGGTTCAGCTTGAACCTCTGAATTGTTGAGGTAATGGAGGAGAGGAAAGATCTTTAAATAAAAGAAAAAAAAATTCCCAAACCTCCTGGGCAATCCAAGACTATTGAGTCTTAAACTAATTCTGGACATGTGTGTTTTCAGTAGAGTCTTTCTAGTTGCATAAGAAATTACTATGGATTTCAGGCATCTGGGAAGAGGCATATCATTCCCTAACAATGCATAGTTAGAAGTGTAGGGATTTTCTTTGTTTATTCATTAGTTTTCTTGGCTAGCTGTTCAGGAGAAAAAAACCCCGCAGCATTTTGTAATTACACAGGTGTATTTCTTTCCATATGAAAGGAAAGGTAAAATCTGTCACTGAAATAATTCTGCTGAATGGATACATTGCCTATCTACCTGAGTTCTGCACCTTTAGAACTGATACTCTATATGCTCATGTTCTACTACTCAAGTAATTTATATTTTCTTTTCCAAAGGTAAAACAGGAGATAATTGCCATCATGTTTGTGCATTCATTCTAGAACTATGCGTACCCTAAAGGGTTAAGCTTCTTTTCCTCTACCTCTGCTTATCAAAACCATGCAATTATTAATATTTTTTTTAATACATGACTTTTTCTTTTTAATGTAATGATAACTTCCATAACAAATATGTAGGCATCTGATAGTTAAGAAAATACTGTAGTGCTAAGGAAACAGAACTGTGTAGCTTTGGACATTTGGCTAGTATGCTCTGCTCTTCAGGCTTTTAATTGTGAAGCATGATTAGTACTAATTGAATCTTCCCTCAAATTGGATTTTACAGTATGAAAAGGATAGGCAGTTGCTTTCAAACATAACCTGTGCAAGGGCTGTCCATGCAAAATGAAGTTATGCAGCTGTTTTTGGAAACCCAAAGCAGTCACTGATGGTGACTGTGGTTTCTGTGACTGTGCAAGGGCATTAAGCCCTTCCACCCCTGCCTTCCCCAGCTGCCATGGGCACCGAGTACTGCAGCTCTGTGAGGGGAAGGCAGGTTGCACCGTGAAATGCCACTGCACCATGGTCAAAAGACTCCAGGCATTTCTTTTAGATTGAAACTGTCTTTGAGTATGTCTGTGGCACGGTCTGGTTTGCAGCACAGACAGGTCTATGGGTGGCAAGCCTGTTTGCGTCCTTGGCTCATGTGGTCTGACCCTCTCTAGGACATTTCGAACTCAAGTCAGTTGACAATCAAATTTGCGGTTCTTGCAAATGTGTTTTGAGCAGAGATGTAACAACTGGCTGCGCCCACCTCCACCATCACCATTTCTAGTCCTCAGACTGGTGATGAACATGTACTTTGAAAGGGGGTCTGGGCTTTCACCGAGCGTGGCAGGTCTGGTCAGTCTCCCTGGCCTAATGGCAGAGCTTGCACAGGAAGACAGGGATTTCTTTATACTGACTTGAACTAAATTAATCCTCTATTGCTTTCTTTCCTAGATCCAAGTCTGCCTTGGTTTTGTCTTCCCAACCCAGCGTTAAAGGTAACGTTGGCAAGAACCTCACGGGAGGCTGTGCCTGGCAACAGCAAAACCAAGAATGCAAACCAGAATGACGCGTACGCGGTCCGGTGGGCTCCCGGCTGCCAGCGGCACCAGGGGTTCCCGGTGACCCCCGCTCCCGGCCGGTGCCGGGGCCGCTGTCGGGCTCCGCGGGATGGCGGACACCGGCGGGATGGCGGGCGGGCACGGCGCTCCCGCGGCTGCGAGTGTGTGCGGGACGTGCCGAGCCGCCCCGCGCCACATGGCCGCCCCCGCCGCCGCCCGCACAGCCACCGGCCCCGCGCCCCGGCCCCGCGGCGCCCCCGGGGCGGCCAATGGCGGCCAACGGCGGCCGGGCGGGCGCTGCCGCTGCCTACGTGACGCGGCCAAGGGGGGCGGCAGCGGCCAAGGGGGGCGGCAGCGGCCAAGGGGGGCGGCAGCGGCCAAGGGGGGCGGCAGCGGCCAAGGGGGGCGGCAGCGGCCAAGGGGGGCGGCAGCGGCCAAGGGGGGCGGCAGCGGCCAAGGGGGGCGGAGGCTGCGGCTGGAGCTGCCGGAGCGCGGTTGGCGAGGGGGGCGGGCGGCCACAGCCCCGGAGCCGCCACAGCCCCGGAGCCGCCACAGCCCCGGAGCCGCCACAGCCCCGGAGCCGCCACAGCCCCGGAGCCGCCACAGCCCGACGCGCTCAGCAAAGGGAGGCGATGTTGATGCTGGACAGCAGTTCAGAGGTGAGGTCTGGGGAAGGTCGGTCTGTCTGTTTTGTCTTACCGGGAGCCCAGACGCGGAACTGGGTGAAGTGTACTTTTTGCCTGGAGCTGCTCGGAATCCTAGGGCGCTGCCGGCGTCGGTCGGTATTCCTGGTTATGAGATTAAAAGCCAAAATAGTCGTGCTTGGAGCTGTTTATTTATTTATTTTTTTAAAAGGGAAGTTTCAAGGAACATGAAGGTCCGACGATTTGCGAGGGGGATGTTTCCTGCCATAATGCAGCGTGGTTAGATCTGCTGTGGCTTAGACTGGCAGTAACATTCTTTCTTTTCTTTTCCTTTTTTTTCTTTGTCTTTTGATTTATTGTTTATTTCAGTGTGGTAGTTTCAGCAATCTGTTCGAGGCAGGAACCGGTGTGAACGCACCTGCAGATGCCTTTGGTCAGTCTCCTGCTCACTTGGCTGCTTGCGGTGGTGAAGCGTTTTTCCTACTCTGGCAACTACAGACAGGAGCAAATTTGAACCAACAGGTAAAAATACATAAGTTTCATTCCTTCCACTTCTAATCTGGTATGTCAGTAAATCCAGTTAATATTATTTACATACTTTCTATCTACGAAAGGTTTTATACACAGTTGAACTGTATGAGGTACCTACCTGGGGTCACTTATTTTAGAGAAAGCTCTAGCATGAACCAGAAATCCCACCTATATTGCATTAGCTATTTCATTTGCTATAATAATGCAATTTTAACACAGTGCTGCATGCAGATTTCCAGAGAACTTAATTCTTTTACACAAATGATTATTTTTTGTCCAAAATTTTCTCCCTACTTCCAGTAAACATAAGGATTTTAGCTGAAAAGTTTAATTTACTCATACCTCCGAGCTGGTAGCAAGCTGTTGGTCACAGCAGTCCCTGAATGATGCCTAAAGATGCTGTTAATTAGGGTACACAGTGTATTCTGTGTAAATTATCTTTTAGAAGGCAAAGGCTAAAAAATGAATATTGCAGGGAACAGTGTTTTTACTTTGTGGTGACGAATACACTACACATTTAACAGCAGTTACCAAGTATACTCTCTCTCAACAGGCTGATATACACAGTCATTTTGAAGAACAAGATAGTTTTATCCTATTCCCCTTCTTCAAATGACTGCTATATGTAAACTGTGTTTTTAGGATTGCCTTGGAGAAGCCCCAATTCATAAAGCAGCAAAAGCTGGAAGTTTGGAATGTCTCGCTCTCCTTGTTGCTGGCGATGCCAAAATTGAGTAAGTTGAGTTACATTTAGTAATTTCAGTAACAGCATCAAAGGATGTGTACTTTACACAGTACTTCTACTTGTTTAGTAGAATTACTGCATGCTAAGTACAATGCTAAGGCTGCAAAAATAGTATGCCTGCAGCATAAGAGTATTAAAAACTGACAAGCATCAAAGCAGCATGGACCATATGCTGTTATTTAGTTCCATGTTAAATACCTCTGTAATATCTGAGAGAATATTCCTGATCATAATCTCTCCTCGTTAGTTTTCCATTCCAATGCTGTGCTCACCTTCTTCTTGCCTTTCCGATATGCTAAGCCAGTCCTAGTCTGATGATGTATTTAAAATAATTCCTCGTTGTATTTAATAGCCCTCTGTATGAGCCCCACGCTATCCTTGACAAACCTTCTTGATATTGGTTTTCTGTACTTATTTTTATACATCTGTCTAGATTTACCCCTTAATCAGTGGTTGCTCATAATATATATGCCAGTGTAATTGGTTATTGTTAACTCTGTGTTTCAGCTTGTGCAACAACAGTGGACAGACAGCAGCAGATCTTGCACTGGCTTACGGTTTTCTGGAATGTGCCAAGTTCCTCACGACAATTCAGCACACTCAGACAATGAAACTGAAAGGACAGTCTGGCTACTTGCTCAGTGACAAACATGGGTTGCTGAGAGAGGATCCAACTGCACAGAAACAAGAAAGTAAACCCGGCAGATCCATAAGCAGGAAGAGGAGAAGATCAGATGGTGTGTAATACAGTTTTTTAATACAATTCAGAATATTTTTCTAAATGTTTTCAGCACAAATGGTTTTATACACATAGCAGTTAAGATGTAGAAGCCTGCTAGTAAGGATGAACTTGCATAGGTAGTTAAGGTCATGGTCTTTTTGGAAATGTACCATGCACGGGGAATGCCACTGAAAAAGCTACTTTAACAAAGGGGAAAAAAAATCATAGGTACTCTCACTGGTGTACTGATGTAGAAGCTACAGACTTATTGTTGTTTATTCATATGACAGATCTTGTTTCCTAGCTGCCAGAAGAAACAGCTTCTAATCCCAACATGAAATATGGCAAATCCAAAGTCTGAAGAAACATGACTGGATGATACATTGAGCAACCAGATATGTATGCTGGGACATTGTCTCCTTCTGAGAAGGAGGAAAGCTTGTATATTGTTACTTCTTACAGAAGAATGTTGTGGTTTCCCCCTCAGTAGTTGTATTCATACAGCTATAAATAAATGAGCATGTGACAATTAATTCTCTTGATTTTTTTTTTCCTGTGTACATATGAGAGTAGAATTCATAAAATTCAGTACATATAGCCATTTTTTTCTCACTCCCAAAAGGCCTTCATTGGCAGTACCAGCAGCAAACAATGCCTTTGAACAGATACACAAGACAGCTGGCTGCGTAGAATCTGAAAGGCAGGGGACAGTTCATCTTTTTACCATGAAAGAATTCCATAAAATAAAAGGATTGGGCATTTAATCTATAGAGATTTTAACGTAGCAAAAAATGCTATATAAATGTAACGTTGCCTTAGGGAAAAGAATAGAGTATTAGTTGCCTAATAAATGCACTTGTAAGAAAAGCAGTTCCCAGCAGATAACTCTTATTTCTAGAGGTTTCATTTTAAAAAAAAAGTTCCTTAATTTAAATTACTCCAGCAACATTTCTATTTCAACTGAGTTTTGATTGACTTAAAGCATTCTTTTGATAAATAACAGGACAGTTTTATCTAGATCAGCTAGTATTCTGGCATAGCATGTTCCAGCAGAAGAGAGGAATTTAAATAGCTTTTGGTCGTTGAGGTAGGCACAGATTATAATAGGCGTCCTTGTTCCAAAACTCCGGGCCCTTCCATCCACACCAGCCCTGTCCAAGAAAAAGCAAGATAACTTTTAAATCTACTACGAATTCTGGTTTTCTTACCTACTTCTACTGTATTGATTTTATTTTACTAACCATACTAAGCTCAGCTGTAGGAATTCTTTTCAGATAGCTGTAGAATGCAATGACAATTTTCAAAAAATTCCCTACATGCCTGGAAACACATTAATGGAAAGTTTATTACAGAGACTCTCTCTCCCTCTTCCTACATCCCCAGCTTAGATCCTAGAAGTATCATCTGCTGCACTTCACGCCCCCTTCCCACTACCTTTCTGCTGCTCCAGAGAGACTAATATTATTCTAAAGTCATTCTCACAGTTCCCATTTCTCATCCTGAATTCTTGCCTTCTTTGATAATAGTTGATATTTCAGCCCCAAGCAGAGCTTTCAGTATCAGAAACGGTGCTGTTCATCCTGATTCTGCAGGAAAAAAAGCAGTCTAACAAAGCTCTTAAGTTTGCAGAGTACAAAAGAATTATTGGAGATGTTTTTGAAGAAAAGAGATACAAAATTACAGTCCATCTCAGTTCTTCCCCAGCCACTTTCGATGAGGAAAGTGGGTTCTCCATGTATTCTATCCTCCTGGATCATTCTGAACTGTAGCTGTAACAGCCTTTGGTCCTACATGTTCTTTGGTTCTCTTTCCATGTCAAGAATTGTTTATCTTTTCATGTCAAGCTTTGATAATTACAGTCCAACAAAATGTTTCTTAAAACGGCTTTTTCTGTTGGGCCCCACACAAGGATATCAAATAAAGATTTGAAATAAAAGTTACTATTTGCAACTTAATATGAAGAACAGAGAAGAAATTGATTATGTAACGTCTATAGGAGGATTTATCCACTTTCAAAATTTACATTTCTGACATGGTGTTTACTGTTTTATACTATGCTGTGTCATCCTTTTTAGGGACTTTAAATGTGGAAATAATATTACATACCCTTTAGCTCTTTTGGAGGTTTCTTTTTTAGAGTTCTCCCACATTTTCAAAACAGTTCAGTACCTGACCTTTAAACATAGTTCAAGGCCTTATCTGAGAATGCTTAGTGTTGGATTTTTAAAATAATTTTTGAAATTTAAAATAAATCAGTATCTTCTCTGCTTCATTTTCAGCATTTTACAGGCTGAACAGATATTTCTGTTTCATTCAAAATACCAAATGGAGTTATTGTATACACTACAGGGTAGAAGAGGGAGATGGGTTACTTCAGATAAAATGAAGAACAGCTGCTGATCTGATACATCTTCTCTGAAGACACTAAGTTTCAGAAACTGATAATAAGTAGCATATAGTAGTATGGGATCAGCACTTCCTCCACAAGGAATGGAGAAGCCATATAATGGCCAATTCATATTTGGCTGTACAGTACTTGTTTAATGCCAGAATATATGTGTATACATAAATATGTGTGTATATATGTGCATCAAGCCTCACCTTTTCCAAAATAACATGCAGATCTTCTCCTCCAGTGTAATGTGGGTCTAGAATCAAATATTTTATTTGCCCTGTAATCTCATTCCAAGCCACTCCTAATATCGTGTGAGCCAAAACACCTCCACCTAAAATAGGACAAACACAAATTGCTAAATTTTTTTAAACATAGATTGGCTAATGTGCAAGGCTTAAATAAAAGTACATCAACGCTTTCTACAGATTAGCTTAGTTATCAAGATTCTGTTAGTTTTCAAGATTCTGAAGCTGACATAAGATTCTTCACACTATTAACATAACTATAACTAGGGAAGATTAGTTGTAGTAAGCAAAGACTTTCCTTTTCAAATTTCTTCCAAGTCAACAAGGCAGGTTAAATCCTCAGCACTTTCACCAGATGAAGTCAGGAATACTTCACACATCTGTTTTGCAGTTTTTCTTTAAAGAAACTTAACTGTACAAAAGAAATCTGGAAAACTTCCTGGTTGTAAAATTACTAAAGTTAGAACAGAAATCAGCATTGCTGGGTAAGGTTTATCTGCTGTTTTCTACTAAGTTACATCGATGGGTATTAGGGGCAGAGTAGTAACTTCTGACTTTCTCTAGCTTGCAAAGAGGAAAAAGGGATATTTTGATGAGATGGGCACATTTCTTTCAGATAACATGAGGAGTTTATGCCCCTGCAATACCGTATTAATGACTCCACACAACAGATAGGAATTGGAAAATCTGCAAAAGAACACAACGAAAACCAATCCCCAAACTCCACCCCCAAACAGCCAATCTCAACACCTCCAACAACAACAAAAAAATTAAACCAACCTACATGAGAGCATTACAGGGAAGGATAAGTTAAAGTCTAAAAGATTTTTCAGCACAGGATTCTAAATTCTTGAAATTCAGACAAAAAGGCTGCTGAAAGGCAAAGAATATTTCATAGAATCATAAAATGGTTTGGGTTGGAAGGGACCTCAAATATCTTCTAGTTCTAACCCTGCTGCCATGGGCAGGGACATCTACTACACCAGCTTGCTCAAAGCTCCATCCAACCTGGCCTTGAACACTCCCAGGGATGGGGCATCCACAACTGATCTGGGCAACTTGTTCCAGTGCCTTACCACTCTCACTTCTTTATTAACATATAATCTAAATCATCGTCATAGCAAAGCCAGAACTTCTGTCCCCTCTAATTTGAGAAAGTAACGCTATATTGTGGGGTATCAAATATGGACTGTAAAAATTGCTAAAATTAATTTTATTAAAGCTGAAAATAATAATATCAATATTACTAATTTTATAAACCACAGCTTGGAAATAGGTCAAAGTTACTGTATTCTTAGGAATGGCACTTACCTTAACAACATTTCATATTATTAAAACTGGTCTTTAAAAAAATTTGGATAATATCCTTCTCTTCCAAGCCAGAGAATCACTATGCTTCTGTGAGTTGTATGATCTCCTGTTCCTCTAGAGAGCACAAGTCAGCTCTCGAGTTATGACTCAAAAGCAATTTATAAAAACACCATTTAGATTGACTTTTGTTACCATGCTTAATACTGAGCTTGGGAGAAATACTGAATTAAAAGATACCAGCCAGACTAAATTGTATCACTTTTGAAGCTACCTTGGGGAAATCGTAATTTTTAATTCATCTACAGTTTTGATTAACTCTCATACAGTAAATTGAACAGTTTCTAATTGAAATAAGATTCAGCACAAGGAGACTATGAACTTTCACGAGCTTTCTTCAATACTCAAGCACTTACCAATCATAATTGGAGTTCCCTCAGTCTTGAAATGATTAGCAAGCTCTCTTCCCTGCAATGCTAGTTCAGAACCCTGGCTGGGTAAGAAAAACAACAATAGATTTGTCATTCTCACTAGGCTTAATTATTTTATTATTCATTATACATGTTAACTGCATAGGTAACCGATTAGAAAGTCACTTGGATTATTCCTGTGTAAGCTTCCTGGGACAACATGAAAAATGTTTTCTAGTGCAACTCAGAGATCCTCATTGCCACTGTGGAGCATCTGGAGTCATCCAGCCTCTATAAAAGTGTCTGCTGCTCATCTCCCACAGTGGGGACAGCTGGTAAACCCCAACAGGTCCCTCCAAGTGGCTGAAAAAGAGGTTGGCCACATCTGTCAACAAGGGGAAGACTGAAGTAACAGAGCTCCATAAGAAACAACAAAAATAAGGACTTGATAAAGGTGCATATAATTACACCTCTTAAGGTAAGTCTCTACTGTAATTATACAAGCAACTGCAATATTCATAACCAAGTTGGCTTTGAAAAACAAATCTCAAATAACATTAGTAATCTGTTCAAAGGCAACACTGAACTTAGCTTTGTTATATTCTCCCTGCTTTCTTTTTCAAATTTGCAGACCAGCCGCTGATAAAAGAAGTCTGGATGTAAGAGAAAGGTGTGCACACAATGCATGCACATACTGTAGGATTTGGAGCTGAAGACATATGTTTGATGGAGACTCATATTCCTCTTAGAAGACTGACAGTAATCCCAAAAGTGGTGACAAAAGCTAGGCAAGAAAATTAATACAGATATATTTAATAGCTTGTAATTAGAGTTCTTCATAGAGCGGTTAACTTTTTTAAAACCCAAAGAAAGCCTGTATGCCTACTTCCCAAGTTCCTGTAGAGATGGATTAAATGCAGATAGAATACAAAACTGGAACTCTGGGAAATGGTGCATTTATGATAGTAGATCCAGGATCCAGTACCAGCGTTGCTGGTGCAGCTGTGAAGTCTTATTTCCATAAAAGGTTAGAGGTGCTAGGTGGAAATAAGCCCAAGACAAAAATGTCATCCACTGCCAGTGACCAGCTGAAAAAGACGCATAACATTTTCTTCTTCCCAGCATGGTACTGATGTTGGTTTTTCATAATCCTGAAGAAAACTAGTGCTCCCTTGTGGCAGCACTATAAGCAATTCTACCCAGTTCACAAAAGAATTCATTCTATATTCTTATATACACGAACAAAAATCTTCCTAATGGCAGGGTCTGTCACAGCTATCATAAATAATAGCTCGATCATCTGCAAATACAAGCTCTGGAACAGAAACAAAGATTAAGATATTTAAGACCTGAACTATTTTCCTATCATTAAGAATCCTCATCACCAAGCTTATTTAGAATATTTAGAGTGGAATTTACTTTAAATACATGAGTAGTATTTTGACTTGAATCTTCATACGCACAAAGTTGGTATATGTTCTTTATTTCATTACTATGTTTATCACAACATGTTCAGGGATTTGTTAGTCTGCTTGGTGTTGCCTCAATGATAAAAATCTGGTAATTTTACTTCTGATAAACGCTGAACATTATTTTGTCCAAAAATATCTTTGTAGGGTCCTTCATTGTGTATAAGAGCATCAGATTGTCAGAATGAAAACAAATTCCTTGTTTTATTTGTCACACAACCCCAAAAATGAGAACATTATTTCCAGGCTGCTCAGCAATTTGCCTCAACCCTCCAGAGTTAGCTCTGTGGACGCAGTAATAATTTATCAGTGGCCACCAGTTCTCTGTGGCCACCAGACTGTTTGCCTGCTTCAAAAATGTGATGCAAAGAAATAGGCTGGGCTCCATATCAGTTTGCATATCATTAGGCAATTTATAGGATTAAGCACATCCAAAGAGAGCCACATTTCTTGTGGAAGCGTTAGATTGTAGCTTTATGAAACTGGGCAGTTGGCATATCCTTAAGCAATTTATAGCAAGTGGAAACTGGAACCCCAAGCCCCCCAAAAATTTAACACCACCTTTATCTGTAAGCATTTAGCAAAGAATAAAAGGGGGAATATAAAGTTTATGAACAAAGAACCCTTAAAATTATCCCTATTCTCCCAACCACTGTAACCATAATTTGCTTTTTAAGGCACTCAGTCTTTTTAACAATTACTGAGCTACTAAAGAGGTAATGATTCTTACCTGACAAATAATATTTTGGATGTTATTCCAAAAAGCTGATTCAGAACAAGCTGTACCTCAATTGAACCAATCCATTGCCGTGATCCAAGAAATCCTGCAGGCTTGTCTCCAGCATCAACCAGTGCCTTTGCAACATCATGATGAAGAAGAAAACCAAACATCAACAACATTTAGTAGAAAATCCCACCACATTTTTGTGAATAAAGTTGGGTTATATTTATAGAAATGTGTTTTGAACCTAGCCAGTCAAAAGCAGAAAATAGTTATTGAATACATTCACTGGGGTTCTGTTTTGGAAATGTTCCTTTAAGCAGTAACAGAGAATAACGTTTATAAGCACAGACTACAAACCCAGGTCCACAGGCAGACCTCAAGCTGGGATGGTGAGCACTGAGCTGTCTAATAATGGAGTGCATCATTTGGACACTGCAGAAGCCACTTCACAGACTGAAAGGTTTGGATTCCTATTCAAGGCATCTAAGAAAAGGATCCAAAAAATAGTGCTCTGAGAAAGGGGCCACTGAAATACACCAAAAATTGTGGTTTATTTTAAACTCTTCTCTGTTCTGAGGCTTATATGTTACATGCAGTACTTGAGAAGGTCCTTTTGTGCTCAGGGATACAAAGCTCACAAAGTCTCCTGCAGGCTACTGCCCTCTTCTAGATGCCTAAAAATACTACAGGAGTGCACAGACTACAGGAGCTTTTAGCTTTAGATCTGGTCTGAGTAATGTTCAGGAAATGCAGTTTTACCTTTAGTGCTCACATCCTTGCTAGGTACGATGAAAGTTGTTTTATGAACTGGATTAAACTTTGATAAAAATGTTCAGTAAACTGATAGACTGATAGAACACAAATAACTATTTTTAGAAGATGGAAGATAACTGCAGTTATTTCTGGATAGGCACATAGTATTAGTTACCCAAGCCTACAGTTTTTCTTCAGTGCTGTTAAGAGAAATGAACACACTCAGGTATGCATTTGAATTCAAAATAGAAAAAGAAGTGAAGGAGAGTTCAAAAATCAGGAAAAGTATACTGCTCTCAAAGGCAAATTTGCAAAAGGTGTCAGTAAATTATTGCATAGCATCTGGGGACTAATCCAACTGTCACTGAATACAAAAGTCAGTTTTAAAATTGACTTTAGTATAACACACTGGGTTCTTTGTTCTCTTTTCATTTGGCAGAAACACTGAAAATGTCATAATATCAGCTTCTAAAAGAACATTAATCCAAGGAAACATTTAAAAGACTATTTTAAGGAGTCTTATTCGTACAGATAATGCCATTCAATGTTAATAAACATTTGGAGACAGATCTCCTATAATAAAACTTGTTAAAAATAGTAATTCAGAACCACTAATTCAATTTAAGAGATATTTTTAATTTATCACACAAATCAATGCATATGAATCGGATATTTAAAAAAATATTGTCCACAAATATTTCCAGACAAATATGCATAAAATAATGAATCTCCTTAAATGTTCTGTACCTGCTGAATTTCCTTGTGTGTTGGTATAGGTCTATCAGTGTAGCCTTGGTGCCTGAACCAAGAGCAGATTGTCTGCAAAGACCTATAGGCACAGCCCCAACCACTGTCATCAATCCGATCCTGCATATAGTGGTGATAACTATACACACCATGGACTAAATAAACCTGCACAGAAAGAGATAATACAAAAGAATATGATCACAGTTCTGGAAACACACTTGCATCAGTTTTCAGAGAAGTCATATGACCTGTCACTTGCACTGCAAAAGCTTTCAGGTAAGGACTGCAAATCTTTGGCAGAATCGAAGGGCCATTATTCACACATGATTACTCCTCCTGTTTTTGTCTCCTAAACATCTCTGTTCATGGTTTTAGTTTCTTGTCCTAGCTCTGAGAAACTTTTAAAGTACATGCTAAAAACGTGTACATCCTTTTCCAAGAAAATCCAATTTCTTTGGGACAAATATAGCAAACTAAAGCAATGCCATTTTGGGCAGAGAAGCCTTTTGATTTAAAAGGCTGGGCCAATTATTTCACTTTCTCAACTACACAACACTGACCATCTAAATTACTTCTTTTAATAACAAATCTCAAGTAAAATTAAAAGTACTTTCTGACAAATGTTCATCTTAAACTTACCATACCAGACTCCATACCAGGTGAATTAAGATGCAAGTGTGGATTTCTGAGATATCCATCTTTATATGGTTCATCTGGAAAATGATAAGCATTTGCTCTCTTGAAATACGGTCTGTCACAAGGCAGATTGTATAACCCATGCAATTCCTACACGCAAGTTCGAATAAAAATAAAGAGCACAGTTCAAATTTTGGATTACAAGAAAGATCAAATTGTAAGTAGCAATAAAGACATATATAATTTTAACAGTATAGCGTATCAAATTATTAAAATATGCTTAACTAAACATTCAGCATGTATGTTTACTACTAGATCTCACCTCTCAAAGGAAGCTCATGCAGGCTTACCTCCTGTCTAAAGGGCCCACTGTTTTATGTAGTCCTGTTACATAATGCCTGCCGCTGGAGCCCCACTGAAGATACCATGAGTGACAAGTTTGTTATGGAAGTATGATAAAATACACCACAGAAAAGAATTACAGTTTTATCTATGTACTAGTGTAGATAGACACACACTGAATTATAATCTTAACTGATACCAAAGACATACAAATACCATGAACTGAGACAAACTAAAGATACTGAGCTTATGGCTCAAGCAGATTCAGTCTATTTTTAAATCTCTTCAGCCCTGTTTATAACACAGCAGCCACATTTAAAGAGATATACTGTCTTATTTCACAGAGCTTAAAAGTGAAAGGAATGATGAGATCATCTAGGATAATGTGTGTAACACAGGTAATACATTTTAGGCAGTGGTAACACTTCTCATCAGTGGGTAAGAGTGAACAGCAGACAAAGAGCAGGAAAGATAGTGTGCCACCAGTGCCTGAGGCCTCTGCAAATGCAAGGCTAGATTAGGTTTTATAGACCCAGTAATGCTTCACACAGAAGAAAATGAAAATCACCACAGCTTCTACACCTCTAAGATTCCAGAATATTCTTTCCCTGTGCTCAGTATGTGTAATTGTGTGACCTGGCTGAACTCAGTATCAATCTGAAAGTTCTGCCCCATCACAACATTCTTCCACCTCATCCTTCTTTTCCCAGATGTGCCAACCCAGAAGGCAAAAACAAACCAAGAGCTAACTAAGCCTGGTCAGCTGTAAGCCACAAAAAGCAGCCCCCTCCAAACAAACAGACAAAACCCCCACAAAACCCCAAGAAAGAAACCAAAATAAACAAACCCTCCCAGCACTAACCCTTTCAGGACATATGTTAAAGCCTGAATGTAGAAAAACACTACATGTAATCAGATATTCTATTGCTGAAGTGGAGAAATGCAAAGAATAGTGTACCGGATAGATAAAATCTACCTAAACCAAATTTTATGTACTTTTAAGGTTCCTATCGTTCCCTTACCAAAATGAGATCTGGTACATATTTTATAAAATAACTTCTAATAAATCAAGCTTCAACATTCAGTATGCTCCTTTGGTTACAGTAAAAAGATATTTAAAAAAATATAACATTATCTGTTAGCATTTATTCTACGCTGACTAAATGAAAAGCTTTACCACTGCTTCAATTACAACAATTAAAAATAAAAATAAAATATCAGGTTCTGTTAACTCTTTGTTGGCTTTACCTTTCTGTAACTTTCCAGTTGATCATCTGAAATACCTGTAGGATATGAGATTGTTACAAGCTGATTTTTTCCTGGTAACATGAAATGAAACTGTTCTGGTACCACAATTGATGTTCCTTTCACGTATTTCATGATACATCTTTCCATGTCATTTAATTGCCTGTGAATTGCTTTCACCAGGAGATTTTGTACCCTGCAAAGTCCAAAGGAGAATATTAAAAAAAGCAGAGCAGCGATGGTGGATCATTTTCTCTCACAGCTCTGGCAGTTATGCAATATTTATATGCATATCTGCACCTGGTTAGATGAATGTATTACTTCTCTGCTTCTGCTCCCACAGGCAAAGGCAGAGCCTCACTGTGCTTTAGTCAAAGCATGTCTGTGCACAGAAACCATTCCCTCGTGATACAATCCTCCACAGTGCAGGTATGCTGTTTTTTATCAGAAACACAACCATCATGAGCATTTGTCAAAATAAAAATCACATATATGAGTATGTGTTTTGGGTTTTTTTGTGGTTTTATTTGCTTTTTTTTCATTTTATCCACCCCATTTAGTCAAATCCTATGGAAAAAATACAAGGAAAAATACAGAGGCAGCTTCAAACGTTTTCCATCTGTATCTATTCAGCTGCAGTCCCTAGTGTAGGGCTGAGATTAGACTCATCAAATAACACCCCAACTCTCACTTTTATACACCTCACATACTTACAAGAATTTTTAGAACATTTCCCCTGACTTTCTCATTGCTAAGTAATAGTTATGAGTCATCAAATCTATCAGACATCGATAAACTCAATTTTTTGTAGGCAGCAAAATGATTGTTCTCAAGATTATTAAAGCCAACAGCTGTCTACATGAGCTTTTATTATTTACACAGTCAACATTCTACTATAAAAATACTATATACTTTTCATTAAAATTATGAGTGATACAGTTTTACTTCATTACTTCAAGAAAAAGCAGAAATTAAGCTGAAAAATTACAAGTTCAGGATAACACTTACTTTCCCCACGTTTCTTCTGGAGAAACAGATACCACAACATCAACTGGCAATGTCATACTTATGTAGTGGTGTTCCTTATTTTCCCTTTCAATGACTGGAGCCAAAGCAGCTAATGAAGAAGTCATTTCCAACATGAGGTCTACATTGACTATCTGCTGCTGCAGAGAATAAAGACACCAATAGGACTACACATGCATCAAGAAGGCAAAAGAAAGATTGTAGATATTTGATATCAAACTCAGTAATTAAACACTTGGGTCAAAAAAAAAACGAGGAACATCAAAGACAAACTTCTACGTCCTGATCTACTATGGGTGGACCTCTGCACTCACACTGAGTCTCAATGACTTTAAAATGATTCTTTTAATTCATGTCAATGTCTATTTGTGTACAAAAAAAGCCCAGGGAGGGCAAGTCTGAAAATGTTTAAATGATAAATTGTCTCACATAATTTTTTACTGGGGTGAGACACATACCGTATCTTGTAACTTCTTATCCTTCTTCTTGCCAAGCTTTCGTTTGGTCTCATCATCTTGATCAAATCTGAAGTATCAACAGAAAGAGAAATTACTATAATATGAAATTAATCTGCTATCTCCCCCTCCTCCCCCAATTTTTAAATATACTCACTGTATAAACCGTGTTATCTCCTTACATGCAGACTCGTCAGTCAGCTCTGGAACTGTGGTCATACCATTGTTGGGCCACACATAGACTGAACTGTGGCAAATTCTTAGTACAAGAAACTCTGAGGACAATTTGTTTGCAAGATCACTGAAAACATATCCTAATGTCTTTTTTGTTGATGCCTCTGAAACACAATAGGGATACAATAAGACTAGAAAATTCCCTCACCCTTCTTTTATAGCTGCTGGGCATGCATTAAAAAAAAAAAAGTTTTGACTTGTAATCAAAACCTAAATGCTGTTAGGATCAGAAAAATGGCTAGGTAAACAGAAACTGATGTAAGATTTCACTTAGCAGGTCTGCCTCAAACATTCATACTCATACTTCCCTGAACAAAAGTTCTCTTTTTTAGATGTCAAATATGAAGAGCTGAATGAATTACAGAAGAATAACCTATTCTGCAGTCAATTCTCACATCTATAATTCTTAACCAAGCCTACAGTTGCAAACAAACTTCTATGTACAGTCAAACTTTTAACTAAATCTGAGTCATGTGTTTCAGACTTCGTATCATTGTTCAGAAATACAAACAGACTAAATGTTTGGAAAAGTAGAGCCTACATTCCAACTCAAGACCAAGTTTTGGCCAACATAAACCTGCAACTGTAACCCTGGTCTTCCTTAAACTTTAGTCCTGGTATAGACAGCTGTCTTTCAGAGCTTGACTTGACTACTTAAGTTTTACCCACCCCTTACAACTGAACCAATACTGCACATGACAGAGCAACTTTTGCACATTACCCACATTTTTTTCTTCACTGAGGAGGCTAAAAACCATTACTTAGAATACAACGAGTTTAAAAAGCCTAATAAGTCATCAAAGATTATGCTGTATACTTTTAATCCATTAGCTTAAATTTGGTAATTATTAGATAACTTTTGCACTAGAAGTCTGTAAAAACTACAGTATTAGAAAAGTCAAAGGAAAACTGCCCCAAAAGAAAAACCTACTGCCCTCAAAAGGAGTGGTGTGAATACTGTGCACCTCGACAATTCAAATACCACTCTGTTTCACTGTGCTTAAAATTCACTAAACTCTAAACTAAATCAAATAAATAGCATTTCTTGGAGGATCCAGCTCACAAAATGTTGCTTTGCATTAGGCTAATCTAAATTCCACACTTCTGCTTTACATCACGAACTCAAATAAGCCCAAGTTCCTTTTCAAGGTTCACTAAAACGGAATTCAGTGTTTCTAATAGAGACGTCTTTTAAAAAGCAGAATGAGTGACAGTTGAGTTACAGACAACCTCCTTCCACATTCCGCCCTGTGACAGCTCCATAGGTCGCTGATAGCTTTGAGCTGACTTTCTGAAGAGGATGTCACATTACTGTAATAGTGTGGGACTGCAGGAGCCCCTTAACACCACATGGACTAGTCCCTTGTTATCACTTGGAATTGCAGTAGCCAATCACACCCAAATTCAATAGGGTGACTTACTGACTCATTCCCCTTCTCTATTTCTCTAGGAAGACTGGACCACAGTCCCAAAACTGTATTAATACAATCCTGTTATAACCTAATTCATTGTCATTAAATTATTCTCTCTTTTCTTAGAATTTCAGGGTCAACTTTGGATTCAAGTGAAAAGTGATTCCAACAACATATCCAAAAGTAAGAAATATATGCAAATAACATGAGTTTAAAGTCTCAATTTAAACTTTATTTCAAATTAAAATAAGAAACATATGATGGAAAAAGACTGTCAGAAAATTCAATGAGATAAAGAATAACATTTTGCATACTTAATTGTTACAGGTTTTGGAAGAAGCACTTAACACCTGGTGAAATGCAAACAAAATAAATATCTTAACTAGTTTATTGATAAAAGTTTATATAAATATTAAGAAATCTATTAGTCTAATAGACACACCATCAGTAGTTGCCAGCTGAAATGCAAGATCCAAGCCTCCTCTTATTCTGAAGAGTATATCCATAGCTTCTAGAATTACCTAAGGAGAAAAAAGAAGCAATGAAAATGAATGGCCATTTCAACGTGCCTTCTCTTCAGCCACAACTGACTTCTGGTTTACCTCAGTATGCCAGCACACCAGCAATTACTGATGCTGCTCAGATTAGAAGAGGTCAGTGAATAAACACGGAAGTGAGTGGCACAGCAGTGCACAAAAAGAAATGCTTCACAGCCTTAATTGCTCTAACCCCCCCCCCCCCCAAAACCTACAATTACACTATGACCCTTTGGAAAGGCTTATCACATAACTGTTTACTTAAAAACTATGAGAGACTTCCAGGTGCAACGCTAGTGTTACTCATGAAAGAAAGAAAACATAGGACTTTCTTTCCATTAAAAGTATTCTAAAGAGAAACGTGCAGGATATGCATACCTGATGAAAATATAATCATCTACTACACTTTTAGTTGTGGGCAAAGGATTTTCAGGTTTCAGTGACTCTGGAGTGCCAATGTTCTACAACAAAGAGTTTGGTTCCTGAAACATAAACGTGAAGTATTTTAGATAACATGGTTATCTACATTAATAGGGTCTTGGAGTGTGAAAGGCACTCAAGTGCCTGAGTGTGAAAGAAAGTTTGCCCGGTTGATGTGAAAGAGCTTTTTATTTGAATTATTACTACACAAGAATAACATTCATGAATAAGAAGCAGAGCTCTGTAAAAGCAGGATGAGAGCATCTGGCCTTTTGACAGTGGCTCATCATGGATGATCATAGGTCAGATTGGAAGGGACCACAGTGGGTCACGTCATCCAACCCCCCTGCTAAAGCAGGGTCATCCCAGAGGACACTGCACAAAATTGCCTGCAGACGTTTCTTAAACATCTCCAGTGAAGGAGACTCGACCACCTCTCTGGGCAACCTGTTCCAGTGCACAGTGACTCGCACAGTAAAGAGGCTCTTCCTCGTGCTCAGGTGGAACATCCTGGGCATCGGTTTCTGCCTCTTGTCCTACTGCTTGGCACCACCGAAAAGTGTCCGGCTCTATCATGATGAGGTCTTCCGACAAACCCCTGGCCAAAGCCACGCAGACCGAGGCCCCAGGGCGATGGGGAATCGCAGCTGCCAGTGGGAAGGAGGACGGGGCAACGCGGGAGGTGCCGCTGCCCCCGTCTGACACGACCCGGGCCCTGCAGAGAGGGGCCCCAGGGATTTCGACACCTCTCTCCGACGTGCCCCTGGGGCTGGAGGCCCAAACGCCGCCACCAAACCCACCTGGCGGCGCGGACACAGCTCCCAGCCCGCCAGGGGACACGGCGGGCAGCCCCGGCCCCGCCGCCGGCCCAGCCCGGCGGGAGAACTGCCGTCCCCGCTGAGGACGGACGGACGGACGGACGGATGAACACCCACCTACCCATTCCTAACCCCAAGGAGGACAGATGCGCGCAGGGGAAGGGAGGGGCGGACTCACCACATCCGTCAGTGCCGCCGCGGGGGCCGGGCCCGGGCACATCCCGGTGGCGCACGCGCGCTCCCGCCGGGAAGGGGCGGGGAGCAGATCCCGGTGGCGGCGCGTCCCCGCCTCCCCGACCGCGGCCCCGCACTGCAGCGCTGTGACCCTGCCGGGCTGTGGACGTGGCTCTGGCTTCCTTCTCGTACGGCCGGGCAGGAGGGGCCACGGTGCCGCACGGGTCCCTCTGGAGTCACCCGGCTTCCCTGCCCTTCCCTGCCCTTCCCTGCCCTTCGCTGCAGTCCTGCCGCGCTTCCCGGCCGACTGCGTAGAGCTGAGCCTTCTTTAGCTTGGGCGACCGTAGCTGCACTGAGCCCAGTCCGTCTGGTATCAGTGCCCTGCGGCAAGACTGTGGTACCTGCTCACCATTTCTGCAAATTCCTTGGAAGACGCTCCGGAATCCCACTTGCCCGCCTTCTGCTTCGCATTACTCCTGCTTCCAGGCCTGACTCGTTCACATCCACCTGCTCAGTCGCATCAAGATGCTGAGGCCCAGAAATCCTCCCCATTAATTGCCTTGATCAGTGCTCTGTGCGTTACACTGTAGAATTTAATTCCAGGTCTGTTTATTTTCCATAAATTACTCCTATCCTCCTCCTCAATAACGCCAACTAGCTTCATAACAGCGAGCCCTTCAGCTAGTGGGCAGGGGTCAGTTTTCTGTCATCTCAGGTAGTTTCTTTCTCTGCTGTCGCCGGCCCTTTGGTTGGAGGAACACCACTGAGGTTACCCAATACAGTATGAACCTCCACACGGTGCAAAAAAACAAGCCAAACAAAAAACCCCATCCCAAACAACCCCAATTAAACAAAAAAAACCCCCAAACCCACAACCCCCCCCAAACAAAAACAAACCCCGAAACTTCAAGCTTTTTAAAACTTCTGCATACTATCTCAGGTGCTTAGCACAAGCAAAATATGCCTAGACCTTCCATCCTACGCAGTATTCCAATATATTAGTTACTACAATAAAATGTATAAAATCTAGTATATTAGATGTGTTTCCACTGCTGTGATGCTGCGGTTTTTCTGCTTTGCACTCACATGACAGATGTGGCTACTGTGTGATACAAATCTCTCAGAGCTTTCTGGATATTCACGTTGTTTAACCCCAGCCAGCTTGCTCACTCTCCCATAAGCAGGACTGGGAAAAGAAGTGAAAGCTTGTGGGTTGAGTTAAAGACAGTTTATTAGGCAAAGCAAAAGACACACACACAGACAAAGCAAAACAAGGAATTAATTCACTGCTTCCCACGGGCAGGCAGGCATTCAGCCATCCCGAGGGCCGCACCGCGTGTGACGATTTCTTAGGAAGACAAATGCCATCACTCCAAATGTCCCTCTTCTTTCCTCCACTCGATGTACTGGGCATGATGTCCTACGGTGTGGAGCAACCCTTTGGTCAGCTGGGGTCGCCTGTCCTGGCTGTGTCTCCTCGCAACTTCCTTTGCACCCTCAGTGTCCTTGCCAGTGCGGCAGTACAAAAAGCAGAAAAGGCCTTGGCTCTGTGAAAACACTGCTCAGCAGTAACAAAAGACATCTGTATCTTATCAGCTCTGTGTTCAGCATAAATCCGAAACAAAGCCCCGTAGTAGCCACGGGGAAGAAAATGAACCAAATTAACCAGCCAAAACCAGCAGAGTTATAAGTGTGCTATTTCTGATGGGACAGGCTATGTGTGAGTTCTGTACTCAAAACCGTCCTTGGCTATTTTAGATGTGATTTGTCAGCTCTTATGGAATCATAGGAGGCTTATATGTGTACTTCAGTCCACAACTGAAAGCCAGTGAAAGATACATTCCTCCTGGAAAGAAGTTTTATACTAGTTCAAGAAAGAAAGGAAGTGGATATGGGTAACTTCACAGTATTGCTTCTTGCAGAGTATTTTATTAAATGGTTCTTGAGGTTTGAATACCCAAGTAATGAATTTTGTTTTTACATTTATGCAGACCTTACCATGGATGAACAACATCTGCATGAACCTGATGAAGTAGAAAGAATAAATGCAAAGGTAAAAATATTTTGGTTTATTATGTATTAGTGATATGATTATTTATTACTAGAGAGTAAGTGTAAACTAATAAGTTTAAATTAACTTTTTGTTCCCTCTGGATTTCCTTTAGCTTGAAATCACTAATGTTTATTTACAAACTGGAGGAAGGGAAACAAATGAATAACCATCTTGTATAAAAATGGTTTAATATTGTTCATTTATTATTTTTTCTTTGAGACATCTGGCAGTATCCCACACAAGTTAAGGATATGACATTAATTTTTTATTTGGAGACATAAGCTACAGTGCCATGATGACCAAACACTGCCAAAATTGAAAGCACAATAATATTTCTATGTTGTTGTCAGAAGAATGGGACCTCATTATCCTAGATGCTATATAAAAAAAATTGTTCTTTTTTTCATGTAAATTCATAAATCTAATAAATCTTGTAAATCTAATAAATATTGTTAGCTGCTAGAAAGTCAGCACCTTGACTGGCTGACAGTGGTGATCCCATGGCTCCCATGGGAAGATTCAGGATCCCTGTCCTTCACACCATATATGCTTTTCCTGAATATTTAAATTATATGTACTTCCTAAGCTATGGCACACTTTCCTTCTCTGCTGTGTGAGTTATTATAGTAAAAATTGCTTTATTGTTGATTGAATTGCTTACTGCTGCACTACTCAGGAATGCAGCTTCAGCAAACTAGGGGGTTTAGCTGTTCTTGGGATTGCAAAGAATTAATTATGTCTCTGCATGTTTTTTAAAATCTGTCACTCTTGTAGTATTGGTGGACATACTTTTTCAGGAAAAGCCAAAGCTGTGTTCAATCCTATATGACAGAAAGTTTATTGATTATAATGCTGAAACTGTGCTGTCTGTAACAATCCCTACTAGCAAACTAACATAGGAACTCCCTTTTTTTCTTTCCCCCACCAACATAGCTCATTTTAGCGAGTTTATACTTTTTCTGTTGCATTTTTAAGATCCTTTCCTCATAATCCAGACTTACAAAAGAACATAGAAAACTAGTAATTCATCAAAATAGTGACTAAAATTCCCCCTAACTTTTACATTGCAAATTTAAGGAATATTTGGATTTTTTTTAAATATATATAAGTATATAGCAGTCTGCTTTTAAGTATTCTTACTTGTTTTTGCATGAAAAATATTTTGATTAAGTCAGTTATACTGTAAATGGGCACTTCAAAAAGGCCCTTTTTTTTCAACCAGGTGGTACGAAGGGAGGCACATTTGATCCTTACCTAAGGCATTCTGCTGATCTTTGCTGTTCAAAATCTAAAGCTGCCATAAAAAATGAAGAACGAGTGATTTTTCATCATCTTCCTTGATCTAAAAGCAGACCTGCTACGAGCGTAACAACTTTGAATGTGACAAAGTAAGTTGCTTTAATTGAAGTTCTTGTTTTATGTTTGCTGTCTATCGAAAGTGATTAGCTCAGCTGTTTATTGCTGTATAAAATAATGGAATAAGTGAAGAAATGAATTATTGAAAAGAAGGTAAGAAATGTATGAGGAACCTGGCTTTCAAAATTCATTACTACTCTCTTCTGCAAATTCAGGTTACTCTGTAAGGCTATATGGATCTGGCTATATATATATATATATATATATATATATATATATATATACATGTGGTCTCTCATATATATATGTATATATGGTCTCTCTATATATAGAGACCTTAGAAATCATGCTGTACAGATGTCACTGAAAAATTATTGTTTTTTATTCTTTTCTGACTTCAAAAATGTAAAAAGGCCTGTTAAAAAAACATCTGGTTTTCCCTTATGTTTGTGGAATAAATTCGGCTCCCTCTGCTGGCAGACATAACATGAGGTAATTTAAGCCTGTGAAGCTTTTGAACAATGGCACTCAAAAAGGATTCTAAACTATGAACATGTCACTGTGCAGTGTTAGAGGAGATTTGTGGAACACAGTGCATGTTTATAGGTAGATAAGCACGTTGCCTTTCACTTGTGGTGGGCTCACCTTGGCTGGACACTGTGTGGCCACCAAAGACTCTCTGTCATTCCTGTCCTCCATGAACTTCTCCAACATGAGTCCTTCCCACAGGCTGCCTTTCTTCATGAACTGTTTTGGCATGGGTCCCTTCCCACGGGATGCAGTCCTTCAGGAACAGACTGCTCCATCGTGGGTCCTCCATAAGGTCACAAGTCCTGCCAGCAAACCTGCTCCAGCATGGGCTCTTCTCTCCATGCATCCACAGGTCACTGCCTGGATCCTGCTCCAGTGTGGGCTTTCCAGGGGGTCACAGCCTCCTCTGGGCATCCACCCGTTCAAATGTGGAGTCCTCCATAGGCTGCACCTCCTCCCCCTCCTTCTGCACTGACCTTGGTGTCTGCAGAGCTGTTGCTCTCACATATTCTCACTTCTCTCTCCACTTACTGAAATTGCTCCTGCACAATGACTTTTTTCCCTTCTTAACTAGGTTAGCCCTGGGGCCTTACTGCCATTACTGATGGGCTCAGTCTTGGAGCTGGCTGGCACTGGCTCCATTAGACACAGGGAAAGCTTCTGGCAGCTTTCACAGAAGCCATCCCTTGTTGCCCCCTCCTTCACTAAAACCTTGCCATGAAAATCCAGTACATCATGACTAATGGAAACTAAGAAAGAAACAGAAGTAATTTTTTGGTACACCAAAGCCACCAGCACCAATGGAAGGAAGAATGACTTGCCACGTATACACTTGCGTAAAAGGGAAAAAGGATGGTATGTTGGTCTGAGCAACCTTCTTATCAGTTTAATTGTTTGTATTATTGTTTTATCAACAGAACAAACATTCATGTTCCAAATTAAATAGTTTTAGTGGGGAAAAAAACCCCAACTGTGTGTGAAATAGGTCTCAAACCTGAAAGGGAGGTACTGATTGTGCATTAACACTCTGTGCTCACACATGTAGTTACAATGGATTCATTAAACATATCCAACGTAAATTCCATGGAAAGAAGTTTGAACTAGTATTTAAA